TTTTTTTTTTTTTGATTGACAGTTGCCATGGCAACAAGCTAGAGCATCGCCATTTTGTCAGGAGGGTTTTTTTTTCCCCCCCCAGCTCAGTCTTTTCAAATGTTCTCCCTTCCCGCCGGAATAATGCTGTCAGTGGATATATTTTTGACGTTCATGGATTTCGAGATGCGTCTAGTGGATCGGATTATCAAGAAGATCGAGAGCCCCACGTTTTAACCTGGTTGAAATAATTAGGCGGCGCCGCACTAACTCAGTTGTCCGTGTCTCTGGTCCACCGGGCCGGTTCACTGCGCAGGTTTGGACCGCGCGCCATTTTGTGAAAATTGACACAAAATTTCTAACCAAAAATTTATCAGAGGACACGGCTTCTGTTGCGGCGGGCACAATGCTCCAAATGTAACCGCGTTGTCGCGCTCATCGAGGTGACCGACATATCGACTGCAAAGACGAGCGAAGGATCGGAATTTGGCGTAAGGTTTATTTAGCGGCGGCTAGAATTGTTAGCTTCGGGCTAGTCAGCGGAACTAGCTGACGTTAGCTTCGTTCATTTTGTCAACCAGCTAAGGTTAGCCAGTAAGTTACGCGTGCTAGTTAGCATGTTGCTTGTCATCAGCTGATAGTAAAATTGGATAAAACTGCTTCGATCGCGGACGTTGTTCGTCAAAGTTTTGGGGCCATGAAGCGCGTACTAGGCTCGACTGGCGAGTTATTTTAGCCGGCCAGAGGACGGGGGATTGGATTTACTCGCTAACCGTGCAGGGAGGTGGAGAATCAAGCTGGATAAGTTTCCTCATCATACAGGTTATTGGACTTTAAATGAAGATCGTGCCATCAGAGGTAAGCAAATCCAAACTGCTGCAACATTAGCGCCCGTTTGTTTGGCCTTTTTTTTTTTTTTACACAGACGTGCAGCGTGAATAGTTAACAATGATGGACGCGGTAGTGAAGTTAAAAATGGTAGCTTTTTTTTTTTTTTTTTTTTTTGGTGTGGCGGCTAACATTTTGTTTAGCCGGGGTTAACGTTTGCTTCCAGTCAGTAGGTCAGTGGACGGATTTTAATGTTGGACATCCCAGTTGAGCTTTAAACTGGACGTAGAGTCACGCTGACACGGTGTTAACAGCTAGCCCTGCTATATTAGACTCTGTCATTGTATGATTGAAGCTGTGTTAGCTTACCTCCCCGATTCGATCAGCGCTCAGTGCAGTGTCTCACCACGTTCAAATCAGGGAGGGTTATTTAGATTTTTTTTTTTTTTTTTACAGATCCTAAGCCATTCTGGCTAATGATTAACTTGTTGACGAGCCAGCCTTTGAATGGGCCCCCGTAGCCCCGCTGGCTGCACGTCGGCGCTGGCGAGAGATCTCGTCTCGCCCCGCAGTTTTCAGGGCAACGACGACAAACGCTCGTGCTAGTTAGTCCGCTAACGGTTAGCGCGAGGCTGGATGTCATCTGTTTGAGGACTGGGAACAATAATGTAGCAGGAGAGAGGAGCGTGTGCTGGGGGAGGAAATGATCGTTGAATATGCTTCCTAAATCCCAACCATGACGAGATCTACCCCATCATCTGTAAGTACGGAGCTCTGTGGTTCGGACGGGTTCTGTTTGATCCATCTTTGGACTGGATCTAATCAGTTGGGCGTGAGAGGATGACACACTGGCTTGTTACAGAGATCTTTAGATCGTTTAGGATGTGATTCGGCTTCTAATATCAAGCTAGCTGTCGATATATTTACACATAAATAGGCCCATAATGGCTGGAGCCAGGAAAGGAACTGTTCATACGTTGGTACTGAACATTAGGCGGACCAGGAGGCTAAAAGAGCCACAAGTGTGCTTCTAAAATGGCTCTTTCCTTCATTATACTAATATTTGTTTCAGTGCAGGTTATTTAAAATATTCGTTCATTCCATTATATTGATCCGCTGTCAGTACAATGGTCCCAAACCATTGTTTCCAGTTCTTTACAAATATGTATAGTCATATACAGTAAATACAAGGGTTTGAACAAATACTTGCCTGTTTTTAAAACATATTTAATGAGCTTAAAGCTATAAAGCTGGCTATAGACATGCTAAGAGGAGAGCAAGGCCTATAACAATATTAATTCAGATTTCACACTTTGTGTCTTTCTAAAATATTTTAAGCTGTAATCACAAGCTGCTGGCACTTTCTAAAGTTTTGTAGTGTTTTTAAAATTGGTGTTTGTGTAGGAAAATTAATTACAGCACACTTGAACAAGTTTTGGGTGTCAACCTAAGTTTACACTGAATGATGCTAAACTATAAGTGTTTTTATTCTTTCTAGTCTAGTTTTCTGAATATACGTCCAGGTTAGCTGCTTTTTTTATTAAGCTTTAACCCCGTTCGCTGGGGAAACTGGTTCCCTTGTAGTCTTTTTATTTCTTTCTTTGTGTTGCTGTTTTGAATTTGACATTTGGACGTCAATGCAGGATAAAGTAAAACAAAGCAAATACTTTTTATTTTATGTATACAGTTAAAACTTTTTACTCAGTAACAGCAGCACTGACAATAAAACAGACACTTCCTGTAATAATGCCTAAAATAAACTAAACATTAAATTGAAATGCACCTTTTTGTGCATGTGAAATACTTAATAAATGAAGCCATAATGTGTATTTATAAATATATTCCGAGTGGCTGGTAAGAACGATATCTCCCAGCTCTCAAATAGCTTGTTGGTCTGTGCTCTCTCATCTTACAGTTCCTCTTATTTCTGTCAGCGGACGGGTATTCTTTGCTTTTCCAGAGCTGGGTCAGCTTTCTAAGGCTCTCAGATGGAGTGCAGGTTTTGGGCTGTGCAGCTATTTTGCTGTCAGGCTTCTCGTGTTGAAAGCAACGTCTAAGTGTGCCAAAGTTCAATTTTATTTCTTGTTTATTTCTTGTTTTCTCATTGGAAAATGGGAGCAGCTCTGCCCTGGCAACAAAAGTAGGCTATTTGCATACCGCGTTGTGATTGGTCTGTGCATTGATGGGCTTGCCAAATCACGCTGTATCTCTGTGGTGATAGGCTATGCTAATTAGGTGCTGTTGCTGGGATTCTGAATAGTGGTTACTGTGTAGCGCTGGTGAATTGTGTTGTCTGGTGAGAGATGCTGATAGCTGAACATGCTATTTAATAATTTTTTGATTCCTTCTGGCTTAAAATGAAGGATGATTCACTGTACAGCGTGGAGATGCTGTGTTCTCGCCCCTTTTCACAGCTAAAACTGCTGCTTTTCTCCCTTTTCTTCACAAAGGTTGATGCATTCCTCATATTTTCTTTTATTTTAGTAATCCTTTAGCACATTTTTGTTTTTATTTTACATGTTTATTAAAGTGCACTGTATTAACTTGACATGTATCTGAACAATATGCATTTTTTTTGTCATCCTTGGCATTCTGTGAATATTTTTAAGGCCTTGGTTTGTTTATTTTAACATGCATGATACTTTGTATATTTAAATATATGCTTTTTTTTTGCTACTAATGTAGTGTGTTAGGCATGAAAAGGGGCTCTTTTTAAAGGTTATCTGCACAATATATAGGATTTATGATCCGTTTTAATCATTTTCATAAAAAGATTCATATTTCCTTCATAATCTTTCCCCGTACATGGGCATGAAATGTGTGTTTAAGTTAAAAAAGATCCCTAATAAGGTTAATTTCTCCTAGGAGGAGAGACTTCAGCATGCAAACCTTCGTCCGTCCGGCTTGCGCCCTCTTTTTCTTTACACACTGCTGGTCTTCAGATGGCTGCTCCAATGCCCCATACGCACCAGCAGTACAGTGACCGCCACCAGCCAAGCACTGACCAATCTGTTACGGTCTTACCGTACAGCGACCAGACACCACAGCTCACTGCCAATCAGGTATACTAACCCAACCTCACTGCACTTCTCTGTTTTACAAGAATTACAAGAATCGCAGTACTTGGTGATATGAAAGACTACTTCCCCTTTTTTCTGCTGTCACTAGGCAGAGTAGCTGCTTGTCAGCTGTCTCTTTCAATTTAATCATGCATGTTGTGCTCAGTTACTTGTATTAAATGTAATAATATGATATTAAATTAAGTTGTTGCTTATGTGGGTGCTGTGTGTTTTTTTTTTTTGTTCATAAATTATTGTAATATTTTATCTTTGACACTCCAGAGGCACATGCCCCAGTGCTTTCGTGACCCAACTTCAGCTCCCCTGAGGAAGCTCTCCATTGACCTTATCAAAACCTACAAACACATCAATGAGGTTAGTTTTTTTTCTTTCAATGCATCTAAAACAGCATCAATACATTACTTTGACAACTAACCAACTGCTGTTTCAACAATCAAATCAGACATGTTGGATTTCAAAATTATTTTCTCAGTTTACAAATTGTTGCTTCTTTTTCCTCACAAGTGATGAACAAAGTATCTAACAAATTTAGACTATTGCTCAGACAAAACTTGCTTTGACATGGCCCAATGTGAACATTTTTTTTTGTTTTACTCATCTTTTAAACAAAATAAAGTCAAATGAAATCAAAATGAACTCCTACTAAAAATCTTTCTAAGCACATATGCACTTTATTTGTGCTTTATTAGTGTTTCTGCAAAAGATTTATTTTTGTGATGTGATGCAATTTGTTAATTTGTAGGTGTATTATGCAAAAAAGAAGCGACGGCACCAACAGGGCCAGGGTGAAGACTCCAGTCACAAAAAGGAGAGGAAAGTTTTTAATGATGGCTACGACGATGATAACTATGACTACATCGTCAAGAATGGGGAGAAGTGGATGGACCGCTATGAAATTGATTCCTTGATAGGAAAAGGATCGTTTGGACAGGTGCTCACTAAAGTTTCTTTATCTGTGATTATTGGTGTTGAATATCAATATGTCCGATCTAACTGTGTTTTAAATTGTCACTTTTTAGGTTGTGAAAGCGTATGACAGGGTCGAGCAAGAATGGGTCGCCATTAAGATCATCAAGAACAAGAAAGCTTTTCTCAATCAAGCCCAGATAGAAGTGCGCCTCCTGGAGCTGATGAACAAACATGATACCGAGATGAAATACTACATCGGTAATTTGCTTCTTATCCGACGAGTCGTATGAAACACGTGAAAAGTCACTTCCTGTGTTCGACTAACACGGTTGCGATTTGGTTTCTCGCAGTTCACCTGAAGCGACACTTCATGTTTCGGAACCACCTCTGCCTCGTGTTTGAGATGCTGTCATATAACTTATACGACCTGCTCCGAAATACCAACTTCCGTGGAGTCTCGCTCAATCTCACCCGGAAGTTTGCCCAGCAGCTATGCACGGCACTACTCTTCCTGGCCACGCCTGAGCTCAGCATCATCCACTGTGACCTGAAGCCCGAGAACATCCTCCTCTGTAACCCCAAGAGGAGTGCCATCAAAATAGTGGACTTTGGCAGCTCATGCCAACTGGGACAAAGGGTATTTAGCTCCAGTTTTTCTTATCAATAATAAAATTAGTACATGCAAAGAAAAAAGTCCTTTTAAGCCTCTAAACCCAATCATGTGTAACAATTCATGGTTTTTTTTCTTTCTTTGTTTTTGTTTGTTTTGTCCCCCTCGTGTGCCTCGTGCCTGCAGATATATCAGTATATCCAGAGTCGCTTCTACCGTTCCCCAGAGGTGCTGCTGGGAATGCCCTATGACCTGGCCATCGACATGTGGTCCTTGGGTTGCATCTTGGTAGAGATGCACACTGGAGAACCTCTCTTTAGCGGAGCCAATGAGGTATAATATTCTGAAACGTTACCCAGATGGTGTGATTTTAATGTTTCATCTCGTATCCATAAAGAGCGGACTTAAGAACCCACACGATGAACCATTGTTGTTAAAGTTAATTCACCAGAGGATAAATCAGTTTTTAGTGAAACACTGATCAAGATCAAGTGTCCAGTTATTCTTGATTATTATTGCTTCTAAAAAGACTTAATTTTATGACTGATCATTTCCCCAGGTGGATCAGATGAACAAAATAGTTGAGGTTCTTGGTATCCCACCTAATCACATAATGGACCTAGCCCCTAAAGCCAGGAAGTTCTTCGAGAAGCTTTCGGATGGTACATGGAGTGTTAAGAAGACCAAAGATGGCAAAAGGGTGAGTTAAATAGTTTTGACTCTGGCAGACTGTTGAATGTTGTGAAACAGAGTCTTAGCTAATTGCCACAAGTGTTGTGTGAGTTAATCTTTTGTCTGAACTCTTAACAGTATAAGCCTCCAGCTTCACGGAAGCTACACGCAATCCTGGGTGTGGAGACAGGGGGTCCAGGTGGCCGACGGGCGGGGGAGTCTGGCCACGCTGTTGCTGACTACTTGAAGTTCAAGGACCTGATCCTCCGGATGTTGGACTACGACCCTAAGAGTCGCATCCAGCCCTACTATGCCCTGCAGCACAGCTTCTTCAAGAAGACTGCGGACGAGGGGACCAATACAAGCAGCAGCGTGTCTACAAGCCCCGCGTTAGAGCAATCCCAGTCTTCAGGAACCACCTCCAGCACCTCCTCCAGTTCAGGTGACAGACTGATTGTCCGCTGCTTGGTTTGATATGAAGTTGTTTATGTTGGTGGTGGAGCTCTGCCACAGTACACATGAGCTAAAGCTGCTGTGTTTGATGTGGATGTGTTTGTCACACTTCTGCTTAATGTTTAGGAGGATCGTCTGGGACTAGTACGAGCGGCAGAGCGAGGTCAGACCCTACCCATCACCACTTGCACAGTGGAGGACACTTTGGCACGACGATGCCAACTATCGATGGTGACAGCCTCTGTCCACAGGTCAGCAACCTGTTACCTGGAAACATCCTAAACCTAAAATAAAAGCTGCTCCTGTGGGGGCTGTAGACTTCATTGACCTGTTCTGTATTAAACATAGCTGCTTGTATTGTTTTAAACATGTTTATAATAAAGCTCTTCTAATCCTGCCATATAACCTAAAAAAGTCTTAAATTTGTTCTGTAGAGTTGACAAAATTCTTGTTTTGGTTAAACATTTAACTTTAAAAACTAATAATAAGTAAAGTTTTAGTGTTTGACATCACATCAGGTTCCTGTCGTTGCATTAAATCACATCCTGGCCAGAACTCGTTTAATGACTCCACACCTGACCTGTGTCGTTTACGTTTACAGGCAAGACAGCCTTACCCACCCCCGCTGGTGTGGGGAGGTGGCGTTGGGCCCGAGTCAGTCACTGGAGAAACCCACCCAGTTCAGGAGACCACCTTCCATGTTCCCCCTCAGCACCCCAAGGCCCTGCATCCCCACTCACACGCTCATCACCACCACGGGCAGATGATGGCTACACGTCCACGTCCACGCCACTACACCTCCCCGACACACAGCTCTTCAACACAGGACTCCATGGAGGTGGTTCATGGCCATCTGTCCATGACCTCCCTGTCTTCCTCTGCCTCCTCTTCCTCTACATCATCCTCTTCCACTGGGAACCATGGCAACCAGGCCTACCAGCTCCGCCATTTGCCCGCCGGAGCCCTTGACTTTGGTCAGAATGGTGGGCTGAGCATGGGGCTAGGTGCCTTCTCGAACCCACGGCAGGAGACTGGCATGGCAGCGCACCCTGCGTTCTCCATGGGCACGAACACGGGGCCTGCCCATTACCTAGCGGAAGGCCACCTGGGCATGAGGCAGGGCATGGACCGGGAGGAGTCTCCAATGACTGGAGTGTGTGTGCAGCAGAGTTCGATGGCCAGCTCGTGACTGCACTGACATTTGGCTGTGTGTTCCCCCTGTGCGTCATTTTTAAGGTGGTGTTTTTTACTACAAGGTGTGTTGAGAACAAAAGCTGCTCACGTCAGAAGGGAGATATCACTGAACCGCTACTACAGAGAAAAACCTTTGTTCAAAGTATATATGTAATTTTTATCAGTTTTTTTTTTTCTTTTGCAATCATTAGGCACAAAATAATACTGCGAAATAACCATAGTGAGATTGAGACAACCATCTTACCATTTCACCAGTTTCATGTAACCACAAAGTAATCACCATTTGGTATTATGTGACAAAATCTTCTACGGAGCATTTCAGCGCAGAGTTCGGAGCTGTCCTGCAGCTAGCTGTTGGTGAGGAAATGCTTGGCGTCCTCTTTAGTTCGAACCGCGGAGCACCTGACATTCCTGCTCCGCTGGTTTCTAATGATTTCTGCCCTTTATTTTTTTTTATTGTTTTCGAAAGTGAAGTTTCACATAAAAAGCTGCTTGTAACTCCTGTAGCTTGACAACGAGGGGAAGTGTTTGCAGTGATATTTCTTGTCGTCGGTCGGTGTGTGACTCTGTTAAAGGGGAGCACACAGCAGCGGAGTTCCCTACACGTGTGCTGGCCGGGGCAGAGAGGAGACTCGGCAGGTGGATGCTGACACCGACCGAGGTTTAAAGGAGAGGGAAGCGCCACCCCCACACACACCCCCACCTCCCTCGCCCCCCCAGGCCCAAAGGCCCCGTTGTTCCTGCGACCGGGCCCGGCACAGGCGAGAGCAGCGACGGGCACGGGAGACGAGAGGAAGACCGGCCCGGTGAAAGGAAGACGGTCTGCGGCTGGTTCTAGATAATCCTTTGGCCTTATGACTCATGGACTTGGAACGGCATGGAGATGGACATTTTCATTTGAATTAAGATGGCTTTTCTCTATTTTTTTCTCTCTCTGTCTCTCTCTAGACAGCCCTTAATTCTTTAAGGAAATTAAAACAACTTAGAAAAGGTAAATAAGAATGGTAATTTGAGGCCTTTTTCAACAAAGATTTCATCTTCAGCAGGGCCCCACATAACAGGGTCTTATTGTACACAACAACCTCCTAAACATTACTTCCTTGAGATTCACTGGTTGAGGATTTTACAGTGGAAAGAACTATATTCCAGAGTCTACCCTTTTTATGTTTTATTTTGTTCCCCCTTTTGCATGTAGTCCCCCCCCCCCCCATCAGAACCACCTGCACAAGTCTCTTCATCTAAAACATGGAAACTGAAGAAAAAAAAAAAAAAACCCAAGAGTTAAGTGACTGCCTTTTTTCTCCTCAAATTATGCTGTGAATTTTACAAGAATTTATTTTCCCTTTGGATATGTTTTTATACCAAAGCAGTTGTTTTCTAGCATCTAGGTGTCTGTAACCAATAATGTAGCAGTTCACCACTTTGACGCAAACTTTATCAAGATCTTGTTTTAACGTCAACACAAACAGCTGCAGTAAGATCACTTTGGCAAAACTGGAGAGCGTCGTCGAGACCGTTGGCTCTTGTGTATTCTGGCCAAGATTGATTTTTTTTGTTTGTTTGTTTTGAAACGTTTTACCAAAACCCGAATCCATCTTAATTGGTAGATTATTTTGGGAGTCTTTTAAAACTTCGGTATGTTTAGAAAATTTGGTAGTTACTCTGCAGGCTCCGGAGTAGCAAGATAGAGGCTGATGGTATATATATTAAAAATCAAAACAAAAAAGGAGACTAATGCGTTCTATTTCTGTCATCTTTTTATTTGTTTCTTTTCTTTGCCCCCCCCCCCCCCCAATCCCAATCATACTATTTCAAAGGGTGTTGCTGCCTTTCATACATCATTTGGTCAACTTAGCTAGTTTCTGCCATGAAGCGAGACTTCTTCTCATTGCCTTGCCAGAGTAAGAGTAACGTGGCAAACGAGTTCGTGTCGAGCGGTGCACTTCTGATTCGGTCGGGCAAATCCCCACGATTGTAGTCCCCCAACTCCAAGGGAAAGGTTTGTCTTTGTCCGCCCGCCATAACAGCGCTTGGCTTAGGCAGACGTGCATGTCTTCAGAGCATCAGTCGATTTACCAGATTTTTTTATTTTGTATCAGGGATTTTCAAAGTGCTTTCTTCCTTTTTTTTTTTTTTTGTTGCTCATTTGACCACGTTTGAAATTTGCAAAACCCACAAAGTAGACATGAAAACACCCTGCCCACAGTCGCCTCACCAGTTGAGGGCAGGAGACGGGTCATGCTGTTGTCTTTCTCTAACCGGGAACCCCTAGTAGTCGACGCTCCTCGCTAGTTCCTCCAACTTTAATGTAAAGCTACCTATACCGAGATTGGGGTTTTATCTGGATGTCAAGGTTAATTGCATATTTGCAATCTTTTTTTTATTATTATTATTTGTTTCCCACACACACACACACACACACCCCCCCCGCTGAATTTGAGACATTTAGATCTTCGTCAGTGGTTTTTATTACTGGCGCTCATACTGGTACTAAACATTCCAAAAATAAAAAGACTGAAAACTAAAAAAAATTTGACTGCTGTGACTCGTAAGTGTGCGCCTACTTCAGATCATGCTGATTGACCTCTTATTTAGAGCAGTTGTCATGAAATGCAGCCCCTTTTTAATAGTTGAAATAGAATTTATGTATATATTTATATTTTTTTAATAAAGGAAGTATAGAACTCACTACCTTGCTCCTGCTGGTATGTTGATTATGTTTGTCAATCTGGTGACCATTCAGTGGGCAGGAACTCCTGTTTCTTAGTGGCAAAACCCTTTTGCCTTTTGGCGAAGGCACTTGACTACATCAGGACAACACTATGAGGTAGGGTTTGAATCAAACAGGGAAAGCTAGATCTTCAAACCTTAATAATTTTCACAGGGTATATTGTAAGTGCATGTACATCACAAACCTTACTTTTTGGTTATATGAGAAGCACATGGTTGAGAAGAGGTTCCATCTTTCATAAAGCCTGTTCAGTTTGTGGCTTTACACACAGACACAGATCCTTGTTAACATATCTGAACACCCGAAAGAAGTTGAAATCTTTATTTACCTTGGATTTATCGTTTCTTTTTTTTTTTTTTTTTATTATTTCACATTTTTCCCCCACTTTTTTTGTACATGCAACATGCACTATAGAATTGAACAGCATGGGGGGAAAGGATAAGTCCATGTATCCATAGATTGTAAGATCTAGTCAAGACTTTGCTGTGTTTATGACAATGCCCTTTGTATTATATTAAGACAGTCTTATGTATGATATATAAAAAGAAGTTAATTGAATTGTTTTGTGTCGTTATTGTCTTCCCTTTTACATCTACATAATCTAAATTAACGCTAATGTATTTTGCGTTATCTCAAAAAATAATCGAAAAAAGATTACCAGAACATAGAAACTGACGCCGGAAGTCAGTTTGTGCGTATTTAATAAAAGATGGCGGCTTCCTACTACGTATTGGCTCGTTGGTCTAGGGGTATGATTCTCGCTTCGGGTGCGAGAGGTCCCGGGTTCAAATCCCGGACGAGCCCGCTCCATTTTATCCGGCTTGTCTGAATTTAGCAAATGTCGATATAATCCATCTCCTTTATAATTGACAAATCTAATATTATTTTTTTTCCCCCAATTTTATGATTTAGAGGATTTCGGAATCGTGTTATATACAGTATACTGCATCAGCCTCAATTAATCGTTTTTGCCATTTGTATTACAGAAAGGTTAAAGTGGGGTTAACTAATTAAACCAAGCACAAAAGAAAGGGAAAGAAAAAAAATTGGGCTCGTCCGGGATTTGAACCCGGGACCTCTCGCACCCTAAGCGAGAATCATACCCCTAGACCAACGAGCCATATGTAGTAAGTTGAATAATGTGCATTATAATAAACTGTGATAATGTACAACATGATGTATGTATTTAGCACATATTTATATTATTTCTCCTATGCAAAGTTATTAAATAATACCGTTAGAGCAAATTTGCAATTCAGATATCGTTGATTTCTACAGCTCTTCACTTTTGTAACCACTCATAACAAAAATGTTGCTTAGACAAAACAGCGACAGTCATTACCGAAGAACAGCTTTATCAAAACACGAAAGTGACGCGAAACCAGATCGCACGAAAGGTTCGCAACGATTCTCTATCTCTCGGCGATTTTTGACGCATTATCCTGTAGGTGGCGACAGAGTCCTGTAAAGTTAGAGTTTTTACAGCATTTTCCGATAAAGAAGAAGAAATGGTTCCCTGGTGGTCGCTCTCATTTTATTGGTTGACACGAAAAAGCAATTGACCAATGGCAATGTCCGGACTTTCACGTTCCTCCAATCAGATTCTTCGTGGGCGGTGCATCGTCCCGGAATCCAATCGTAACCGTCAGTTTTTGTAGTTAATATGAGTCGAACTGTCTTAAAGTTGTTGGTTTGAGCGTCTGTTTTACCACATTTTACGTGAAATTTGCGCTTCGGTGTTGTCCTCGCTAACGTCAACTTTGCTACGTGCAGGAGTGGGAATTAGTCGAGTTAGCAGATGATAACAGAGCGTTGAGTTAGCGAAGCTAACCGTTTAGCCTCAATTATGCCCAATTTTTGCGCGGCTCCAAACTGTACACGGAAGAGCACCCAGTCTGATTTGGCCTTTTTTCGGTTTCCTCGGGATCCGGAGAGGTAAGGAGGCAAATCGTTTCCAAGCAACCGGTTAGTTGCTAGGATACCACGCCCGTTTTCTGCTATTAAAAACGCTGCTTTTTTTTTTTTTTTTTTTTTTTTTTTTTTTTTTTTTTTTTTTTTTTAAGTCTTCACAGTTTTGCCTTTTGAAAAAGCAAAAAAAAAAATCAATATTTAATATCTGGAGCAGATTTTCATATATAAAAATTATACTAAATGTGTAAATAAATAAGTATTTCATATACCAGTACATAGATTAAAAAAAATGATCATTCATTCATTCATTCAACCTTTATTTATTTATACAGGTTAATCCCATTGAGCCTCTGGGACTCATTTACAAGAGAGCCCTGATTTTAACAAAGAGTGATGACAACAGTGGACAATCGTAAAATAAAGTGTATAGTTTACAAGAACAAGTGAAAGAAAATGGTATTACAAAAACAGCTAGGTTGTAAGGCGATGTAGAATACTAAAACCAGGAACCATCAGTAAAGAATATAAAACATAAAACCATCAATAAAGGCAGGGGTTTACTTGTAATTCCCATTGTTTGCTAAATTTGCCATATGTTTTAAAAGTACTTTTGCAAAACTTCACTTTATATTCTTACCGCTCAGCAGTTTGTCTCATGCGTGTTCATTTTCTGGTTAATTTTATAAACCGATTATGCTCTATGGATAAGAAAACTTATCTTACTTGGAACAGGCTTTATATATTAATAAAAATAAATATAAACATAATTCACTTTGATGTTATTCTTGTTCAGAGCCAAAAAGAGCTGCGGCGTTGTCTTTAAAATGTCATTGTGTGTTTTATCCTGAACTTTTCTAGATGCAGGATCTGGGTGGAGAATTGCCGCAGGGCTGATCTGGAGGCCAAAACGTCCGATCAGCTGAATAAACATTACAGATTATGCGCCAAACACTTTGACCCAGCCATGGTGTGCAAAACTGTGAGTGTCGGTGCGATTCTCGACCACGCTCTGTAGCAACATGTGTACTGTATGAACGTGCTGCGTCTCTTAACAACATCTTAACTTTTCAGAGTCCGTACAGGACGGTACTGAAGGACACGGCCATCCCAACCATATTTGATCTAACAAGCCATCTGAAAAATCCTCACACCAGACATCGCAAGCAGATTAAAGAACTCGTAAGCAAATAAAAGATTAAAAAGTGTTTTTATTTAATCATCTTCTCTGACAGTAAGTTGTTTTTATCGTTTCAGACTGACGAGGATATCCAGAGAATGAAAGAAAGGCGATGTGAGTATTTATAAAAGTGGTACTCTTAGGGTTCATCACTTTCTAATTTAATTGATAATTGAATTTGTTTTAAATAGGGCTGCAACTAACAAGTATTTTAATAATTGATTGATCTGTTGATTATTTTTTCGTTGAATCGGCAAAAAAAAAAAGTTTTAATTTCCAACTCTTTATTCCAAAATTTAACATTTGACTGACATAGCAAATGGCACAAAAACTGGTTGCTACTTGACTATTCTGTTAGTAAAATATTGAATACTAAATAAATAAATAAATAAGTTAGTCAAATAGCTTAAATAAAAAAAATGTACATAAAAATATATACAATTGTATGCTTTATAGCTGCACAATATGTAGCTACTTTGTAAAATGTGTCCTTGAGGGAGGAGTGTAACCTGGATTAAAAGTGTGGATTATTGTAACCTGGATTAAAAGTGTGGATTATTGTAGTGAAGCCTTCGTCTTCAACCATCGACAGAGGCCTGATGTCAGTGACGATCATTAAAGGATGATTTCAGTGAAGACAGCTGCTGCTGTGGTGTCCATGATGTCTGTCCATCATGAAGCTGTCATTGTTTGTTGTTTTCTGGAATGAGAGAGTAAATATGTATTATATTATAATTTACAGCAACTCAAGAAATGCCTTGTTTCACTTACAGTGTTGGGTTAAGGCAAAAGTAGCTCAAAGAGCAATTAAACACACACACATATAAAATACTTAATTGCGCACATTTGAGTAGATGTAATAAATTAATTCCTGTTTAAATGCAAATCATCCTGCCATACAATGCAGTATCTTCAGACTTTGCCAGCAAATTAAAAGTTGAAGCTTAATCGTTAAATTATTATACTTGTGTTAGATTTATTTATAAATCACATTTAAAAACTGCTTGTACCTATTAAATTGAAATAAAAAGTAACACACACACATAAAATACTTAATTGCACATATTTGAGTAGTTACTTTAATCCCTGTTTAAATGCAAATCATCTTGCCATACATTGTAGTGTCTTCACTCAAACTTTGCCGGCAAATTACAGTAAAACGTGAAGCTTAATCATTAAATTATTGCCATCTTTGTGTTAGATTTATTTATAAATCACAATTAAACACTGTTTGTACCCATTTAATTAAATAAAAACACACGTTCTCTATCACCGTCATGAATCAGACAAACAAGCAGCAGCTTCAGCTACAGAGAGACTGACGTTACGTTTTCTCACTTGGAAACAGAACAAATGAGAATATTGTAGACTGACCTGCCAACACTTGACGAGTTGTGTCTGCTGCTGAGCTCCCTGGACTCCGACATGTTTACGTGTATCTCCGTGGTTCTCCCGTGCCGTGTCGTCACTTTTCAAAGCTGCATGTTTCGCAGTTTTTATCTTTGTGAAGCGTCAAGTGCTCCCACACTGTTGGGTCGAACAGTTTTCTCTGCGTCGGTCATTTGTCAAATTTACTTCATGTCTTTTGAAAACGGCTCCTCTGCTCTGTTCAACTCACGCTGCAGAGTTGTTATTTATTTTTTAAAACTTTATTCAGTCAGCCATCATTGACAACGCTCTGCAGGTGAACAAAACAGCTCCGCAGCACCATGAGAGACACTTAATCGCGCGACACAACAAATCGATAATGAAATCCGTTGCCAACACTTTTAATAATCGATTTTATCGATTCTTTGTTGCAGCCCTAGTTTCAAACCAAAATTGTGTCTTTCTCTGTTTCGTCTTTTTTTTTTTTCTGCAGTGGCTGCTTCTGCTCAGCAAACGGCTAAAACGGATCAGGACGGCACAAACTCAGCTGAGAATGAACCTCAACTGTCCACGGAGGAGAAGGAGTACCGGGACTATCTGAGGTCCCTGTTCGAGATTCTGCTCATGCTGGCAAAACAGGGCATCCCTTTAGAAGCTGACAGCGTCTCTGAAGCTGAGCTCAAGTCCAACAACTTCCAGGCCCTTCTGGATTTCTGTATGAACGCCGGAGATCAAGCTCTGAGGAGAAGATCCGAGACCACCGCTGTGAACTCCGAGTACCTTTCCGCGGCGCAGCAGAACCAGCTCCTGGACGTTTGCGAGAACATGGTGAGGGAGGAGATGCTCATGGAGGTGAGGGAGAGCCGCTTCTTCTCCCTGGTGACCGGAGACCTCGTGGACTTCGCCGGCGAGAAACACCTGCCTCTGTTCTTGCGCTTCGTCAATCAGCAGAACGTCCTCAGAGAGGAGCTTTTGGACTTCATACCGATCGTAGATGAAGATGAGTCCATCGTCGTGGAACGGATCGAGGCCCAGCTGACAGACCGCTGGGGGCTCAGCATGGAGGACTGCCGCGGTCAGGCCCACGAGGCCACCGGCACCTCCACCACCAAGATGAAAGCCGTGGCCGTGCTCCTGATGGAGAAGTATCCGCTGGCGTTGCACATGCCGTGCTCGCACATGGCGCTGAACGTCCACCTGGCCAACAACCTCCCTTTCCCCAACGTCCAGATCGTTATGGAGACTCTGAGGAGGATCAGGTCCTTCTTTAAAGCCCCGTTCACTCGGGCGGAGTTGGAGAAAGCCATCTCGACCCACCACCAGAAAAGCGAGGAGAAGGCAGAGGCGCTGAAGCAGATGTGCGGCTCGGACTGGACGGAGCAGCACAACGCCTTCGACGTGCTGCTGGACGTTCTGCCGTCGCTGCTGCTGTGCGTGGACGGCGTGTGGGCCAACGGCGACGGGCGGTTTACCAGCCGCGTCACAGCGGACGCGTATTCGATTGGAGAAAGTCTAGCTGACTTTGAGGTCATCGTCACCATCGTCGTCCTGAAGAACGTCCTCACGTTCACCAGAGCCTTCGGGAGGAACCTCCAGGGCGAAACCCTGGATGTGTTTTCCGCGGCCAACAGCCTAACGGCAGTTCTGCACTCGCTGAACGAGGTCAGCGATAACATCGAGGTCTACCACGAGTTCTGGTACGAGGAGGCCACGAGCATGGCCGCCTCCATGCAGATCCCCGTGTCCATCCCGAGGCTGTTCCTGCGGAAGCAGCGAGCGGCCGACATGGGCGAGATCCAGGCGGAGCCGTACTTCAAGGAGTACGTGACCATCCCCGTCATCCGCGGCATCATGCAGGAGGTGGAGGACATGTTCTGCGACACCAACCTCAAAGCTCTGAAGTGCCTGACGCTGGTCCCGGCCGTCATGGGCCAGATGAAGTTCAACACGTCCGAGGAGAACCACGCCGAGTTTTACCGCACCGACCTCCCAAACCCCGACACGCTCCCCGCTGAGCTCCACTGCTGGAGGATCAAATGGAAGCACAGAGGCAAGGAGGTGCGCCTGCCCACCACCATCCAGGAGACGCTGCAGCTGCCGGACGTCAAGTTCTTCCCCAACGTGGACGCCTTCCTGAAGGTGCTCTCCACTCTGCCGGCGCTCAAGCTGGAAGACGGCAAAGGTGCGACGGCTAGCGAACGCCTGCGGGCTTACCTCCACGACGTTCCTTCAGAGCAGAGGAACAAAAGTCTGGCCGTGCTGCACATCAACACGCACGTGAGACACGACCTGGACGTGATGGTGGACCAGTACTGCAGGCTGTACCCTGAGGACGAGGCTGAAGCAGAGCTGGAGGAAGCAGCCGAGGACGACATCGTCACCACGGTGGTCTGAAGGTTCACCGTGTCTCATCAGCTCGGTAGTTTTGGAGCTCCCTCGTGAGTTTTGCAGGATTTTAACGAACATGGGGGAAAAAAAATCTAAATGTTCACGATACTTGAGCTTCTTTTATGTTTTAGATTTTTTTTTTTATGCGAAACTGAAAGTTGACCTTTTTAAAAGACGTCGGTGAAGATGAGTTCTGTAAATATGTCGAGTTCCTTTCAGCTTGTGTTATTTGATCGTTGTCTTGTTTTAATTGTTTCATGTGACGATGCTAAATAAAATCCAAAAGATTTTTCTGTTGTTTTGGTCCGTTTTGACTTCAGGCCACATGATGGAGGCAGAGAGCTCATTGAACATTTCACACACACACACACACACACACACACACACACACACACACACACACACTGCCAGCTGTGTGTTTATAAAAGAAGTCATCTGTTTACTCATGAAAAGAAAGTATTTATACTGCAGTATTATGTAATTCAAAAGCATCGGCTATGCTGTTAAAATAGATGAAAATATTTTACATAAGCAGCTCGGTCAGGATCCTGATGAAGACGAGCATCAAACCTTCAGATGCTTCATGATTAATAACTTTTGTAGTTTTATCTGCTTCACTGTTGCTTCGTTTGTTTTTCCTGTAAACTTCTTGTCTTATGCGTCCCGTTTGTCTAAACTTTAGTCTTGTGCATTTCTCGTCATTTATGCATATTTTTTATGCCTCATATATATATTTTTCTTCCTCTGCATGTGTTCATTTTATTTTAGTTTTTCTCTTGTGCACCTCTTTTGTCTTTATTTTTGTCAGTGGATGCAACTTTTTTATTTTGTCTCGTGCATCTTTTTGTATCTTTCAACACATTAAAAATTCAGCTGTCAAACCCACTTTCTTGATTTCCAGCAAACTTGATGAAATGTAAGTTTCTCAGCTTTATTCTGTGAATGTTTGACACATTCACTCTTCTGATCCATTTTTCTTCTGTATGTTTGTCAGCATCTCTTATTCCACAATTCTTGTGCTATTTCAACAAATGCATGAAAACGTTCTGCTCTTTCAGGACAATCCTGCTCTGACTTTTTGTATTGTTGCAACTTTAGCTTTTTGAAATATTTAGCCTTTTCTGCTACTTTTTCCTCAGAGAAAATGAATTGAGCTCATTTTACATCCTTCACATCTTTTTATCTGTTTACAGCCTTTTACTGCTCCTTTCACGTTTTGTTCAGCTTTTGCAGATTTAAACTTTTTCAGCTATTTTCAGTTGTTTTGTGCTTTCAGATTCTTTCTATAACAATTCTGTGCTTTTTCTTTCTGCTAATTTCAGCTTGTTGTGCTCCTTTTAGCTTATCTCTGCAAGTTTAAGCTTTTTCTGCTATTTAAACTACTATTTAGCTGTTTTATGCTAATTTTAGCTCTTTTGGGGGGGGGGGGGGATAAGTACACATTTAGTGCACTCATTTCAACCTTTTTCCAGCCTAAGCACAAATGTCTTCTTCACTTTCTTAAACTTTTTTTTAGCTTTTTCAGCTTTTTTTTTTCCAAGTTTCAACTTTATTCAAATAATTTCCACTTTTTGTGCTCATTTGTTTCTTTCAGCATAAGTAAGTAAGTGTTTTCTTTCTGCTGTCTTCTGGCTTGTTCTACAAACCGGATTCCAAAAAAGTTGGGACACTAAACAAATTGTGAATAAAAACTGAATGCAATGATGTGGAGATGGCAAATGTCAATATTTTATTCGTAATATAACATAGATGACAGAACAAAAGTTTAATCTGAGTAAATTTAAAATTTTAAAGGAAAAATATGTTGATTCAACAAATCCCAAAAAAGTTGGGACAAGTAGCAATAAGTGGCTGGAAAAAGGAAATTGAGCATATAGCGAACAGCTGGAAGACCAATTAACACTAATTAGGTCAATTGACAACATGATTGGGTATAAAAAGAGCTTCTCAGAGTGTCAGTGTCTCTCAGAAGCCAAGATGGTAAGAGGATCACCAATTCCACCATTGTTGCGCAGAAAGATAGTGCAGCAATACCAGAATGGTGTTACCCAGCGTAAAATAGCAAAGACTTTCAAGTTATCATCATCATCAACCGTGCATAACATCATCAAAAGATTCAGAGAATCTGGAACAATCGCTGTGCGTAAGGGTCAAGGCCGTAAAACTCTACTGGATGCTCGTGATCTCCGGGCCCTTAAACGTCACTGCACCTCAAACAGGAACGCCACTGTCAAGTAAATAACAGAATGGGCTCAGGAATACTTCCAGAAAGCATTGTCAGTGAACACAATCCACCGTGCCATCTGCCGTTGCCAGCTGAAACTCTACAGTGCAAAGAGGAAGCCATTTCTAAGCAAGCTCCACAAGCTCAGATGTTTGCACTGGGCCAGGGGTCATTTAAAATGGAGTGTGGCAAAATGGAAGACTGTTCTGTGGTCAGATGAGTCACGATTTGAAGTTCTTTATGGAACACTGGGACGCCATGTCATCCGGACCAGAGAGGACAAGGATAGCCCAAGTTGTTATCAACGCTCCGTTCAGAAGCCTGCATCACTGATGGTATGGGGTTGCATGAGCGCTTGTGGCATGGGCAGCTTGCATGTCTGGAAAGGCACCATTAATGCAGAGAACTATGTTCAGGTTCTAGAACAACATATGCTCCATCTAGACGTCATCTCTTTCAGGGAAGATCCTACATTTTTCAACACGATAATGCCAGACCACATTCTGCAGCAATCACAACATCATGGCTACGTAGGAGAAGGATCCGGGTACTGAAATGGCCAGCCTGCAGTCCAGATCTTTCACCTATAGAGAACATTTGGTGCATCATAAAGAGGAAGGTGCGACAAAGAAGGCCCAAGATGATTGAACAGTTAGAGGCCTGTATTAGACATGAATGGGAGAGCATTCCTATTTCTAAACTTGAGAAACTGGTCTCCTCTGTCCCCAGACGTCTGTTGAGTGTTGTAAGAAGAAGGGGGGATGCCACACAGTGGTGAAAATTGACTTGTCCCAACGTTTTTGGGATTTGTTGACGCCATGAAATTTGGAAACAACATATTTTTCCCTTAAAATGATACATTCTCTCAGTTTAAACTTTTGATCTGCGATTTGTGTTCTATTCTGAATAAAATATTAGATGTTGGCACCTCCACATCATTGCATTCAGTTTTTATTCACAATTTGTTTAGTGTCCCAACTTTTTTGGAATCCAGTTTGTACGTTTCAGCTAGCTTTTTATTTATTTATTTATTTATTTTTAGCTAATTTCAGTTGTTTTCAGATAAATTTATGTTTTTCATGGTAATTTCTGTTACTTTAATACGGACCTGGTACACATTTTATGCCAGTTTCAGCTTGTTTTGTTCCTTTCAGCTTTTTTCTTCAGTTATGTCTGCTTTTACATCTTTTAGCTAATTTCTATCTGTTTCTCTCTGACAGTTTAAGCTTCTTTCTGCCTTTTCAGCTACTTTTCATCCTTTTTTTGTTTGTTGCTAATTTCAGCCTCTTTTTTTTTTAGCCACTTTCCAAAGTTTGCTTATTTAAACCTATATATTTGTTGAACTACTGTATATATAGTTCAGCAAATATGTGTTTTTTCTGCTAATTAAGGCTTTTTTTTTTTTACATTTCAGCTACATTTATAGTAATAATAAAATACAGTATTCTTCAGTATTTCAGTATGATTGTTATCGTTCAAGTCAACTTTATTGTTGTTTCCACCACATGAGGTGGAACGAAATTATGTACACAAGGTCCCAGTTACACCACAAAATGTAAAGTATTAAAACAAACAGTAAAAAGGATCAAGGTATGCTAAACAAATGCCAAATGGTACGCTAATTATCTAAGATGTACACTAAACACTAATAATGTAAAACAATATGTCATAACAGCAGCCCGAACATGAGTCTGTGGTGATATGAATGAATAAAGCAGCATAAGATAATCAGCATTATAATAACTTTTATATATATATATATATATATATATATATATATATATATATATATATATATATATATATATATATATACATACAGTTAATATGGTATGTTTTTAACTATTCACACTATTGATAGAAATTGTGGAATGAGAAAGATGCCAAAAACCATACGAAAGAAAAATGGATGACAGTAGTGTGAATAGTTATATATAATTATATAATAATTGTTCATTATAATAATACCGAACAATTGACAATAACATTGCACTAAGATGTGACAGTATGTTTATTGCTGCTGCACTATGAGGCTGTTTCATGTATGTCACTACCTTACTCATCATAATCTCAGCGTCGCTCACTACCTGCGCAATAACCTGTCACCTGTGTACTTTGTGTTAATGTGCAATATATATCATGTGCATGACTACCTTGAAGTACTTATACTAATTCATCCTGCGTGCACTGTTATATTCAACCATGTTGTTGTTTACTATTTCTCTTTAGGACCTTGTAATTATTATATTTACTTTTTCACTTTTTGGTACTTTATTTCATGCTTTAGTATTTCTTGTTTGCTTCTTCTCTGTTTTTAGCGATCGTTTCGTCTCATCCTGAACATTTTATTACTTTTGACCTTGTGTTAACCTGCACATGACAAATAAGCATAACTTGAATTTCACCTTTTGTTTTTTTGTTGCTAATTTCAAATTAAACATCCACACTGCGTTTAGTATTTTCTTGTCTTGGCAAAGCAAACAGTTTTAATCACCAAAGTTTTTTTCCTCCTTCTCTGGAAGCATCTGATGAGTTTGAAGCCCAGTCCAGCATCAGGACCAGGACGCTGGTCCTCCTGCATCTCCTTTTCTTTGTTGTGTCACATTCCCTGCAGTTACATGTTCCTCCTCCTGCTCACTTCAGGTGATGGTTCGCCATAAATCAACAGGGGCGTAACGCGGATGTGGGGCGGGGTCGCTTTCACGCGCAACGTGCACGCGCCGCCTCCAAAGTCCCAAACTTGAGCGAGGCTCTGCAGAGAAGGACACCCCCTGACTGAGCGGAACACCTGAGAGCATCCTTTAAGTCCTCCATCATCATCATCATCATGGCGTGGCCGTGCATCACGCGCGCCTGCTGCATCAACCGCTTCTGGACGGAGCTGGACAAGGCGGACATCGCGGTGCCTTTGGTTTTCACCAAATACTCGGACGTGACGGACGTGCAGCGGCTGCAGCACCACCACCCGCAGCCCAAACACAGGCCGAACCCCGAGGAGCCGCCCGCCGCCGACGAGGCACCGCCCGCTGCCGGCGGTGCCGCAGCGGCCAAAGATGGATCTGCCGCGTCCGTCATGCGCCAAGACTTCCAGGCGTGGAGGGTCCGGCCCGAGCCCAGCTGCAAGCCCCGGAACGAGTACCACCCCCCGCCGGCCCCGTTCAGCAACGAAACCCAGTACCAGAAGGACTACAAACCCTGGCCCATCCCGAGGAAGCACGACCACCCCTGGATCACCAAACCCTGGCCCGCCGGCGGGCCGGAGAGGAGCGGGGCCGGCGGGCAGAAGCGTCGAGCCGCCGTGGCCGAGAGCGGCGCGGAGAAGAGCGAGATGGAGGAGAAGATCCAGGAGAAGGAGGTGAAGGTCCAGGAGAAGGAGGTGAAGGTCCAGGAGAAGGAGGTGAAGGTCCAGGAGAAGGAGGTGAAGATCCAGGAGAAGGAGGTGAAGGTCCAGGCGAAGGAGGTGAAGGTCCAGGCGAAGGAGGTGAAGGTCCAGAAGGACGCGAAGAAGGAGGCGGAGGAGCAGCGCAGGGGCAGGGCGGCCGCTGATGCTGTGAACAAGCAGATCAAGGAGGTGATGTCCACCTCCAGCAGCTACAGGTGAGTCTGAGGAACAACAACCGAACCGGCTCGTTTGGCTCCGAACACACCTTAAAGGAATGCATGTCGCCCGCCGCCTCTGATACCAAGTGTTTTGAACTTTGCTCATCAAATCTCGCACAATATCGCGAGATCTCACGCGATCCAACAGCTCTCAGAGGTTTTGTTGAGGATGACTCTCAGCTACGACCACACCAAGTTTTAGTTCTTTAGCTGCACAGTTGATGGAGTTAGAGACATTTTTGTGTTTCCTATGATCAATTAGCTGCGACGGCCATCTTGAATCAGGTTAAGTCCAAAAATGAATCACTTGTAGTCATACGTCCAGTGAACACTTTCTGAAAGTTTTAATAAATCTGCCCAGTGGTTTCAGAGATATTTTGCTAACAGACGAACTGGGTTGACTCCAGTTGATGTCAAAGTTTAAACCAAAGGTCTTGGTGATCTATTAGCACTCAGATTATTGTGGATGACTCCCAGCTACTACCACACCAAACTTTAACTCAGTATCTCCAGAATTGACTAAATTAAAGCCATTTTGGTGTTGGTTAACGTTGATTAGCTTTGGCGGCCATCTTGAGTGAGACTGACTCGAAATGGCATCAGTTGTATACGTTCATCCAGTGACTACCTTCTGAAAGTTTCATTAAAATCCATCCAGTGGATCCCTTAATATTTTGCTAACAGACGAATAATATTAACTTGAGAAATGAATGCTCAAGATTTAAACAAAGGAATGGTGCACGGATTAATCCTTTCAGCATGTGCTGTGAATAACTCTCAGCTACGACCACACCAAAATGTAGCTCCATATCTATAAAAATATTAAAGTTCTGGTCACATTTGTGTTGGCTAAGACCAATTAGCCGTGGTGGCCATCTTGAAATGGACTGACTCCTAAAGGTATGTTGAGTTTCATTAAAATCCATCTAATATTTCACAAGATATTTTGCTAACAGACAGACAACAGCAGCCATTATTGCCCGTTTCTTGTCTCCTGGTGATAAACATCAGATGTTTGGTTTTGCAGTTTCCTGTTACAGTTGATCCAAAAGGATCTGCCACAGATCCGGGTTGCGGCATTGATTTAGTTCTGGTCTCTTCCCGGGATCACTATCGGATCAATGATGCTCCCCTCGAGTGAGTGACGTCTGCTGAAACGCTCTGAATGGGATCATGTGTCCGAGCGTGGGCCTTTAATGAGTGAAACTGGATCAAAACAAGAAGACTGTGTGTTTTCAGTCAGCAGAGAAAAGATTTTCAAACAGATCTTTTTAACAACTGGATTCACGTTGAAGCGACTGAGCCTGACTGAAACCAAACTAATGATAAAATCAGCGGCGCAGGAAGTCGTCCTTATCTCACTTTCCTGAGCCGATGAGTGGAAATCTTGACCTTTAGATGTAAATGGTTCTGTTTTAGTTCAGCAGACAACAAACATCACTTATCTAGATGAGACGGAGCGCCTTAAAGGGATAGTTCAGATCCTTTGATGTGGGGTTCTGTGGTTACGACTAACTAATATCTTACCTGTTGCAGATAGGTCCTTGAACGACTTCAGTTTGGGGGAAAAAGGTGTTTTAATTCAAACTGCCGGCATTTTTAAAGATGGATGAAGAGCCTCTGCAAAAAAAAAGCAAAATAAAAATTGGAGTCAGAGTGTGTACACTTGGGATGTAGGGCTTTACCCTCGTGACAAAAGTCCCTGTCTGTTGCAGTGTGACATGACACTTCTCATTAGGCCTGAAAAACCAAATACAGTAGTCCCTTAATTATCGCGGGGGTTACGTTCAAGACACTCCTGCAATAGGTGAAAATCCACCATTTAGGGACGTTATATTTATTTTAGTATTTATATATATTAAGGCTTTATACCCTTCCCACACTCTTGCAATGTTCTAAACTCTTAAACCTACATCATTTTAACAACATACGTGCATGTACTGTATAGTACTGCAACATTTTATATGGGTACTCACCAGTGAATATACTACAACTTGAAGGATGAGTTCAGGTTTGGTTTATTTGTCATTACGGCTGAACAATAATTCGATATCGATATATATCACGATATACTTTTATTCACTAACAGTGATATGAGTTTTAAGCACATTTTCGATATTTCTATATGATTACAGCGTTTCACCGACGCATTTCTTTTTCTCTTCGGGTTGAAGCGGCCGCTTCAGTTTCAACCCGAACAGAAAAAGCCGGGACACATTGTAAGTGCGTGGTGACGTAGATGTTACGCAGAGCTCGAGTCCAGAAGGAGTTAGCGGTAGCAGGCTAGGCTAGGCTAATCTCCAACGTGCGTTAAGTTTTCGCTTCAAAAGGACCGTCAGAATGTGACTGAACAAGCTTTCACAAGCGAAGAGAAAGCAGATGACATAGCTGATGAGAGGAAAGACTAATTTGTTGGTGTGGAAGTGGTTCGGCTATCTAAGATCTGATGAACTGGAGGTATCGGTGTGCTGCAAAATGTGCCGGAGAGTCGTTCCAACTAGGCCTGTCACGATAAACAATAAATCAATTATTCGCATGATAAATGAAAATTATCGACCTCATTTTAATTTATCGGCTTTATCGTTTCTTCGTCTCTCTCTTTCTACTGAAGACACTGGATGACAAAAGGCTTAACTCCAGTGCTCTTCACTGACCCCTCCCTTTCTCTTTAAAATCCGTTTTAACCGTCCAAAATCACCTTTTTGGCTCGCAGCTAAGCTACGAGCTAAGCTTACAGGCCGACCTTGGGGAAAAAAACTTCTGTCTTGTTGAAGCCCCAAAATTCACAGTTGAAACCTGTACCTTTGTGTAAAAAGTTGTTTTTCTCTGCAAAAAGAAGCTGAGAACTTGTTTACTGATTTTTTATTAAAATCTTTGTGTGAAAAATGCTATGCTAAAGAGCTCAAACCACACCGAGGGTCTGCCATGTCACCATGTCAACCCATGTCACATCAAGGGCCCTCCCTCCCATTTTTCTTAGAGAGGCCTTCTCAACTATCCATCCTTCGGTTCAAACAGTCTTATACTGCCATCAGGTGGTCAAGAAAAGGTACCACACTCAAAACAAATCAACATTTCTTATAAAAATTGTCAATTACTAATTATTGCTATATTTCAAACAATATTATCGTTTATCGCAATAATTTCTGAGACAATTAATCGCCCAGCAAAATTTGTTACCGTGACAGGCCTAGCGGTGGGAACACATCTAACTTGTTCCACTCGACAGAATATGCTGAGAGTCAGAAGATGAAGCTCAATAAAAGTTTGAGCCAACGTGTCCCTGAAACAACACCCCTAACTGAATCAAAAGAGAAACCCATGCAGCAAACGCAGACGTTGACTGCACGGGTTAGGTTATGTTGTTGTCCACAGCAGTTGCCCTCCCAGACTGCCCTCCAGAACCAGAGAACATTCGAGGTTTCCCTGCGGAACCGAACAGATCTGTAGAGTTCGGTCCAATCAGGTAGATGGAGGATCATAGAGACGGCCGCCATGACAGGCATGAGCCCAAGGCTGGAAGGACTGAACCATGATGGCAAGACAGTGACACACAAAACTCCACACGTGTGTCACAGTCATACCCGTACTGTGGGTGTGCAGTGTAGGCACAAAAAAAGTTAAAACAAAAATAACAGGATCACAAAAAGATTGAGTCGAAGCGGAGCTCCCGTCAGTGCTACCACTCTGTGGCGCACGTGACGTCAGAAATTATTTGTGACTGTGAGCTTAATAGATAGATCGTTACTACTGGCTTTGTGTTGCAAAACTGTTTTTACCACATCGGTTTCTCCGCTAGTGTTTTTCTACCTCCATTGCTGTTCTTTGAATTTCAGCAGAAAGCAGTGGCCGGAAGCACTGTTGGCTTCTGGGCTGTGTAGTTCTTTTGACTTGCGTTACAGTGTAGGCTTATTGAAAGTAAACTACAAAATGACAGCGCCTGTCCAAAGTTTTTTTTTGTTTGTTTGTTTTTTGTCCTATTAGTTGGTTCCCGTTCCCGTTAATTTTTTATCCCGTACCGTCCCAATCACGTGAGTAATATCGAAGTTGAGTGTGCCGTGTACAATCTTACGTTGAAAATCCGCCTAAGAGTGAGTCCACAAAAGGCGAACCACAAAGTATAGAGGGTCTATGTAAAGTAAAATACAGTGAATGTTTGAATATTCAGCAACAAGGTAAAAGCAATATGAATCAGCAAAAATCAACAGAGGAAGAGAAAGTTAAGTACATTAATATTTTTTATCCTGAAAGTGTCCCATTGTTTTACATGTAGAAGGCGGGACTTAAATAATGGTGCTGAAGCCAGCCACTAGGGGGCGCTCATACAAAGTGGCTTCAACTTCCAGCTTCCAGTCCTGTCTCTATACTTTATAACTTGATGATTGACAATCTAATGGCTAGTCAGAGCTAAACCAAGACCAAATGGGATCGCTGCTGCCATCTTAAATCTCCAACATTAACAATTTCAGAGAAGTTTAGGCAAACACTGTTTCATAAATCTTTACACCTCAGACACATTACACAAATATGTACTCACAATGAGCTATGTACAAAACAGAAAAAGAATTAGCTGCAGGTTTTATAAATATGCACATTATCTGCAGTGTGATTTAATTACATTTAAAACTTTTAACGGAGCAGAAATGTGAACGTTCTGTCAGTCGATGGAGGTCTCAGTCAACGTTTTGTTGATTTGACTTTGAGAAACATGCTGTCCTGCACATTCTTAAGGATTTAAGGAATGTTTAATTGTTTGACATTACTGGAAAACTGCTAAGGTTATTAATGAGTAGAAATAAACAATCCGAACTAAGGAGCAAGTTCTCACCAATAAACGATTGGTATAATTTTGTAGGACCCAGTGCTGATAGAAGAACATCTCATTTTTTCTGCTTTGTGTCTGTGTGTGGAATAAATCTCATCTAAAGAACAGTGTTCAATCGAGCCTTCAGCTTGAACAACGGACATAAATCTCTGACAGGTTCTGTAACACAAAACCAGTTGAAGCTGACACAGACAGTTGATTTCATCGATTAGTTCATCTCTTAGTTCATCTCTCGTGTCTCAGCTTCCCCGATGTCGTTGTTCCTCTGGAAAAATAAGTCACTTTTCAAGGTTTCTTTGTTCTGGTTTTCTTAGGACTGAGTTCAAGGCTTATAAGGATGTGAAACCCGTGAAGCCCATCAAGGCTCCGTCTCAGTACAAACCTCCAGGAGAGGAGACCAGCCTGGAAACCTGCTACAGCGCCACGTTCAAGGGGGAGCAGGTCAAAGGTCAGAAAGACAACAAGCTGCAGGAGCGCAGGAGGATACGCAGCCTTTACAGCGAGCCCACCAAGGAGCCCGCCAAGGTGAGCAGGAGGTCCACGGGTTTCTGTTCAAGTCGGAAAACATTCTAATTTAAAAGAGAGGGACTTCTGTTATAACGTTATAAACAATTAGTATCTTACCTGTTGTAGATAGCTCTTTGAACGGCCTCAGTTTGGACAAAACCAAGTTTAAGTCTGATCGGATTGACAAGCTAACGGTTTCTCAAGGACTGCCGTCGTCATAAAACAACTTCAGAATTAAAAAAATCATAAAAAACTTGTTATTGTAAAACTTTACGTAGCTTTTGGTTTCACATTTCTCAGTTATTCCAGAAGAAATATGCAGCAGGAAGTGCCTCAGTCTGGCTAACTAGCTGCAGCTCTGGCAGCGTTATTCAAAGACAGAATTTAGTGTAAATAACTGGGATGTGAGACTGACTGCACTTTACAAGGTTTATAAAATAATGTTTGCTTGAATGGTTAGGAAATGTTTGAAACCAGAATTGTTTTGAGACAACAACAACCCAGTTTTGTCTTATTTTAGCTTAAACTAGTCGTTACCTTGTTGACATGAAAATGGACAAAGAGACTTTCTAAATATCATTTTAATTAATTGAAGCTTTTTTTTTTTTGCTTCTGCCTGCCTGTTGCAATTTTGGCATCAGTTTGCTCACTGGAGATGAGGGGCCAGTGATCAAATATACATAAATACTAAAGTCCCGTCTACAAATCTCATGAATTCTCCAACCGTTTGTCGCATTTTCGTCACAGTACCATGACGCTTTTTATTAAAGCTTCTAAAAACTATGTTAAACGAAACACTAAATATATATATATATATATATATATATATATTTTTTTTTTTTTTGAACAAACAGCATCAAGGTAAGGACTACATGAATATATAAAAAATACAGTTTGAAATAGATTATCTAAAGTTTATTTTGATTTTTAGTCAGAAAAATGTTCTATGCATTCAACCTTTATTTATCTAGGTTAGTCTCATTGAGCTACAAAGACTGTTTTACAAGAGAGACCTGTTTTAGACAAACATAGACAACAATAAAAAGCAATTAAAATAATAAGTAGTGTTATAATAACAATCAAATCAAGGTACCATATTGTACAAGGTAAAATGAACATGATCAGTTTAACTACAACCAATGGAAATAAAACCAACAATGCACGTTTTCAGAAATGAAAATCAAAACTTAAAATTTGGAAACCACATTTAAAAACTAGCCAACGCTTAATGAACAGTTTAGTCCAGATTTGACTTTTTTAAACAGGTTTAAAGTGGACCTGATGCTATCAAAGAACCAAAATGCTCTTTTTCCTGATGCGATTTGTGAAGAAATAAAACAAAACGTTTTATTAGCTTTAAATCCTGCGGCTCTGCAGGTGAAGCCAACAGGTGTGTTCAGGACGGATTACACCGACAAGTAAAGTGAATTTAACCTTGAGTGAAGACTTCAGGCTGCTCTTGTGTTGGTTTTTTTTTTTACTTTAACGCCCTCAACTTTCTGATCCGACTTAATCTGAGCCTCATTAGAAGGGTTCAGAAATATTGTTGAAACATATTTTGCCCCATCGTATAGATATAAATATAAATATCTAACCTGGCGGCTTAGAGGTGGCTTCTACATAATTGATTTAAAGCTTCGATTAAAGGAAATATGACGTATGTAGCTGTGAGATGTAGAAAATAGTAAAGGGCTTGTGTTTTGTCTCTAACGTTGAAAACAGTTAGCAGCAGTTAGCCTTCAGGCTAGTTTAGCCGTTAGCATTGAGCTAAGTTCACAGCAATTTGTTTTCAACCAAGAGCAGATGCCTCCAAATCCGCTAAACATACTATTAGTATACAACTGTAGTATACAAATAGGGGGCGGGGCTTAATAATTTGGACTGGAGCCAACCACTAGGGGGCGTTCATCCAACGTCCGGCTTTTGGTGTTATGTCTAGTTAAGGTTTATGTCGATGTCGCAAATCAAACTCTTCTGTTTCTCCAAACCGAAGGAGCTTTCTACAGCAGTGAGACGTTAATTGTTTGTAACCGTTCAACAATTCAAAACTATTTTTGTATCCTTGAAACGTTGAGCACGTTAGGCACAACAAAGTTTTTGTTAACCCTTTCATTTACAAATGTGAGATTGTGAAAATGCCTTAACCTAATGATTGGTGGAATAAACATGAAAGAAAATGTCCAAACCTGTTTATCTACAGTAAAAACCAACAGACTACTGTTTAAACTGGTACTAACCACCTTGGTGTGAAATTTAAACATGTAACTCAACTTTTGATTGTGAACATATAAGATGTCATGACTAGGAGTGTATAGATGAGTGGTTTAATTGGTTGAAGATGTGTGTGGACACTCCCTCTCTCATTCTTGTAGGACGTCTCAGACTGAGAACAGCTCTGCTCTCCACCTGCCGTTGTCAGGTGTGTGTGCTCTGTTTCTTCTTAGAAGGCATGGAGACCCGACAGACTGGCCAAACGAATGCAAACACTGTCCGCGCACGTCCACGCACACACAACCTGCTCCATCCATCACCCTGGCTGCCAGATGCGACCCACCCAGAGTTACCGTATTATCCACATGTTCACCACGTGCGCACCTCTTAGACTGCACCAACCACCACCTTCTAACACGAGTTCATGTTAAATAACTAACAGGTGTAGCAGAGACGCTGGGCAATAGGTGTGTTAGTTGCATCAGTGGGGATAAACAAGAAAATATAATTCTCTGTTTTGATGCAATGTACAAAAAGACTTGAAACTTGCATTCCTCTTAAGAAATGCTTTTTTTTCCCACCTTGCATGCAGAAGTTTTAAAGCTCTTGCTGGATTTATTAGTGCTCAGAGTTTGTGTTGGGGATGAGGCTAAGCTACTACCACAACCAATCTTAGCTCGTTACCTATAATATTCGTTAAGTCAACCCATTTTTATGTTTGCTAAGCGCGATTAGCTGTGGCGGCCATGTTAAAGTGATTTGACTTCAAAAGGTAATCGGTTGTAGACGTTCATCTAGTTCTGGGTTTCATTAAAATCTGTCCTCTGGTTCATGAGTAAGTTTACTAACAGACAGATGGCTGACACGAACAGCTAAAGCCAAAGTTTTTCTTTCAGCTACTCCCTTCTTCAAGGTGGGGGGGGGGGTTGCACAGCGAGCGAACTCGCATTAAAGAATCAGCGTTCTTTTTTAAAATCTGGACGCCCTTCCTGACACAACATGGACTCAAACCTGCAGCCTCAGATTTACAAGCACTGACCACTGAGCTACAGCTACACCCCAAAGTCTCATACAAACATCTTGGAAAATCTGTTAGCCCTCTGAGTCTGTGATGAGAATGACTGTCAACTACTACCACACCAAATGTTTGCGCGACGTGAATGAAATTTCCGCTGAGCTCAGTCAGCTGTGGTGGCCATAATGACTCGGGTTGACAGCAACAGATACAGTGTTTCCCCGACATTACTTGCCTTGGCAAGGCGCTCATATTTTCCGGGATTTTTGTCGACCTGGACGCGAACGAAGACACGTCTGTGTTGCGCACTGTTTGTACCGACTGTTTTCGAGTGGGGAGGGATGTAGACGGCTCAGACAGAGCATTACTGTTGGATAAATTAATTATCCCATCATCATCTCATTAATAAAATAAGCCACACTGAGAATGCGAGAAGATCTTTTCAACCCAGTTTACTTGCAAGGTGGCAGCATTGAACACAGGCTGACAAAGATGGTACATGAAGTAGGGATGCAAATTATCGGCACGGTATCCGTATCGACCGATATTAGCATTAAAGTTCAATATCGGACATCGGCCATTCCATCAAAATAATTCAATGATATAAAAGGCACTGTTTTTGTATGACAACGCAGTGACAAGTATGCCTGCAACGGCAGCACAACGTGATGACGTCATGCGCACCTACCTGATCTCACGGCGGAGAGGAAAATTCAAAATATCGCTGGTGTGAAAGTTTTTTCCATTGGTGAAGATGTTGGATTCCGAAGATTTATGGACTACGTCGAGCCTCGCTACATCGTCCCCAGTCGGAGATATTTTTCCGACGTAACGTTACCCGAGTTACAAGCCGTCATTTCCGACGTCATTGAGAAACTAATAGCCGATATCACTTGGGTGAGTTTTACCACCGACATCTGGACGTCGTGTTAGCCCCGTTAGCATGATTAATCTTACGGCACAATGGCTAGACAAAAACTTTGAACTTAAAAAGTCTGTCCTTCATGCACAAGAGTGCAGAGGATCCCACACTGCAGCTAGGAAACTGGAACAAGCCTCCACAAGTGAGACAGCATCGCAGGTGACTAATGCTAATAAATAACATTTAACACTTTTCATTTAATATATGTCAAAGTGCTATGTATATCATATGGCTGTTACTGAATATATGTCACCAGCTCTTACAGCTGTTTCATAGCAAATAAGCCTAAATATGAGGGCTATGTTCTGACAAAGGAATATATATATATATATATAAAATATCGGTATCGTTATTGGCCAAATAAGTTTTAACATATCGGCATATCGGATATCGGCCAAAAATCCAATATCTTGCATCCCTAACACGAAGCTCTGGTCGCTCTGGTCACAAGGTCTGCCCACAGACAGCATAAAGAAGCATCTACTCATAATGCTTATCAGCCAGTTATCATCCTGAGTAGACAAAAAGACTCTTGACCTCACACAAACATGATTTTACTTTAATTTAACATTAGTAAGTGAAAACATCCATGACCTTTACATAAGTTCCCATAGCAGCTACCTACAGTATGTAGCTTTTTAGCTAGCGCGTATGTATTCTACGCAGCAAGCTTAGGGCTACGTCAGTGCTGGAAGTTGTCGACGGGTGGTGCCAAGTCAGTAGGCAGGGCGTTCGGTTCTGTTGACAGGGCGGGGCGCTCTGCTTGTATAATGGTAGGGGAAACACTGGATAATTAGCTGCAGATGTAGATCCAACAGTGACTTTTTCCTGAGGGTTTCACTAAAATTGTAGGTCACAAGATATTTTGCTAACAGACAGTCAAGCACACACTCACAAATACAGACAATGACATGATCGCTCGCTGGTTGGCGGCGGGCCATTAAAACAACAGAGAGGCAGTGTATAAAACTGGTAAAGGCTGGAGTTTTTGTGTTTTTTGTCGAAGTTTACAGCTTGTGATACAGTCAGGAAGATTTAAATGTATTCTTCAAACAGTGTTAAATACAAAATCCAAAAGTAAAAAATAATATGTTGAACATGATACATAGTATAATCCAGTAATCAGACAAGTCTTTATTAACGTCACAGACGGCCTCTCATACAATCCTTTACAACGTTTCTAAAATTCATTTGTTCAACCGAAGCGGAGCCTGTTGTTGGGACTTCCTCCATCGGTCTGTTGTTTCTGTCCACTGTGGAGGAGCAGAGAGACACTCAGGGTCTTGTTTTAATCAGCATTCATCTCAGTTTTACCCTCCATATTTCAATCTACAATTCTCAGCTGCAAGCCTGTGATAATAATGGCTGAACTTTTTCATTCCTTAAAAACACTAGACTAACATCATACTAATATATAGTATATTCTGGGTATACTTTGTGTTTTTTTAATTTAGAATATGCACTTAACATGAGCAAATCCTTGTTCTATAGACAAAAAGGCACAAATACACCATTCTGTGCTGCTTTTTGTCTTTTCCCATTACACTAACTGCATAACCTGTATGCAAATACCACCTGCACCATTTGCCTGTGATTACTTTAAAACATGGGGCATACGTAAAGGTATGTGATGCATGCTAAAGTAGAATTTTGACTTCATAACCGATGTGACCCGTGCTGACCAAATGAGATGGAACGAGTTCAGGCTGCAGCACAAAAATGTGAAAATGTGGATTTTTGCTATAATTGAGATTTTCATAAAAATGTATCCATAAAAACACAATCTAATAACCCCAGCAACTAAAACAGCAGATAATCTTCTTAATCCAACTTTAAATTGAAGCTTGTTTATAAAGGTATGTCTTCATAAATAACCCTTCTCTTATAAACATCATATTTTTCTTGAAATTGATTGACTTGGAAATCCCTTTGTATAATGCTTGGTGTCAATGTGAAGCTTAGGGATTTTCCTTTTTAAATATAGGACTAGGATTCTTGATGACATCATTCCAGACCAATAAAGTTGAGTTTTCAAATTGGCACTCTCGTAAACAAAACTAGCTTGTTGTTGGGTGAAAAAACACCAAATTTCAACAAAATAATTAAATCATTCTGAAGCTTTTGAGATTGAGATTTAGATATTATTAAGCCAATGGTGGAAAATTCCTCATCGCCACTCATTTTTCCAGCAAGGGTCACATTTTGTGTTCATAATTGTACTTTATAAATGTCTAATCTGTTCTTCCAGTAAGAATTTGTCCCATCCAGACACTTTGCTGGTCCCAATTTGAGTCAAATTTACTGTAGCTTCCGCCGTACATGTCACACCACTGTATAAGTCACATTAGTCCAAATATGTTTGATAAAGTGGAAAAATCCATAAATCAGTCACTTTGCTGCATATGTAGCATCTATTATGCGTCACTGCTGACAACCTGGAAATGTGGGCCGGTGTTGTGCCAAAAATCGATTGGTTGCGAAACAGGAACCAGGACCGCTGGGGTGTATATGGGAGGACTTTAACAAGAATTTAACAAGATTAACACTTAAAAACAATTATTTGTTTTCTCGAAATTATAGCAAAGGTGTGAAGCTGATTTGATGGTTGCTCCAGGCGAGTTGGACAAAGGTGGCAGGCTGTGGCAAGCCGATTGTGTCATTAATATCCATTTTTACCTATTACATGATACAATGGCATGCCATACACCTCTGGCGCCATCTAGTGGCTGAAAATGGCAGTGTTCAATATTTTCAGTCTGAATGAATGAAAACAGTCATATCTCAGCCAAAAATTGGTTTATAAATATGGGGGAAAATCCATAAATATGTCACTTCTGCGTATAAGTCGCAGGGTATGCAAATTATGCAAAAACCCCGTAACCTATAGGGTGAGAAATACGGTAGCTGTTTTGTCAGGTTTGATGCTTTTCAACTGCTTATCCATATCTTGGGTTTTCAAAACATAAAGTTAGCATCAAACGAGTATCTTTTCCTCGACGTAAACGAGTAGAGTTTATGCCTAACCCTACACAAAAGCAAGCAATGCTTAAAAACAAGTTGTTGCAGCACGACAGGGTCTGGGAAGGGTCTGGGTTCAATCCTTGGACTGGGCCTGGTGACTTTCTGTGTAGATCAAAGTTCATGCTCATTAATCCAGGTTGAAAATCCAACAAAGTTCAGTCAGGCCATCTGGATGGTTTATTTTTTTGTCGAGATGTTTCTTCCTTCATCCAAAGCACTTCATCAGCTTGAGGAACCACAACAAACTTAGTCCCTCAAGCAGCACACCCACATAGTGAACCAACCAGTTTGCTGGTGATAAGATGGTTTCTGGAGTCCACCCTCTCCCCCCGTCGACTCCTCTGAGACATCCATAGCCAAAGTGGTTCAAAAACAAAAGTGGTTGTTGTGGCTCCTCAGTCTGATGAAGTCCTTTAGATGAAGTCCTTTAGATGAAGTCCTTTAGATGAAGTCCTTTAGATGAAGGACGAAACATTTCAACAGAAAAATAAACCGTCCAGATGACCAGACTGAACTTTGTTGGATTTTATACCTGGATTATTGAGCATGAACTTTGGTATTTCTGTGTAGAGTTTGCGTTGATTTTCTCCGGTTACCTCCAGCAGTCTAAAAAACATTTATGGTCGCTTCCCTTAAATAAGACGTCTGTGACCTAAATGGGATTTGCCAGGTTAAATAAATAAATGTTATTTAAAACAGACAGTAGACCATAAGTCATTGTTACTTTATTAGATTTTTCTACCTGGATTATTGAGCATGCATCAGGATATCAGTGTCACTTTATCCCACTACTGATCCTGCTAATTTTTTACGAGGTGAATTTCCCTGCATGTCTGTAGAGATCTTGCTGCTGACGTCTCTTTGTCGCACAGACACCATCGGACGTCATAATTTGTCTCAGTGTCGGCGCTGACTTTATCAAGCTGACAGCAGTTATGCTGCCCTGGAAAATACTGCTCTAATGCAAAGACTCCTGGAAATCTCAACCCATCACATTCCTACTTTGCGTCGCAGAACCTCTACAGAGGACTGTTGTCTCCTCTCCCAGGCTTCAGGCCAAGCTAAACTAGCCATCAGACAAACACGAGACTCGTTTCGCTCACCTCACTGTCTCAGCAGTAAAACCAGCTGAAGCACATCCCGAGATATCAGACACCTTCCTCCTCCATGTCGGTTAAATCTCAACGTCTTCAACCCTCCCTCTTTTTCAGGTGGACAAGCCAGCGTCTCGCACCAAACCAAAAAAGCCACCGACGACGAAAGCAACGGGGAAGATGGTGAAAAAAGCTAAAGAGAAGCAGATTTCTAGTTCCCAGTCAGCAAAGAAGAAACCGTCATCAGACACCAAACCGGAGGGAGTCGTGACGAAGAAGAGCAAAGAGATCAGCAACAGACTGGCTGAAGCCAAACAGTAGAAGAGCAGGATTTCTACACTTTAATGTGCTCGATATTAAGCGACGTGATGAATTCTGTCGATCTCTTCTGTTTGTCTCTGTCTGTTGTCTTGTCCCACACGGTCCACCTTTACTTGACCACTGATGTTGAGCTTTAGATTAACGCAAACCTTTTCACTGGAAACTCAGTGCCAGAGCGCGAATGTATGCAAGTTCCTTATTCTTTTTTATTTTTTTGTATTTTGCTGCACAGAACCGCTTTTATATATTTTGGAGCACCTAATTTGCACAAATGAGTTTTGCTTTGCAAGGATTTAAAAGGAGCCATCCGTTGTTGAGTAAAAGTCTTGAGCCTTTCTGTGTAACTTTATGTTTCTCCTCTGCAGAAGGTCTTCAAATCTTTTGAAATGGGGATTGTGTGGAAAGGATGTGAAGAATTAATGTCTTACCTGTTGTAGACGGCTCTTTGAACAACTTCACTTTGGAGAAATACAGATGATTTCAGACCAGACTGATGAGCTAATGGCTAGTCAGAGCGGAAGAACAAAGTGGATTGCTGCAATCACCTTCAAACTTAAACAAATATTATTTATGAAGTGTTCACAATAACTTGTCCAATAATATTACTAACATTACTGTCAATTGTCAGCAATTAGCATAGATGCTAACATAACATAGAAAACACCATAGAAGAGCTAACATGATTAGCTTTGTGTTTATCACTGAACATTAATTCACAAATCAAACAGTTCAGTCATTTCTAAAGACAGTCATGCTATAATAACTTCAGTTAATATTTTCAGACATGTTCTTCAGAGTTCAGTGAAGGGAAGATGATAAAAATGTGAAAACACACGACTTTACTGCAACGTGTTTTTACTGCACGGAACTACGGTAACTCTACAGGGACAAACAGCAACGCACAGTTTGTTAAATAGTTTTTGATGAATTGCTGTGATTGTTTTGCAACTAGGCCTGTCACGATAACAAATTTGGCTGGGCGATTAATTGGCTCAGAAATTATTGCGATAAACGATAATATTGAAATTTGACAATAATTAGTAATTATTGTCTTTTTTTTAAGTTGGTTAATTTTTATGTGTAGTACCTTTTTTGACCATTGGATGATAGTATAAGACTGAACCGAAGGATGATAGTGAGGGAGCAAGCAGCGTGTCTCTTCAAGAAAAAGGAGGGAGGCCCCTTGACGTGACATGGGCTGTCTCTTTCGTTCCTGTTTTTCGGTTCTCAAAATGGCGGACGCTCGGTGTGATTTGAGCTCTTTAGCATAGCATTTTTCACACAAAGCTTTTCATAAAAAAATCAGTAAACAAGTTCTCAACTTCTTTTTGCAGAGAAAAACAACTTTTTACATGAAGGCACGGGTTTCAACCGTGAATTTTGGAGCTTCAACAAGATTAAGGTTTTTTTTCTCGAGGTCGCCCTGTTAGCTTAGCTCGTAGCTTAGTGTCTCAGATTAGCTGCTTTTAACGATCCAAAAATTTCAAACTGGTTGAAAACAACAAAGGGGGAAGAATCAGTTTTGTTGTGTGTTTCCTTGACTGATGAAGCCTTCCGGACCGAAGGCGAAACGTTTCAGCACAAAAAGAAACTGTCCAGATGACCTGACTGAAAAATGTTGGATACACGAAAGTATGTTTCTCCAAACTGAGGTTTTTCTAAAAGCTATCTACAACAGGTAAGATATTAACTGTTCTTACCGTTTCCTCAAAATCCCACTTATAAAGATTAGAACTATTGCTTCAAAAGAGCTGGGCAAGTTTGTTATTGTTTAAATGGGTCTTGACAATAGTTTGGTATGTTTTCTGAAGGTTTTTTTAGCTTATCGGTAACTCATCTATTTTTATCATGTTGTTGGGCCCTAATTATTTCAGAACAAATATGTTATTTTGTTTGTTTTTATAGACCACCTAAACCAACCTAAAGGGCACCCGACAAAAGATAAACCAGTGTTTTCAAATGAGAGACCACCAAGAACCATTTTAAAACGGTGTCTTTATGCACTTTGTTACTGGCAGCCTATACAAATACAATTTCTTCTTTTTTACACTTGAACTAGAAAAAAAAGCCAAAGTTTAACAGGCATTTAATTTAGGCATTTATCATGGGATCTCACTTCTCGGCCTCCCTGGTAAAGTTGACACCAGGAGGTGTTGGAAGGGAGACTCTGAGCGATTGTGGAGCGAGGAACATGGCCCTCATTGTGGAACAGTGGTTCAGATCTTCACCCTTGCACAGTTGTTAAGGGGTTCATGGGAGTTTAACTTTCCAGTCTGCATGTGTTTAGAGTTGTCCCTTGTTTATTACGGTACGTTTGTTACATTCCGGACCACCCCCCTGGAATAAATGAAAATCCGTGAAGTAGGGACGTTATATTTATTTTAGTATTTATATATATTTTAATATTTTAAGGCTTTATAAACCTTTCCCACTCTCTTGCAATGTTCTAATCTCTTCAAACTACATAACTTTTACAACATATGTATATGTACTGTACAGTACTGCCAACTTTTACTCACCAGCTCTGCAGAACATAAAGGCTCGGTTCTGGTCCATCTTGGCAGACCCACCCTGCTGGACCTATCCTGCCGGTTCTTGTCGGCTCTTTGCAGCCCTTGAGCACCAAAACGCTTGGAGGCAGTCGGTCCTTCAGATGGCCAGCACGGGACCAGATGGTCCAATCGAGTCCAAATACGGATGAAAAAATTCTGTGGGCTCCGGAGAGAACACCAGACTTCCGGGCGGTACCTCCCTGCTCGGAAGTTCAAAGTCAAGCTCACTCAGACTGCAGGTTAGAGTCCACCAGAGCTGACTGGTCTCTGATACTGTTTGTGGTGTTCATGGACAGGATCTACAGGTCGTGGTGAGCAGGTTGTCTAGTTTGGGAACCTCAGGATCTTGCCTCTGCTTTATGCACATGATGTTCTCAGCTGTTCTCAGCGTGCACATGGAGGTTCACAGCCAAGTGTGAAGCAGCTCGGATGGAAGTCAGCTCCTTCAAGTCCGAGTCTATGCCTCAACCAGAGGAGTTCAAGTTGGGGGTATGGGGTGCCATTTGTAAAGTTACACGGTCAAAAATTAACAGCAATATTTTGGTTTATTTAGATTTCATAAGTAAAACAAATAGTTTTTTTTTTCAAAGTCATATGTTCACCATGTTATTATTATATATTTATATATGTCATAGTTCCAAAAGAAGTATTTAAAGCTAAATATTTAGTTTGTAAACTAAATATTTAACTTGCAATTTAAATATTTAACTTGCAAGTTAAATATTTAGTTAGCAATATTTAGTTTACAAACTAAATGTTTGTGTCCAAGCTAAATGTTTAATTTACAAACTAAGTATTTAACTTGCAAGTTAAATATTTAGTTACTAAATTAAATATTTATTTTGAAAATTAAATGTTTAGTTTGGAAAATAAATATTTAGGTCTGAGCTAAATATTTAATTGGCAAATTAAATATTTATTTTGGAAACGTAATATTTAGCTTGGAAAATAAATATTTCGGTCCAAGCTAAATATTTAGTTAGTACATTAAATATTTAATCTATGAATTAAATGTTTAGCTTAGAAATTAAATGTAACTTTACAAATGGCACCCCATATGGGAGATGGATAAACCGATTTGGACAGTGTCCTCAATTATGAGGACGGTGATTTGTCTTTTAAGGTTTTAGTTGAAAGGCAAAGTTCTCGATTTACTGGTCTATGCTCCAACCCTCACTTATGATGGTCATGTATGAACAATGACTGCATGAGGATACAAGCTGCTGAAATGAGCTTCCTTCGCAGGGTGGCCGTTCTCAGCCTCGGAGATCCGGTGAGGATCACCGTCATCCGTCAAGTTTGGGTAGACCCAGAGCTTTTAAGAGAGATTATATATTCTCTCAGGCCTGGGAACTCTATGGGATCCTCCAAAAGGAGCTAGAGAGTTTTAATGAGGAGTGGGATGTCTGGTTTCCCCCTCTGGACCTGTTGCCTCCATGAATGGACCATAGATCAGCAGTAGAAAATGAATAGATACATCAGTCCAAGGAAAAGCAGTTCTTTGTGTTTGCAACAGGCTTTTGCAGTAAAGTGCATATTCCACATTTTATGTGTGAACACAATACTGGCTCATCCCTTGATTTACTTGTCAATCCTGTGATTCATCATGTTAAATCATCTTGTTAAATAACTTCGCTTTTACCTTAAAAATAAATGAAAACATTTCCCAAAAATGACCAGGGACAAGAATAGATGATCAAGACCACTTCTTTCAAAAATATATTTCTTTGCATCATATTATTTTTAAAAAATCAGGGATGGCTTAAGACTTTTGCTCCGTACTGATGCATCTGAATGAAAAGGCGTTTTTTTTTTTTTTTTAATGAAAACCAGCTGAGATCATTATGAACATGATTGTGCTTTAAAAAAAAAAGTCCAAAATGTGCTTTTGTCACCGAGCAGTGTTGTGAAAGTTCCTACTCTGCTGAGTGGTTTTCTAATTTCCAGTGCCTCCGCTGTTTGGTCCTGGTTTTCATTTCATTGTTCTGGATGAGATCTGGTTTAATCAGATCGGTTGCTAAGAAACCCGACGGACCGTAATGTGATTGCCTCAGCTTGCATGCGAGACGCTGTTTTGGTTGAGGAGCAACGTTGGAGCAGACCGTGCGTCACAGTCACATTCTAGCTTGTAAATTGCGCTGATGAAGATAAATTCACGAGGAGAGGAGCCTTTTCAAAAGCAATGCATGAGTGGAAAAATTATAATCTGGTGTCTGTTACAGCTGTATAAAAAAGACACCACCAGTTTGACTCCCAACATTTTTCTTTATTAGTTTTTTAACAACACTGAATTTTGTATGAATGCACACATAGGCTTAAAAAAAAACACATTTTCCTCAACAAAGTTCCTCACTAAATAGTTCGATCTGTCCGGGTGTTTAAAGACAAGGAATGGGCCAGGACTTAAAAGTTCAGCTTTTTAAAATGCTGCTATCATAAATCATGTGTGCTCATCAAGCTGAAATGTCCATCCAGCCCATCCGACCCTTTCAGGTTATCCTCCACCAGACGTCCCATCTAGCTACATGTAGTGTGTGTGTGTGTGAGAGAGAGAGGGACACAGTGATTCTGCTTGGTCTCTGAGTCTTTGTGAGATTCTGAGAGCTTGTTTTTGTGTCTGACCTCTTCAGCCTGCTGCCTGCATATCTGACCCCAAACACCTGAAGTGCTGCTCTGCACTCCCAACGTCATGGTGCTATACCTCTCATGTGTGCGTGTGTGTGTGGCCTCTGACCAGAGTGAAGTGATGACACGAGGAAGTCAGCCCGCCTCACGTGTGTTGTGATATTGTGCTTTTACTCTCAGCTTGCTCTGAATGAAATGATTAAAATGGTGCAACAGACTCTCCCTCTTCTTGGACCTTTAATGGTATTTTATACCGCTGTGTTTTAGAAACAGGACCCATGAAGGCTGCGTCGGAATATGCACAGGCTGCAGTGCAAAAAAATGTGATGATGAAAGAAAGAAAGCCAAGCCTCCATGGGGCCCTGCTAATAATGATTACTGCAACCAACAGATGACCAGATTATTCACGCACCTAACATAAACTCATTGCAACTCTGACAGCTCTGTTTACATGATCCTATTTAGTGGTACTAAAAGTAAAAATAAATAAAAAATTCCCCATCAGGATGTAATGTATTTTACAGCAAAAGTGTCATCTGGTTTATTATCTAATGTGCAAAATCATTTGTAGAGCAAGATCAACAGCAAACAGATAAAACAACTTAGATGCATAAAAATAAATTAATTGTGCAAAAACAGACAAAATTAAATAAATAAAAATGGAAATAAATAATGTAAATGATCAATTACTTGAAAACATGGAAAATTATTTAAAAATAAATTTAACGTTGAATAATTAGTTTTTAAAAATATGTAAATGTATGCAACAAGTTGCAAAAGCTGAACTTAAAATACTAAAATAGAATCATATAGAAATCATTACCAAAAAAATAAATAAATAATCCACTTAGGGGGGCCCCGGGGCCTAAGCAGCCATTTACTTATGTCTTGGGCCGGTCCTGGTGTTGTCATCATTCTGTGTTTCTATACAATGATGAAATTAGTTCTCTGCATTAAACCATCGCACCTGAGATACACCCAGGTGGAGCAGCGGGCAGCTATGTAGGCACCGGGGGGTAGTTAGGGAATGGGTGTCTTGCTCAGAGACACCACAACATGTGGGGATGGTGGGGAGTTGAACCTGTGACTATCTGGTCCCAAATTGGCTGCCTTACCTCTTCATCACAACAGCTCCTAAAATTATGGGGGCTCGTCCGGGATTCGAACCCGGGACCTCTTGCACCCGAAGCGAGAATCATGCCTCTAGACCAACGAGCCAAGACAATGTTGAGTGTTCCTGTAATCGAGGTTTGTTTAAAAGTTAACATCTAGTGAAATAACCGAATCTTCCTGATCTACTTTTAAATCAGTTTTGGAACAGAGATAATTAAAATTTTCTTAAAAATTGACATTTTTTCTCTGCCGGCTGTCATAGTGCAGGGAAATCCCTTTGTATAATTCTAACAAGGTAGAGTCAGGTCCTCTGGATGGATTATTCTCAAAACCTGTTAGCAGAGAGGAGAGGGACACACTCACCACTGTCAGCAAGGACGAGAACGTCGTCATTCTCCCAGCAGACAAAGGAAGGTGCACAGTGATCCTGAACCAGAAAAACTATCAGAGAAAGTTATGACACTCATATGAGCTGCTGAAAAGAGAGTCAGGAAGTGGTACAATGGTGGTAGCTGAGAGTCATTAACGGCAAACTTTGTGCCATGGTATTTACTTTAAAATGTGCCATGCATGACTGCAGATGTGTAGGAGAAAATTATTCTCGCTTTATCTTACTAAAAAAAAACATTTAATTGCAGGAGAAGACTTAAATAGCATAATTTTACTTGCAAGGACTCATTCAGAACAGATTACATACAAAATGCATGGAACGTACAGAATGAGCTTAGAGTAGAATCTGCTGCAGACTTTCATACAGCAGCAGAGCCCAGCCGGCGTTCCCTCATAGCCAGCTGCAGTTACAAGGCGATACACATTTTGTCATTAAATACTAGTTTTATTAATTGTCCTCTTCAGGGTTTTGAAATCTTCAGAAGAATATCTGAACGTAATTTACAAAAAACATGCATTTTTGGTTATTTGTTGTGTCAGAACCAATTCAGTCTCTATTTGCTTTTTCATATAAAAATCTACAGACACATTCAGAGTCTTGTTTATGTTCCCATATCTTGCTAAGTGGTCTCTAAACAACAACAACCAAAAAAAATATATATATACCAGCGGTGCTTTTTAAAATCAAGAATAAATTTAAAATAAATGTTTAGAGTTTTCATCTATTTGTGCTTTTCAACAATGCTTTGTCTCTGTTTGTGTGTGTGTGAATCAACTAACCAGATATAAATCTGCATGAATAATTCAGTGGTTTTGGGCTCTCATGTTTGCAGAGTGGCTTAAAATATTGAACAAGAGCTCAGCAATGGCTCATGCCTGCTTGGTTAGAGCCTCGTCTTAAATTGGATTTAAAGAATGGAGACATAGTTACAGCTCATTCCACAAGAAAAATCCATATTGAAGAAAACTCGCACTTTGCCAGACCAGGAAATAAATTTAAACGAACTACGCATCAATTTGAAGATCTTGAGATAAATATTTAAAAATGTACTATATGTCTTTATTGTGGAAAAAAAAATCCCCAGTTCGCCAGCACAGCTAAGGTCGGTAGATGGCAGCAAGCTCCAAAGACGTTTTGAAATAACTCACGAAGAAGAATAACTTCCGGTTTGGGTGCGCTCACCGGAAATAAACAAACTCGGTCAAGCTCAGAGGAGGGAAGGCGAAGGATCACAGAGCTTCTGTTTTTTTGTAAGAAATGTTTAGGTAAACTGGAATTTTATGGGTAACAGAAACATAAATGTGTTTATAAGTTTCCCTTTAGGATGTTAAAAATGTCACTTCAGAGAAAAGTTTGATAAAAAGTGTAACTTAATATTAGCGGCAGCGAGGCTGTAATAAATTGTTGGCTAACCGTCGACATAAACTGAAACTTTTAACTTAATAATGTCTGTGATGTTAACAACTTTAGTATAATTTGCTAGATATTAGTTGACCTTATTTTATCTTATAAAACGTGATAAATGTGAAATTAGCTAGAGTGATGCGGTTTATTTTTATTGGTAAAATAAAAAGTGAAGTTGATTTTTGTGTGGGTTTTTGCTGCAGTCGACATCAGTTCTTACGATGATGACAACGAAGAGACTGGGCAGCTTTCAGGTTCTGTGTGAGTGGGATTCATGCGACTTTACTGGACACAGTATGGAGGAATTGAGCGATCATATGTATCTGCATTTGAAGGACTACCTCGGAGACAAAGATGCTCTAGAGGAGCTGGGTAAGTGAGGAGGACACATGTTTGTGTCCACCTTCAGTCCAACATGTCAGGAACATCAAACTAAGAAAACAAATTATTAAAAAAGACATTTAAACAGTTGTTAAGATTATTACTTCAGGCTTTTTTACATTTGTATTAAACACAATGGCTGCTCTCATTTTTAGTCCAGTCTTGAAACTTTGCTTTTTTCACTGAAACAGGTCATTAGTTTTTTTTCTTCGCCATCGCTCATTCAAGCATGTTAAAATGTAAAAGTTTACTAAAAAACAATATTTTGAACAAGAAAATGGTGATTCTAGAAAAGCTGCATTTTTCAGGTTGTGAGTGAGGAAATTATTTGTTCAGTAAGTTAATAAAATGGACTGTTTTTAGCACATTTTACAAACAAAATATCACAAAGTGCTTTACAATAAAATAGAGTTAAACAATGCAACAGCAAAATAACACACACACATATATATATATTTATATTTATATAAATAATATTGTAAAAAGATAAGAAAACAAAAAGACATAATAAATAAAATATGTAATTGTGCTTTTAACTCTCGTCCTCTTTTTGTTTAGATGAGTTTGCTTGTCTCTGGAGCAGATGTGAATTTGTTTCCATGGGCAGCCCTTCTGAACTCGAGGTACATGCATATTTCCACAACTACCACAGTAAACTCAAGTTTATTGGCTCTCAGCTGCTCAAGTCCCGCTCTGACCTACCGGGCTGCAACCAAGGTGTGCACAGCAGCAACCTGCTGCCTGAAGGCTCCGACCAGTTCGCTTGCCAGTGGGAGCATTGTGATGTAGGCACTTTGAGTTGAAATTATTTACTTTTTTTTATAAAACAACTAAATAGGCTTCTGATATTTTGTAAAACATATTATTTAATTTGTCTCCAGAGCACATTTAACAATCCTGAGTGGTTCTACCGACACGTGGACAACCATGTGGAAAGTGCTGAGCAGCAATCTCTTTCCCATCAGCAGGCACTCTTCTGCAGCTGGGCAGGTAGGATTTAGAACGATAAGGTCATAAATTCTCATTCCCTGATCGAACGAACCCTCAGGGCATCTCTTGGTTCCATCACAGGCTGTGACGCCTTCTTCAAGATTCGGTATCGGCTGAGGGAACACATGAGGAGCCACACTCAGGAAAGACTCGTTGCCTGTCCCATGTGTGGCAGCATGTTCTCCAGCAACACGAAGCTGTTCGACCACCTCCTCAGGCAGGCTGAGCCGATAGGTGGGGGCAGACTCTGGATGATTTTTCCGAATGTAGGCGCTGTGAACATGTCATCATGAGCTTGTTTGTTTTCCAAGCAGAGTCTCTGGTGTGTGAACATTGTGGCAAAGCGTTTTCCAGTGAGAGACTGTTGAGGGATCACGTTCGTCAGCACGGTAACAACAGCCAACAGTTTTACTACTGAACTACTTGTAAAATATCCATCCGTTATCTTCCACTTGTTCCGAAGTCAGGTCTCGAGGGCAGCAGCTTGAGCAGGGAGGCCCAGACATCTTTTTCCACAACCACCTCTTCCAGCTCTTCTGGGAGGATTCCAAGGCGTTCTCAGGCCAACTGAGAGATGTAGTCTCTCCAGCGTGTTCTGGGTATTCCCCGGGGTCTGCTCTCAGTTAGACATGCCTGAAGCACCTTCCTAGGGATGTGCCCAGGGAGCATCTTTACCAGATGCCCGAACCACCTCAGCTGGCTCCTCTCAATGTGGAGGAGCAGCGGTTCTACTCTGAGTCTCTCCTGGATAACTGAACTTCTCACCCTATCTATTCCATTCAGGTCAGTTCATTTATATAGTGCCACGTCACAACAGAAGTCCTCTCAGGGCACTGACTGTAAGGGAGAGTCCAGCTACCCTGCGGAGGAAACTCATTTTAACCTCCTGTATCCGCAATCTCATTATTTCAGTCACTACCCAGAGCTCATGACCATAGGTGGGGGTAGGAATTAGAGATGGGGCCGATCCGGTATCGGCCTCGGCCTCCGATACTAGAATAATTTACGTATCGGATTTTTTCGATCCAACCTGCCAATCTTTCCGATCCATGATGCATGTCTGTGTCTGATGACCTGCTCTGCAGGTTAGCTTCAAACTATGGAATGGATTTCCTGAACGGAGGCATGTTTCATGAAACCCAGAGTAATAAGACCCGCCTCACATTCAGGAAATCCATTTCATCGTTTGCAGCCAGCTACACTGTGAGTAAATACTCTTTTGAGGGCATAGCACTGAGCAGCACTGTTGCTAACAGCTAACCAACTTTTCATCGTAACATGTCTGCTGTGTGGATGTATTTTACACCAAACACCGCAAGACCGAGGTACAGCAGCTCTGCAGACAGCAGAGGGGGAAGCTCGGTCGCGACATACAATACAACAAACTTAAACATTTGAAAAGGCACCACATTAAAGCGCACAAGGATTGTTCAGCCAGGCACTGCGGTAAAGTTAGTTTTACTTTGGACGTTCAAGCTCTGTGGCTTCAGCGGTGTGTTTCTCTCGTTCAGTCTGGAGCAGACAGTCTGATTTCAGTCAGCCGCGTTCAGGCTGCCCGTCTCGGAGGAGGGACAGACTGAGCACAGCTGACTGAAATCAGACTGTCTGCTCTGCAGCTTGACTGAATATTTGCACCCAAGATATAGTTTACATTTAACCTCCAGGAGATATTTATCAGCTCAAGATGAGAGTTCATTGATGGCGTTAAATTCAAAGCAGTCTGCTCAGATAAGTAGTCTTAAATTATAATTTTTTATATACGAATGTTTCTGTACAGTGACTTCTGTTGTGACTTGGCGCAACTCAGCTTCCTCCATGGAAGACGTGCCGGTAGAGTGAGAAGGTTTGAGAAGTATTCCTCCCGACGACCTCACTGGCTGAGGTCAACAGCACCCCACCTTCACTGAACACGGTGTTAGTAAAGAGCTACTTTCCCCTCCTCAGCCGCCAGATGGTTTGCCAGAATCTTTTTGGAGCCGACCGAGAGTCTTTATCCAAGGCCTTAAAAACTCCTCCCCACATCCGAGCTTTTGCCTCAGCGACAGCCAAGGCTGCAGACCGCTTGGTCCTCCGGTACTCTTCAGCTGCCTCTGGAGTCCCAACAGCCAACTAGGTCTGATAGGACTCCTTCTTCAGCTTGACATCCTCCCTAACCCGGTGTGTCCACCACCGAGTTCGAGGATGGCCACCGTGAGAAGCACCAGCAACCTTGCGGCCACAGCTCAAGGCAGCCACTTCAACAACTGAGTCGCAGAACATGGTCCACACTGACTCATTGTCCCCCGCCTCAGCTGGGATGAAGTTAAAGTTCTTCCAGAGGTGTGAGTTGAAGATCTTTCTGACGGTTCTTCTGCCAGGCGTTGGACAACCTATGACTAGCACAGAAGTCCAAAAACCGAACACTGCTCGAGTTCAGATCAGAGAGGCTATTACCCCCAGTCATGCCCCTCCAGGTCACACTGTCGTTATCCACGTGGGCATCAAAGTCCTCGAGCAGAATAAAGGAGTCCCCAGCTGGTGCTCCTTCCAGCACCACCGCCAAGGACTCCCAAGAAGGCCAGATACTCTGAACTGCTGTTTGGCGCATAGGCAGAAACAACAGTCAGTGCCCGTCCCCCCACCCGAAGGCACAGAAAAGCTGCCCTCTCTTACAGAGGAAAACTCCAACACACAGGCACCAAGTCAGGGGGCTAAGAGTAGACCCACACCAGCTCAGTGCCTCTCACCATGAGCAACTCCAGAGTGGAATAAGGTCCAGCCCCTCAAGGAGATCGGTTCCAGAGCCCATGCTGTGCATCAAGGTAAGCTCAGTACCGCTCAACCCCACGCACAAGCTCAGGCTCCTTCCCCATGGGTAGAGAACCGGTCACCAGGCGCTCGCCAACGAGCCCCTCCCCCAGGCCTGGCTCCAGGGTGGGGCCCCGGTAACCCACGTCCGGGCAAGGGACACCGACTTCCTTGTTTTCTATTGTCCATACAAGTCTTGTAAAATATGAAATACTTTTTGTGTATTCCTATGAAACAAGTTGATTTGTTGTCCAAGCTCTTTGTCTTCCAGCTGAATATTCTTTGCACGTCCTGCTTTGTTTCCTTTACCTGCAGTGAACCAGGTGAAGTGTCCTCTCTGTGACATGACCTGCACCACTTTGGCTGCTCTAAAGATTCACATCAGGTTTCGTCACTGTGACGAGCGGCCCTTTCCCTGCGACTTCTGCGACAAAAGGTAAGACCTTTAAAATGATTTATTGTTTATGTGTAGTTATGGCAACAATATAACTCCACAAAGTCCTGCACAGAAAGTACAAACCAACAACATAAAGTGGAAGTCCTCCAGTGGAACATTATATTTTTAGATTGACCTCCAGGGTCAATCTAAAAAGATAAACTTTGCAATCGCCCTTAAACTGTATCAAATAAATTTGACATATTGCCTGATTTTTGTTCCTTTTACTGTTTTTACAGATTTAAGAACCAGCGGGATCTCCAGAAACATGCAGAGGTTCACAATGAGGGCACAGTGTATCACTGCACGGTGGAGGGATGTTCGTACTCATGTCACACTTTCCAAACCATGAACTACCACTTTAAGAGAGCTCATGAGGTTTGTTGGGACCAAGTAATGTCCAACTGTTCACATCTTCTTTATAACTTCAAGTAATTCGGATGCGTAAAGATTGTTTTATTAATCAACAGGTTGGGGGGACGTCCAAATATAAATGTCACATCTGTGATAAAGTCTTCTCCTGGTGTTACACTCTCACACTTCACCTCCGTAAGAAGCACGAGCTGAAATGGCCTTCTGGACATTCCCGCTTCAGGTGGGCTGCATGTTGTGATGTCTGATAGTGTGAACGCTGAGTCAGCATTTTAAAAGTGTGAATGCTGAGTCAGCATTTTAAAAGTGTGAATGCTGAGTCAGCTGTCGCACTATTGTTTTCTGTACATTGTTTCCAATCACACTGCTTCCACAAAGTTTGTGTAATTTAAATTCATTGGGTAAATGAGGGCACAGATTTTAGTGTGAAGCGCTTTGAGTATCTTGCCACTTGATTGTTTATATGCGCTGCTGACTATCCATGTTGCTGATCTCATGCTGCTGATTTATTTCACGCTGCTGTGTTCATTCGTACTCATCTGCTCACACAGACTCATGTTCATGTTGCTGCTGTTCGGCGTATTGTTTTTGTACTATTAGTGCTTAGCGTATTCTTAGTTTAGTGTATTTCTTAGTTCATATTTTAGATCTTACTACTGTGTTTTTTTTTTTTTTACATTTTATACTTTTGTTGGATGTAATTGGGACCCTGTGTACACAAATTTGTTCCACCACATGTACCACATATGATGCGAATGACAATAAAGAAATCTTGGCCTTGACAAGATAGAAAGGCGCGCTATATAAGTGCAGTCCATTTTCCATTTAACCGTTCATATATCAAGAGAGAGGAAGTGGTGGTGCAGAGGTTAGAGAAGGTGGACCTGTGATCGGAAGGTCGTCGGTTCAACTCCCAGAACTGACAACATCAAAGTGTGGGTGGGAAAGGTGAAGCACCCATGTATGTCTCAACCAAAAACGTTAGGACAAGTCCATTTTTACCACTGTGTGGCATCCCCCCTTCTTCTTACAACACTCAACAGACGTCTGGGGACAGAGGAGACCAGTTTCTCAAGTTTAGAAATAGGAATGCTCTCCCATTCATGTCTAATCCAGGCCTTTAACTGTTCAATCATCTTGGGCCTTCTTTGTCGCACCTTCCTCTTTATGATGCACCAAATGTTCTCTATAGGTGAAAGATCTGGACTGCAGGCTGGCCATTTCAGTACCCGGATCCTTCTCCTACGTAGCCATGATGTTGTGATTGCTGCAGAATGTGGTCTGGCATTATCGTGTTGAAAAATGCAGGGTCTTCCCTGAAAGAGATGACGTCTAAATGGAGCATATGTTGTTCTAGAACCTGAACATAGTTCTCTGCATTAATGGTGCCTTTCCAGACATGCAAGCTGCCCATGCCACAAGTGCTCATGCAACCCCATACCATCAGTGATGTAGGCTTCTGAACTGAGCGTTGATAACAACTTGGGCTATCCTTGTCCTCTCTGGTCCAGATGACATGGCGTCCCACTGTTCCATAAAGAACTTCAAATGGTGAATCATCTGACCACAGAACAGTCTTCCATTTTGCCACACTCCATTTTAAATGACCCCTGGCCCAGTGCAAACATCTGAGCTTGTGGAGCTTGCTTAGAAATGGCTTCCTCTTTGCACTGTAGAGTTTCAGCTGGCAACGGCGGATGGCACGGTGGATTGTGTTCACTGACAATGCTTTCTGGAAGTATTCCTGAGCCCATTCTGTTATTTCCTTGACAGTGGCGTTCCTGTTTGAGGTGCAGTGACGTTTAAGGGCCCGGAGATCACGAGCATCCAGTAGAGTTTTACGGCCTTGACCCTTACGCACAGCGATTGTTCCAGATTCTCTGAATCTTTTGATGATGTTATGCATGGTTGATGATGATAACTTAAAAGTCTTTGCTATTTTACGCTGGGTAACACCATTCTGGTATTGCTGCATTATCTTTCTGCGCAACAATGGTGGAATTGGTGATCCTCTTACCATCTTGGCTTCTGAGAGACACTGACACTCTGAGAAGCTCTTTTTATACCCAATCATGTTGTCAATTGACCTAATTAGTGTTAACTGGTCTTCCAGCTGTTCGCTATATGCTCAATTTCCTTTTTCCAGCCACTTATTGCTACTTGTCCCAACTTTTTTGGGATTTGTTAACACTGTGAAGTTTTGAATCAACATATTTTTCCTTTAAAATGTTACATTTACTCAGATTAAACTTTTGAGCTGTCATCTATGTTATATTACAAATAAAATATTGACATTTGCCATCTCCACGTCATTGCATTCAGTTTTTATTCACAATTTGTTTAGTGTCCCAACTTTTTTGGAATCCGGTTTGTATATATATTAATGGTGTTCATGTTAACTTATTATCGCGTTAACGCAGCAAATGAATAACGCCGACAATTATTTTAACGCACGTTAATACTGTTAAGTTTCGTTTTCCTTCATAATTTCTCTCCTCAGCGTCTGTGAACACACACACCAACACACACACACACAGTACTCTGGCCGAGGGCTGGCTTTCCAGCTTGAGAGCAGAACAGGATCCGCCTCAACAAGGATTACATCCAATCACATTGGAGCTCGCTGTGTCTTGACCAATTACTAACATGAAAGCGGGTCAAAAGCAAGCCGGTGGAGAAAGCTGCAGGTCCGGTTCTGTTCGAGCAGCAGAGTTTGCTTTACAAATGCAGCAGGGAGTTTCTTCCTCACATAGGGACAAAACACACTTTTACTGGAGAGTGCAATTAAAAACACATGGCGCTCTGCCTTCCGTAACTGGTGGACGTTTTCTGACTGACTTTTTTCCCCCCTTGGAGCTAATCGACCCCCCTGCGTGTGATAGACACAAGACTGATTTCAATCGCTAGAGTGACGCAGCAACTCAACGATTCTGTGTCAGAAGTACAGACTTCAGTTCTGTTGTTGTCTGCCCACAGCAGGGGTCTGCAACCTGTGGCTCTGGGGCCACATGTGTCTTTTTCAGGCTTTGACCAAAACTAACACAAAACTGAATTTTATTTAAATATTACAAACAATGAAAATGGCTAGTTTTAACAGATTTCCTTTCATTTTCAAATATGTGAAGGATAGTACAAATACAAGACGTAAAACATGTGGACTACATCATGCTAGTAGTTTGTTAGACACGTTAAGTCGACTTCCAGTCTCTCAGCGTGATCGTTCTCTCAAAACCACCAGAATGTTCTGGAATATCTTGTCAAGCTGCTGAGAAGGAATATTTGATAACACTATAAGAATAAAACACACAAAAAAACAAAGTCAAAGTAAACCAAAGTATTTATTTTTCTTTAAACATGTAACTGGATATCCAACAAACTGGCTTAATTTTAAACTGTCTTAAACTTTATTTATTTAGGAAACTTAATTCTTCAACAATTAACAGAACTCACATGGGCCTGCAGAGTTCACTGTTTAAAGTTTTATAAAATAGTTAAAAATTATATATTTTTTCTTTACATGAAACTGTTTTTTTCTTTTATATTAAAATGTAAAAATATCAAATGTTAATAATAGTTAGACATTTTTCATTTTATAATATCACCCCCACTGGCTGGAAAAGCCATCTCCCACAAACCTGCAGCGTGCCCATGGACCACCAGTTGACAGGTCCCACAGTTGTAGCAGGTTTGCAGCTTCGGACACATCGTTTTAAGTAACGTGGCAAAAATGACTCTTCATCACAAAGGTTGCAGACCCCTGGCCTACAGCTACAATTGAGCTTTTTTGACTTTTAGCTCCCTTCTTATGCTAATTCTAGCATCTACAAACAATTTAGCTGATTTTAGTGTTTAGCAACTCTTGGTACTTTTATTTTTTTTTGTTCCTGTTTTGACACCTTTAACTTTTAGCTGGTTTTCCTGATGCGAGACTTTAGCTACAGTTTTACAAATTTAACTTTTTGATATTATTTTGCTAATTTTAACTTTAACTGTGATTTAGTTCATTTCAGTTTTTAGCTAACGTTTTTGGTAATTAACAGTTTAGTTACAGTTTTGCTTATTTTAGCAATTAGCAACAGTTTTGCTCATTTTTGTTCTTGAGCTACAAATTAGCTACCTCTAACATTTAGCAATTGTTTTTGTCGCTTTGGTTTTAGCCACTGTTAAGTTAATTGTACCTTTCAGATATGATTTTTCTAGTCTTAGCTTTTAGCCACTGTTTAGCTAAATTTGGTGTTTAGCAGCTGTTTTGCTTATTTAGCTGTTGGTCGACGTGTTGTGTGCGGTACTCTTGTGCTTCAGCTCTGCTCGTTTCTTCAGCAGGTTCTCAGCGTTCAGCTTTCACACTGCTTTTTTATTTTAAACGTGATTTTTCCAGTTAAGTTTAAAATCTTTAAAACGTCCATTTTTCCAAAGCCTTCCTTCAGTTCTATGACGACTAAAGACTGAATTTCTTCTGTTCGTCTGATGTCTTCAGATACAAGAAGGACCTGGACGGCTTCCTGAAACTCAACATGGTGCGCTTTGAGACCGTCGAGGTGACGAAGGAGATCATGAAGAACATGGCCAAAAAGCCGCAGAACCAACGACAAAGTCAAAGATCCAGCAGCCAGAGGGCCGCCGTGACGCCGGAGAGCGGCCGGAGCTCTCCTGCAGGTTCCTCCTCGCCCTCCTCCAGCTCCTCCTCCTCGTACTCCTCAGACCTCTCCGGAGGGGAGGACATGTCCTCTCAACACAGCCCCAGAGGCAGAGACTCTCCGGTGTACTGCGTGATGAGCACCATTCCTCACGTGGAGGACGAGCCTGGAGGACCATCACAGGAGGACTGTGACGGCGGGGGGACTTCTGGAGCCGTTCAGGCTCTGACGGAGGTCGCCAGGGGCCTCGGCATGGATGTGGTTTGAAAATGTGCAGCTGCTGTTTGTTCGTTTTACAAAAATTGGCATGGAGCCGTTTTTTTTTTTTTTTAATTGTGAAAAAGTTCCTGCAGTGTTCGTGTTCTCAGCTTTGTCACGACTTCGGCTGATAAATGCAGCTTTTTTATGAAAGCCACAAGAAGACCAGCTTCAGAGAACGTGCTTCAGGCGCCACGTTTCACTTCTGAAGACTTGATCAGCAAAACATTTCAGAAAACATTTTTATTCTGGTCTCAAATTTATAGATGTACATTTTAAATAATTTTAAACTTTTTTTAATGCAAGCCATAATGTGTTTTTGTCTTTTGAAGTGGAAGTTATTGCTCTAAATATTCCATAAACATTAAAAAAATAAAAAATCATCAAATGAATTTAGGTGAACATCAGAATAAAATGGAGCACGTCAGAAACTCGAGGGTGAAAGGCGGCGGGTGATATGCATTCCTTCAAGGATTGCTGGGCTGCTCGTTTGAATTTATTAGTGAGTTAAAAAAGATAAATGCAGTTTAAATTTTCTGAGGTATGTTTCATATTCTTTTCCTACAAACAATTTCCTTAGTTAAAATTTAAGTTAAAGTCATGACAAATTATAAATAAATAAATAAAATGCAGTTTGACTGCTGAGTGAGTTGTTAACTTAGTTGTTCAAATTAAAACAGACAGAACTGAAGCGAAGATCTAAAACTGTAACTAAAGTTCAAATTGGCAAGTAGCCATTTTGAAACAGTGGAAAGATTATGAACAATCATTATCTTACCTGTTGTAGATAGCTCAGACTCAATTTGCAGAGACCGAGTTTATGGCCTTGACCAGGTGGAAACCGTTTTTCCAAAAACAATATTTTTGTTTAATGTTTCAAAATTTGTTTTGTAAACACGGCACTCTTTTAAAAAAAGATTTTTTCCACATGAAAACACCAAAAACAACCCAAAACACGGTGTCACCATGCACGCGCAAAAATCCATGTACCATATTTTCCGCCGTACATGTCGCTCCGCCCTAAAAGTCCAATCAGTCCGAATATAAAGTGGAAAGGTTCATAAATTAAGTTGCTTTGCCGTATGTCACATGCCATCTAGTGGTTGAAAATGTTCAGTCAATAAATGAAAACAGTCATATCTCAGCCAAAAATTGATTTATAAATATGGGGAAAAATCCATATATATTGCTTCGGCCTATAAGTTGCGGGGCATGTAAGTTACGAAAAAAAAACGTGACTTCTACAGCCAAAAATATGGTAGGTAGGTCCAGCAGGGTTGAGTCGGATCCTCTGGACAGATTCTTCTATGCTGAAATGTTTCAACTTTCATCCAAAACACTTCACTCTGAGGAGCTACAAGGGCGGCACAGTGGCGCAGTTAGACCTGCCGCCTCTCAGTGAAAAGGTTGCCGAATCGAATCCCATGTTCTCTCCGTGCATGCGTGGGTTTTCCATGTACTCCTATTTCCTCCCACAGACCAAAACCATGCATGTTAGGCTGATTGGTAACTGAATTGTCCCTAGGTGTGAGAGAGAGTGAATGGTTGTTTGTCTCGATGTGTTCCTGTGATACGACGAAGCTTTAGGGCCACGCTAAGAAAAATAAACGCCATAAAATTCAGAGAAAAAAGTCGTACGAGACTTTTTTTTTAACAGCTCATTTTTTTCCCCCCAAGAGTTGGCTCCACGATACGACCTGTCAATCAATCCAGTAGGCAAATGACCAGTCCGAAGCTAAATGAGCCGTAATCTCTGAACACGATAAAGCACATTTAACTGTGGTAAAATAAAGAATGTTGAGCATCTTGTTAAGTTATACTTCGGTACTGGTTTTACAAATAAGGAGATAGTTAATCTGTTATCACATCAACATCAGATTATTATCAGTATCAGGACTTTGAACCTGCGTACAGTAAGGTGGTGCACTCTGATGGGCTGCAGCAGCTCTGCAGGTAACGAGCATTAGCTTTGGATTGGTCATTTGCTGACACGCCCACTGGATTGACAGGTCGCGTCACGGATCCGACTTGTCGGGGAAAAAGTAAATTAACGAGAGCTGCAAAAAAACAAAACAAATAAAAGTCTCTTATGACTTTATTCTCGTAATATTGTGGCTTTTAGTTTTTTTTTTTTCTTACCGTGGCCTAAAGCTCCCTCGTACTGTGAAGGACTTGGAACAAACTGGAACATAAAACATGGAGAAAGTGAAGCGCTGCGAATACTTTACAGATTCACTGCATTTTACTGACGAACAGGACAAAACATCACCTTCATGTGCCAATCAGGTCGTTTCATCTCTAGAGGTTTATCTAGTTATGTTTCACTTAAAAGTCATTTTTGAGTTGGCTCTGATGTAAAGACCAGGGTCCTGATGTTTTTAAAATAAAGAGCAAAACTAAACCTCGGTCATCTTTTAACAGCACAAAGGTCAGTCAGCGACAGACGTTCATGGTAGACGCACTTTATTCCTAAAACAGAAGCTGCACCATCAGTAGCGGCACACAAGTATATGTACACATATACACACACAATTACCTAAATCTGTTATATAAAATATATAATCTGACACTGTACCTTTAATTCCTCTTCAGAGCTCACTGTGCGGGGGGACAGACAGAGAGGCGAGTCTCGTCCCCTCGTTGGGCGGGACACAAACGCCCGGGGCTAGCTTTGACTTCATTTTTTACAGCATGGCAATAAAAAGGTGTTTTTACCCTTAGAAAAAATAAGATTCTAAAAGCAATCTACAGCAAATTCACTTGAACAGCTTTTTTTTTTTTTTTCGTGTTCAATTGAGAAAAACATTACACGTTTTAAACCAACTCCTTTACAGTGAGATGTACACACCCTCTAGGATTTGTAATATATATATATATATATATATAAAAGATATTAAGCATTAAAAATTCCACATTAAAAACTTACAATAAATAATATATGCAGGCATTTCCTTAAGATAAAATCTCATAGATTGCAATTTACAGTCATTAAAAAGATTCTCCTTTTATGAAACGTCCCCTTGATCCTCCAAAATGCTAAAATGTTTTCTTGGCATCTGATTGATTGATTGGGACTTTCCAGTCAGCGCTGGGCGACACACACCGGGGGGGTGGAGGAGGAGGGTGTGTTCAGAAGTTCGTCTCCGCACGCCAAACCTGGGCGGTTCGACGCCGGTTCGGAGCTCAGAGCATGTTCATGACGAAGTTGTAGATCTGTGTGAGCACCACGAAGTGAACGGGCAGACAGGAGCGCCGGTCCTGGGTCGCAGGGTTGCAGGTCAGCCAGGAGAGGGCGTTGTACTGCTCCAGAACAAATCTACAGGAGGCGGGGAGGAGAGGGAGCGTCAGACGCGCGTCACGACTCGAACAGATAACTTGATCTGACAGGCGGGTCCATACCTGAGCACATCAGAGGTGTGGTTCGAGTCCAGAGGATGGGAGTGTTTACTGTGAAGAAGCTCGTCCGTCTGGACTGAAGACACGTGCAGGTGCAGGGAGGCCTGAGGAAACAACGGACACACTGAACTTTAGTCCTGGCTCGTTTGTCCCAGGGCTTTAAAGACCACACCGATCAATCAACTGAGATTATTGAGCAGCAACTAAAGTTCTTAATTTCAGAAGTTGTTCTTAAAAACACGCTTTGTTCAGTTTCTAAATTGAGCAAAACAGTTTAGTAAAGTTTTGAACTTTTGAGCAGAATAATGTAAAATAAAATCAAAAACTCACAAATCATTTCATTTAGAGGGAATGTTTCGATTTTTTTTTTTTAAAGTGGGGCTCAAAGGGATGTTATTTAAATTAACGTCTTACCTGCTGTAGATAACTTCTTAGAGTTTATTTCTGATTGGATTATTGAGATAATAGTCCGAGTGGGGATTACGACCATCATTTAGGTCACACATCAAGGTCAAGCGTGTCCTGGCCATTGTTATAGATTGCTGTAATAATAGTTTGTGGACGGGCTTGTAATGGACTGGACTTGCACCGATGGGACACACACCAGAGGCAATGAGGGGTTCAGTGTCTTGCCCAGGGACACTTCGGCATATGACTGCTGGTGGAATCAAACCCCTAACTCTCACATTGGAGGACGACTGCTCTAACCACTCAGCCACAGCCGCCTGTAATGTGCTGTATGCATTCCTCTTGTTTTACTTCCAAACAAACCTGACATTTAAACTTTGTGTCAACTTTTTATATTTGCTGTTCAGCTCGATGATTTTTGGATTCAACCCAATTCAAGATGGCTGCCATGGCTAACTGACTTTGACAAAAGTGCCTATGAACAATTTCCTGCGGGATCAATCAAGTTCTATCTGATCTTATAACTCTGTCTTCTCCAACAGCATTACCACAGTCTGACCAGCAGGGGGCGAAGTAACACGTCACACTCATGGGAGTGTTTGTGTTCTTGTAGAACATGTGGGACCTCAGCGCTGATTACAGTGAAAGCAGGGACTAGATTCAATTTTTAATTTTAATATGAACACATTGGTTAAGATTAGAATTAAATTAATTATGTTGCATCTTTGTAGGACTTTGGATTAATATTAGAATGTGGTTACATGTTTAGACAGATCAAAGTTTAAGGTTAGTTTTCTATTTCCTGGACAGGAAGTGAAGTCACAGTGATGTTATGTAATATATTTGATGTGTGTTTGTGTTTTTATTTTTCCCCTGAAGCCAATAAAAACAAGTCTCTCTTGAAAATGAGTCCTCGTGACTCAATGAGACTAACCTGTATAAATAAAGGTTGAATGAATTTAACAACTCAACAAAAATTTAGTATAATTTTATGAAAAAACTAACAAAAAACAACTTATGTAAACCCTAAATTGCATTACATAGTTCTTCAGCAGCAGCAAGCAGTAGCACTTCGGTGCAGCCTGAGTTAGTTTGAACAGCTGTTTAATTATATTTCTGCCAGATTAATCGTGATGTGACGACGATGGCATGTGCAGGTTTCTAAATAGCATCTGCATGAACCACTACCCATTTTTAGAAAACGAAGTTGCTTTAAGACAGCAGCGACCCAGTTTTGGTTTGGCTCAACTCTGACTAGCCTTTAGCTCGTTAAGGTTGGAATTAAAGCATTTCCAGGGCTGTTCAAAGAGCCATCTACAACAGGTTAGACATTATTTCTTCATGACCTCCTCTTGGTTGTACTGAAAAGTGACAAACAACTTTACCTTGAGGAAGAGCGGGCACTGGTTTTGAGCTTGTGGACAGGCTGACCAGAACCAGTCAGGCAGAGGTCCGGCCTTAGCTGTGGAGATGAAATAACCCAAAGCCATCGGCTGCTGCAGGATGTTCAGAGCCTCCTCGTGGGACTCCATACGATCTGCACCCGGGCCCTGCACGACACAACAACAAGGTGGTGACTGTGTGGGACTTTAACCAGCGACAAGCTTCGTTTTATTTTACTTACACTTTATTTTACTTATTTAATGAACAACTTTGGCACTTTTGGCCATCAGTTAGCTACTTTTGGTCTTTAGCTATCCTTTGTGCTTGCTCAAGATGCGACAAAATGATGATTCAATGCATTCTGTCGCTTCCTTAAATAGAGAACTTTACTAATTGGACTTTTTAATGTATGTGAATGTTTCTGTTGTGACGTTGTGCTATATAAATAAACTGAACTGAATTTAGCTACATTTAGCTTTTAACTAGCTTTCTGCTGCATTTGGCCTTTAGCCATCTTTTGCTGCCTTTGGCGTTTAGCTATTCATTTGCGACATTTGACTATTTAAATATCCTTATGCTACTTTTTTTTTTTTTTTTAGCTTTTCTTCAGCTACATTTGGCTTTTACCATTAGTCTTTTATAAGACTGAGCTGAATACAAGCTCCTCAGACTGAGGAAGTCTTTCGGATGAAAGATGAAACGTTTCTGCATTTTTTGTTGTTTTGCTTTATTTTGTTTTTGGAATGTCCAGAGGACCAGATTTAACTTTTTTTAGATTTGGCTTTTAACTATCCTTATGCTACTTTTGATTTTAAACTTTTGTTCTGCTACATTTGGCATTTAGTTATTCATTTGCTAAATTTGGCCTTTACCTACCCTTTTGCTACATTTGACTTTTTAGCTATCCTTTTGCTACCTTTTTTTTTTTTTAGCTTTTCATCAGCTGCATTTGGCTCTTAGCTACCTTTTTAGGTTTATTTAGCATTTAGCTAGCAGTTTCTTTCTTTTAGCTTTAATAGCTCAGCTTCATGTATAGTAGTCACTCAACTCTCTCACTGCGTTCTGGACACACCACTTCATCTCTAGTTCATCTCTACAATCAGTTCATAGCTTTTCAGACTTTTTCCCTCTGACACGCCATGTTTCCACACCTTGCTTCCATCTCCTCCTTGAGGGTAGTGTGAACCAGGAGAGTGAACAGGAGAGGTTGTTGGGGAGTTGGGCAGGATGTTGATGAGGTCTGAATCCACCATGTCATGATCAATGTCATTGTCAAAGAGATCAAAGAAGCCCATGCCATCAGATCCATCTGCGGAAAAAAAAAAAAAAAGGTTTGACAGGAAGTGACATCTAAGATTTTCCAGACGCACGCTGTGAGTTGAGTTTGAGGCTCGGTACCAGGGTTTATGGGGTTGAAGCTGATGTCGATGGGCTCTGATGTGTTCGTGTTGACCTGAACCATGGCCGAGGTGGGGAACACCAGGATGTGCGTGCAGGACGTGTCCTGAGGCGTGCTCAGCTGAGACGTCTGCATGTTGAGTGTGGTACTGCGACCAAACACCGAACCCGTTGACACGGAGTCTGCAGAGGCAACGTTGTCACATTTAGAGCTTTTATTCACCGAGTTGTCATTTGTTTCTTTTCAGGTTTTCATTTTACTTTACCTGGCATGATCACAAAGGAACCTTGTGGTTCCATGGCAACCAGACAGGTGCTGAGGATGCTGGGCGTGTCGGCGGCAGAGATGCCACACATCCTACACGTCTCCTTCAGACGCTTACTGAGGGACTGTAAGTTCCTCCTGCTCAGCAGAATACTCCAGTCTGAAACCAGCAAAGAGCCTGTGAGTGAAGGTCAGCTCATGTTTGTAAAGTTAACCTCCAACTCTTCAAGGCGGCGTACCTCTCAACTCGCCGTGTCCCATCCTGCCGAGCCGTCCAATCACCACCCTCCATGGCAGAGACGTGACCTGAACCAGGCCGACGCACCAATCCCACAGCTTCTGTAATCCCAGCCGTCTGGCTGAGCCTTTTTTCCTGCGCGCTCTGTAATAACAGTATAAACAGATGTAGTTATTAGACACCCCGCAGCACTCGGGTGTGAAGCTGGTGTGTGAGAGGGCACACACACCTGTTGGGTACGTCAATACTGATGATGCAGGACTCCAGCAGTTCTCCGTGATGGTCGGTGCAAGACGCCAGCAGCCAGCGCTGGTCATGAGACAGGCAGTAGCCGACAAACAGGACGTTGTACTTCTGCGAGGCCTCGCCAAACGTCTCGCCGAGCTCCGTCTGCTTGTCTTTCACCGGAGCCAGAATGAAGGGCGGCGTGTACAGACGCAGACACTCGGGACGCTGCACGACGGGTGAAAAGATGGATCACTATCAACGAACATTGCGTCTGAACTGGTTGATTCAGACTGAGTGAACTCATCAGAGCAGTCACCTCTGGGTTCTTGAGTGCCATGTCGATGGCGAGTCCGGGCCCGAATCCGGTCAGGGCCTTGAAGTTGGTGGAGCCGGGGAGAGGCCGGCGACACTGAGTGTACACGGAGAAGGCCAAAGACTTCAGGTGCTGGCTGTAGACGTGACGCTCGCCGCTGCGCACCGGCTGCAGCAGGTACTGACAGGGAACGATCTGGAAAACAAAACGATGAAGGCAGTTCAGACGTTTATCAGATGCTCAAAGATTTTTAGACTAGTTTAATGTTAGCTGCTTTAAATGTTTGCACAGATTTAAACTTGACATCTGTATAAACCTGAGGATGAGTTCCATTTGGCTCTTTTCTGGTTTGTCTTAAAACATCAATCCAAACCCACTTAAAGCATTTTAAGGTATTTCACCGGAGAATCTTGAAGCAGTACGTAAAATAATAAATAAATAAATAATAAATATGTAAATACAACTCCTACTTATGGTGTCGCTTGGACCAAAGTAATGGTTTACTGAAGAAATGCTTCAGACACAGTGCGGACCTTAAATCCGAGGCAAAATGCAGAAACTGGACAAAAATAAAATGCACTCCACAATTCAAACATGCTGAACCACCTGAGGAAGTAACGCCATCGATAACAGGCCAGTCACATCCTTGGGGAAGAATTTTAACTAATTTTTCTTCACGCTGCTCAAGTCCATTAACAGTTTATGTTGTTCGGTTTAGCGCCGCTCTCTGAACTCTTCATCTTTGCAGCACTTTGCTTCTTTTTCCACTGTTGTGAATTTATTGCTGCCTGTACGACCAAACTCCCTGGAAACCTTAGCTGTTGGACAAACATAGCCTCATCCTCACATCTCAACTGCAAGATGAGATGCAGTTGAGATGCAGTTGAGGGGGGGGGGAGATACAGGTAAGAGAGACTAAAGTGGAGGACTCTGACTATAACAACCAGCATCACATAAACCGAACAGATTAAAACAAACACCTAAAGCCAGCTGTGAAGCACCACCATGCTTCACAGCTGGCTTGTTTTGAAGGTCCTTAAACTTTGCGGTTTGTTTATTTGCTCATTTGCAAACCTAATCCATGCTGTTCTGTTGTTTTGGAGCAAAGAAAGAAAGTGCTATGTGTCGTCATCATTGTATGTTCACAGACAATAGTCCTATTCGCACGGGATTAGTTTTACCTTGGGACCACGTGTAATAAATAAATTACTCCCCAACGTCTGGTTTTTTTATGTGGCACATTTGCACGGGATAACCAAAGCCTGAGATTTAGCTGAAATTTACAGACATCTTCTGGATATGATGTTAACGCGCTGCGTTGTCACGACTGGGCCGGTCCATAACAATGTGCTTAATGTGCAGGCCGGGCCGGTCTCGGGCTTTGATGTGGAATCAGCAAAACTAAAGAATGCACAATATAAAATTGTTTTAATCTACTTGTTGAGGAGGCAGGTCCGATCGGCTGGTTTAAGAGGTAAAAAAAGCCACGTTCAGCTCAGATGGACAACCTGTCATGTGTGCGCGCGTGAGCAGTCGCGTGTCCGCTGACCCGGCGGATGAAATGGACTTGCGACCTGTCCAGGGTGTCCCCTGCCTCTCATACAGTGATTGCTAGACATGGGCACCAACAACTCCCGCTACCCGAAAAGGAAGAAGCAGGTAAATATAATGGATGGATAAGTCGATCACGCGTGCGTCTCCGCACCTGCTGTCATCTGCGGTGAAGGAAGTAGCAGCATAAAAGTCGAAGAGAGCAGTGCGTTCATTTAAAATAGCCTCGTTCGATATTTTTCCAAATGATTTTGCTTAAACAAAAACCACCTCATTACATATCGGATCCCGCCCACTTCTGTCCAAATCACAGAGATGCCTATTTGCATTGGATTAGTATTATCACAGGACCTGGGAGCTCAGCAAAATATAGCAGGTAATTTGCGGGGCAATTTTTACTTTACAAATTACTAACCCGGCCAATTCACATGGGATTAACAACAGACAATCTTAGTAATTATTACAAGTAGCATGTGGTCCCTAGGTAAAATGACAAAATTAGTTCTCTGCATTTAACCCATCACATGTGAGATACACTCAGATGGAGCAGTGTGCAGATATGCAAGCGCCCGGAGGCAGACCGTCTTCATGTTTAGTCTTTTACAGTTACAAATGATCTTTTATTTTATTGCTGCAGTTTCTCTGAACATTGCGTGGTGTGATCTCGGGGTGACGTTGTTGGGACATCTACTTCTGGAAAGATTGGCAACTTTCATGTTATCCCATTTGGGGGATAAGCTTTTTTTTGCTAGAAAATAATAAATTGCTAATATTATGGACTTTCCAACATTTTTCAGTCAGGCCATTCTGGACAGTTTTGTTTTTTTGTACCGAGACGTTTCGCCTCCGGTTGCGCCTTGTTGTGTGTTTCCTTGACTGATGAAGCCTTCCGGACCGAAGACGAAACATTTCAACACAAAAAAAAAAGAAACTGTCCAGATGACCTGACTGAAAAATGTTGGATCGTATACCTGGATTATTGAGCATGGACTTTGATTATGGAGTTTCCTGTGTGGAAATCACCAATGATGCTTTGCTCCTTGTTATTTTGTTAACACACATCTTAAACTCCAGAACAGAAAGAAAAAAAAAACTAAACATGGCAATTTTTATTTTTGTTGTTGATGAAATCAAAGATCATCAGCACACGACTGCTCCTGTTTATTTCCATACACTGCAGTTGTATTTGTCTTACTTTAGCCAAGATGATTCTTTTATAAATCTTGAAATGAAAGTTTCCTTAATGTATTTGTACCTGCTGTACTGTTGTACCAACACTGAATTCATCAGCTCATGTACTCGCACCTCTAATTTCAAAACTCCCTGTGGTAACAGTGTTGATGCAACCTTGTATCACTGTGTAACAGGTGTGCCAGTTTTCACCTTCATTAGTCTCTGCTAATAATCCCCCTGCTCATTCTAACCTCCTCTGTGCCTGCTCATAACTTACCCCATTAAAACCAAAGAGGCAAACTGTACGACTAAAGCCGACATGCAGGAAGAAGAAAACTGAAGACTACCTTCACTCAAACAGTCTTAAGCCTGTCCTACCTGAACTGAGACAGCGTTTCTGATGTGAGCAGGTAGGAATGGGAGCATCTCCATGTAGCAGCGCAGCAGGCCCAGAGCGTAGGTGCTGGAGTGAACCTCCCTGTCTGCGTCTTCGTAGCTGAAGGGGTCCACGACGTAAACCACTATTGCAGGCGGGTAAGAAATGGCGTGCGACTCTCCGTCTGTTGGTTTGCCCACTTTGTCTCTCTCCATGGTGCTGTTTAGAAAAAGTCAGCATGTCAAAAAAAATCCCAAATTATATCCATCAAAGATGTTCATACATGCGGACTATGAAAACTGAGTACTGTGTAACAGAGTTAGGGTTCGTAGAGCCGTTAATACTAGCTCACGTTAGTTTTAGCATTTAGTTTATCTAAGTTCACCATCAACCCGTTCATGTTTCAAATTATGCTTTGAAAGATTTTTCTTCCATTTTAAATCACATTTCAAATCAGTTTCCTCCCCGTAGCAACCTGGAACCACAGGCCTGCGGGGTATTGGCCCAAGTAGGTGGCCTTCACCAGCCTTTGAGCAGCTAACTCCCACTAGCCTGTGGCTGCAAGCTGCATTCTGCTGCCGTTTTCATCATAGATCATCTAGTCTACATTGAGGCCTTCTGTGAGGATCTTCAACATCATACTGAGGCCTGTGCTGTTGACGGAGCACTCTCTCTCAGCCAACCATTTATTCTACATAAACAAAATGCTGAGAGTTGTGAACAACGGCTACCTCTTTATTTCTTCTCTTGACAGTTTGGAGCTTGGGAACAAGCATTTATCCCTGGGTGAGTACACCGAACTATGTAATTTACCTGTGGGACAACGCTCATAGTGGTAGTTGTGCTGGACCTATAGTACATTCAGTACAACCAATTCATTTCACCCAGGACATGAACTTGTCATCGTATTCGTCTAGAGATTTACCTCGTTTTCAAAACCTTTTAGCGCGACATAAGCTCATGCTTCTTAGGAAATCCAGCATCACTTTAAAGAAAGATGCATCAGACTCTTTGTGCCTCATGACAAGGCAGAGGCTGTTGATTCTTTTATTACTACTTTCATCCGGGAATGTGCAGCCTAACCCAGTACTTACTGGGGAACACACAGCCAAGTCTTATTAGGGGAGTACTGGTTTGTCACCTTGTAAATTAAGAGGAACTAATCAAGAACTAATGGGTAGTTACTAAGGAAACCAAAGAGGAACAAATCAGGAGCTAATGGGTAGTTAACCAGTACTTACTGGGGAACACAGTCAAGCCTTATTAGGAGACTACTGGTTTGTTACCACAGAAACAAGAGGATAAATTCTCCATGTGGGTTCTGAATAAACCCTGCACCAGTGAGGTCACAGCTCAGACATAGTTAAGATGACAGCAGTACAAGATTATGAAATCAGTTCTTACCATTGATAAGTGGTAAGAAACCAATAAAATCAGTAATCACTAGGAAACAGGTTTTTGACAATTACGAACTGTGACCTCACTGGTGCAGGGTTTATTCAGAACCCACGTGGAGGATTTCTCCTCTGTTTCTGTGGTAACAAACCAGTAGTCCCCTAATAAGGCTTGGCTGTGTGTTCCCCGGTAAGTACTGGTTAACTACCCATTAGCTCCTGATTTGTTCCTGAGGCGTTAACTAGTAGTTCATCAAATTTTGTGTACCTTATTGTAAAGTGTTACCATAAATAGTCAAATAAATATAGCGTTCCTACTTCACGGATTTTCACCTACTGCGGGGTGTGTGGAACGTAGCCACTGCATTAAGTGAGGGACTACTGTACTTAAATATTTTAGCATTTTCTTTTAAACATAGAATGTTTTGAAGTTCCACATGAGTACCATAGTGTTTCGATTAAGCATGTCACTACATTATAAACCTGTCATCACTGGAAAAGAAACGATTAGTTTAAACACAGTCAAACAAGCAAAGCGGAGCATGCTGTGAAAATCTGAGAAATGACATTTTATCTATGATGGATGATGATACAGAGATTTATGTTTGAAGTTAACGCCCTTTGATTACTTTGACAAAGTTAAATTGGTCCTCATAGGGAAAGAAATGTTGCTCGCTTCTTAATTAAATGCCACCAAAAAATACTTCATGTTGTTTCTTGCCTTTGCTTAGATTTAAAGACGTTCCCGTCTTGGATTAAACAGCATAAAGTGTAAAACAAAAATCAACCTGCATGTACCAGTATGCTAAAAGGCAAGACTGTTTAAGGTAAAAATGACCCCTGTGCAGCACGAGTCAAACGTAGTTCTCTCTCAACTGTGATTCAACCTAATTTATTTGTAAAATCCTCGTTAGTCCAGAAGATATTTTATTGTAGGTGTAATACGCTCGTCAGGAGTGGTTGCACTCATAAAAATCATAGGTGGAACGTACCTCTCCGGTGTCTCTGTGGATCCTTGAGGCTGACTGGATCCATTTTCAGCCTGGCTCCCTGCACCTTGAGAATTGGACTGTGGATCGTTATGAGTAGTGCTGCCCTGCAAGCCCCCTGACCCAAACGGCAAGTAGGAGCTTGGCTTGCCTGAGGCCATAGCCCCGATGGTCTGGGAGCTTGACGAGGAGGGAGGGGTGCTGTTGACCTGGGCAGTCTGGGCTGAGCCGGTGCTGGAAATGTTGGTGCTCTGGAGTCCTGAGGAGTTGCTGGAAGAGTGGGAGGACTGCAAGAACGAGGGGGCTGTGGTGGGATTGCGCTGAGACAAGAGGGAACTATCCAAAGGCAGCTCGGAAAGGATCGGAGCTGAAAGAGAGTCAAATGGTAAAATGACAAATGCTCTTTGATAATAACGGTTTTAAACCCAATAATAACGGTTTTAAACCCACTGACTTTGCCTTTTTAAGCATTATGAACAAATGTATTACCTAGATCGTAACGACAGACTTGAGCAAAGAGTTTGAGCTTATTGAAGGCTTCATTGTTCCCTTCTCTGGCGGCCATCTTGAGGAACCAGTCACTGAGAGGCTGCTCTGTCATGCTCCTTCCTTCTGAGGTGCCGACTGTCAGAATACCCTCTGGGTGACTCTTGCAGATGGGCTTGTGCTGCCCCAGCTGGCATGCCTGTCGGGAGAGTAAAAGTGAATGCACAACAACAGTGAGTCAGGACGAGTTGTTTTTTGGGTGGGCATGCAAAGACGAGATGAGTTTTCTGAACTGCCAGCTGCATACCTCGTACATGACACCCAGATCCTTGAAAAAAGTCTTGGCTCCACGGAGTAGCGCCTCGTTTTCTGGACAAATGACGACATATCCCAAATCCCGCTGGGAACCAAAAGGATCTAGGAGCAGCTTTTCCCAGTAGGGTAACCCAAAAGGAGAGAGTACTACAAAATCATATTCATAACCGACCAGAAAGGTCGGGATGGGTAGAGGCTCTGGAGACTCATCTGTACCTGTAGCCAAAAGACAACAGATAAAAAAATAACCAAATATACATAAACATTCATACACATAAAATGCACAAGTTAAACAGGGCAAGAGTTAAATAAAATATCACAGACCTACATCTAACTAAATAGCTCTTCCTGAAAAATGTCTTTAGATGTTTTTTTAAAATGCATCAGTAGAATCTAAGGTTGCGTAAAGATGGGCGAAATGCGTTCCAAAGTTGGGAACTGCAAAGTCCAACAGAAAGTTTTCTACTTAACTTTAACCTAGCTGTCCTTAATGATAACAAATTCATCTTTGTTATGGAAAATTATTATTGTCCCCCGGGCGCTTTCAATAGCTGCCCACTGCACCACCTGGTGGTGGATGGGTTAAATGCAGAGACTAATTTCGCCATTGTATGGAAACATACAGTGCTGACATTGTGATGACATTATTATTATTATTATTATTAACGTTCCTTAGTTCAAACAATACCGACAAGAACCAGGGAGTTATAGAAAAAAGACCAGGAAATTATTTACGTAAGCTCGCCAAAAAACAAGTCATACATATTAAACTCAGGAAAGCGAGCATAAAAGTATAAAACGAGCACAGTGAACGCCTCACTTTTTACACTAAATTAATCCTTGGGTCTCTTGAACCCCAAAAAATAAAATTGTGTGACAATGTCCATTAATATCTAGATATTACAATAAATAATGCCGAGGAGCTTAGCTCAATTCATCACAGACCAGTTGAACTAGATCTAGTACAGCTTCTTTGGGGTACTTCTTTTGCTACAGAGCATCTTTCTCTACCTACGGCACAATTAACTTCATCTGTAAACTTCTACTTTCAGCAAGGTGATGTTTTCTGTCCCAGTGGATTCAGGAGAATCCTCCCTCAGTCCACAACAGTCCACAAATATATTAAAGATTTTCCTAATGAAATATTTCGGTGCTACACTGAAAGGCAACACCAATATTTCCTGTAATAGATGGCAGTATGGTAATATATGGCTGATTATCTTTCCAATGATGTAAATTTATTGCATAAAGAGCATTTGCATCTAAGCAATGACTGCTGGATATTTCTTTTTACACCTTTGACCTTTGCAGTAAATAATGTAGGTGTAAAGGTGCAATGTGTGCCATCACTCATATGCTTGTACCATATCCTTTAGTTTTGCTTTATGTTTCTATGATCAATACTCATTACTTTTGTTTATTTTAGTACATATTTTTTTATTTGGCAAGATCTGTGCTGCAGCACAGCTGCTGTTTCCCAGAACCTGTGAGTCACACAAACTATGGATAGTTTGTGTGACTCACAGGTTTTGGGAAACTGCAGCTTTTTTAACTCGTAGTAAAAGATGAGAATTTTTCCACACACCATATGAACCCCTCCCAGCCATTTTGTGGAACTGTTGCCAGGTGAGGGGTCCCTGAACACCCCAAGAGCGAACACTCCTCTTCTTCTGGATGGTGTCCTGCAGCACGGGCTGGAGGGACAACAACACTCGCAAGACGTCCTGAGAAAACAGCTTGCTCATGTCTGCTGCTGCAGGAGATAAAAAAAAGAAGGACGCTTTATGTTAGATTAAATAGGAGGAAGAAAACATGGCGGTTAAAAGAAGAAAAGACATTACGTACATTTACACTTAGGCCACTGGTGAAGGCTGGTGCTTTTCACTAGTGTTTCATCCACTTTTCCTCCCGACATGTTGTCCATGAACTGCCTGCCGTGCTCCAGTGCCATGTAGCAGTCGTTATAACAGTCCCTCTCTTCGACCCTCAGGAACGAAGTTGGGGCCAAGCTCGGTTTGGAGTACTCCACACCCGCAAAATGTGCGAACGGGTTGGTGCACCGGTCCTGAAGCAGCAGGATCAGCTCATCTGGAGGCTTCTCTTTCAGGCTGCCTCTCAGCTCCTCGAAGCAACGCTCCGTGTCCCGACTGGCGTCCGAGCCGCGCCCCACTACGTCCAGCTCATCCTCCAGAAACAGCCCAGCTGATTGGCCGAAGCGCCTGTTGGTTACAGCGCTAAAGCCACAAGTGCATGGATACTGAGCCTCGCCATTATCCTTGAGGTACACGCCCACGTCTGCCCCCCGGATGTTCATGTTGCAGACACACACGCAGCAGCTGTCGAAGTTGCAGTCCTTGAAAAGGTTCATGACGGACTCGGAAAGTATGAGCGTGACGTAGAGGCTGTGCGCCTCGGGGATGGAGGGCACGGTGGCCGGCTCCACAGAGCTGAGAGGTCGACAGGTGGAGGGTGTGGACGCCGGGGAGTAAAGGTCGGAGTTGTCGTACTTTAGGGAGCCCTGGACACTGGACGGGCCGCGGGGCGTTCGTGGAGTGCGTGGCGTGCGAGGCGTGGGCACGGAGAAGCGCGGTGTGGCTGGAGAAGGCAGGATGCCGGTGCCGCCGTTGCTCGGAGGAGCGCTGCTGGACATGAAGGGCGTGTGGGTCTGAGGGGTGTAGGTCTGGCTGTAGTCTGGCTCCACACTCGGGACATTACTGTTTCACAAAAATATACAGAGATTTAATTTAGAAAAATTACAGGAATTAAAACAACACCCTCAATACTTTCAGTTCTCAAATGAAACAAGTTTGTTTTATTTAAGATGTTGCTTTATGTTTTACAGCAGTTTCATTCTTAGATTATTGTTTTTACCATATTTTGCTCCTGAAAGCATCATGCTTGGATGTGCGTGTTAGCAAAATATCTACTAAAAATAAATAAATAAATAAAGTTTTCAGCAAGTAATGCATCTTCACTGATTAACTTTTATAGCCAACCTATCCTGATGCATGCTCAATAGATAAATCTAACAAGGTTAACTGATTCTTCATACGTTTTGTCTTTTATCCAAAAGACTTCTTCGGTCTGAGGAGTTGCTCAGTCTTATAAATAGCACCTTCCCATAGTGGATCAACCAGTTTGTTGTCGACATCCAGAACTAGCCGTTCACATGCAAAAAGGAGGACCATCAGCCTAACAATTGATCGTTAGTGTCCTGATGGTTGCTTGCTATTCAGTGGGCTGAGGGGACAGTTGAACACGGAGACCTCCACCCCTGTTTAAAGAAAGATGGTTTCTCTTCGCAAAGACAGCCTCATTTACTCCTCTCTCAAACCATCGGTCTTCTCATTACGAAATGTGAACATTTTGGTCCTCAAGAGTGCTCCTTATCCTTGAGGTGTAGGTGAAAGGATAAGTGACACTCTTTCGAGGACCAAAATGTTCATATTTTGGACAGACAAGACAGATGGTTTGAGAGAGGAGTGAAGGAAGCCATCTATGTAAAAAAAGAGAAACCAACGCTAAACAGAGGAGGAGGTCTCAGATTTCAGCTTTCAAAAACCTTGAATGCAACTTTAGGACTGATAGCCCGTCATTTTCACTCCAATCAAGAACTTCATTCAAGTGACCAGAGTAGCTCTTCTGTGAGTCAGACTAACAAAGACTCTAACGAACCTCTATTGCGAGGGGTGAGAGGGAAATCTGCATGTGAATCTAGTTTACAGAACGTCTCAGCTTTAGGATAAATACTGAGCACAAATCTTGTCATTGTGATGACAACACTTAGCACTTTCTTTCTTTCTCTATCACTCAGCCCTCTGTGAATAGCAAGTGGCCATCAGGGTAATAACGATCGTTAGGCTGATGGTCCTCCTTTTGCATGTGAACAACTAGTTTTGGCTGTCACCAGCAAACTGGTCGATCCACTATGAGAAGGTGCTATTTATAAGACTTGAGTTTGTTGCAGCTCTTCAGAATGAAAGTCTTTTGGATAAAAGACGAAACATTTCAACAAGAAGAATCCGTCCAGAGGACATGACTCAACTTTGTTAGACATAGACAACCTAATTCAAGTTGGCTGCCGCAACCTTAGCAAACACTAAATGAACCATAATTTCATCAAATTTAATGATATCGAGCTAAAAGTTGAAGCGATAGTAGCTGAGTGTCATTCTCAACACAGACTTCAAGTGCTAACAAATATTGCAGTACTGTGTGTGGCGGTAACATGACCAAAATGACTAATTATAATTTAGCAGTTGAAGATGATCTCGTTTTGAAACTCTGGCATGAAAGGCTGCGGGTAAAACATTTCTTTAAGGAATGCCAGGCCTCTACTTTCAGTAATATTTTATTTCCAATTTATAATCTAATTTATTTGCATTTACCTGTCTTTGGTGAGGAGACTGACACTCGACACTGGGGGTATCAGTTCCATTTTGCCCATGGTCCAGCTCAGCGTGTACATGCAGTTTTCTGGCAGTTTGATAGGAGACAGACACTGGCTGGGTAGTGTCTTTAGGGGGGCGTACATGGAACAGCCAATGATAGACTGACATGTCTCTGGCTTATACACAAAGGAGAAGTCCTGAAAGAAGACAAACCAGTCACTTATTAAAAAATAAACACCTTTGCTACTTCATTTTGTTGCCTTTTTCTCTTTCTTGTCCCTTTTGTCCTGTGCCGCACCTTAATCTCAGATGGCTTTGGGCTGCAGAAACCCTCCTCTACCTCCACCTTGAAGTGGCTGTTAAGCTGGCTGACGTCCAGTACGGTGAGACTCGACCCCGTTTCCGGACTATCGTTGCTCCCGGAGTTCATGGGAGAGTAGCCCTGGTGTTCAAGTGAGGGCGGGGTGGGAAACATCTTGTGCAGGTCTACCGGGCCTAAAGAAGCAATATATTATTAAATCTCCTGACATGGGGTGTAAAAGCTACAGTGTGTGATGTGGGGCTCTACGAAGTCTACGATGTAGAAAACAGACAGAAGCGCTGATTTGGACATAGAGTTAAAAGAAAGAGGAAAAATGTGAGCAGAACATGGACTGTAATAGAAATCTTGAAGTAATGTCACCCCACTTTTTACAGTAGTTTCTGTTAATATTTATTAAATTTAATTTGATTCTTAACTTCCTACTGATGTCTTTAAATTTTCATTATCAGCTATTAATATACGGGTACTTCTAAACCAATGTTACTTACTGACGCAAGGCAGACGATCCAAGAGAGTTGGTTTAGTTTTTTTACAGTTAATGTCATCTTCAATACCAATGCCAGCTTTTTTGGGGCCAGACTGCGAAAAAAACAGAATTTGTTTGTTAAATTCTTGAAAATATAATTAAAACAAGCCGTTCAAAAGGCAGTAAAACCTCAAATGTACTTCACCGTGTTTAACTTACCCCTGGATCATCTTCGTCCGAGTTAAATATTTTCTCTAAGTCACTGTAAGACACTGCCAAGTCGTTTTCGTGGAAGAGGCTGGTTGAGGCTGAAGGTTTATTGCCTGATGGACCCTGACCATCTGCACATCGAAACAAATTAGAGGGAAAACCTTCATTGAGACACGCTACTACCAGTACAAATGTTTTTTTTATTCAAATGTTAAAAGCAGAGGCAAAAAAAAAAAAAAAAAAAAGACGTTCTCACCGTCGGCAGAAGTTCCAGTTGCTTCATCCAGCTGAGGCAAAAAATAAGAAAATTACAAGATTATTTTACCCAGAGAATTGACATTTTCTGTGAAAATGTTTTGGGAATTCTGTTTGTCTTTACAGAAATTTGATGAAGTTGAAACGGAGTTGTTAAATCGGAAAACAGCTAAATGCTAGCTAAAAGCGAAACGTAAAAAAATGTTTAGCATATACGATCAAAACCCACCTAGAAAGGTAAAAGTAACAAAACGCTAAGAAAAGTAGCAAAATGTTAGCTAAAAAAGGTAAAAGTAGCAAAACAATATCTTAGAAGTAAAAAAAGTGAGTGAAAAGCTAAAAGTAGCTGAATACTAACTAAAACTATAATAAAAAGGCAAAATACAGCAACTCGACGCAGCTTCTCGAGTAAAAGAGCACTCTCTTTTAAAGAATAAGAGATGTCAATGCATTTCTATGGGGAATTCATTTAAGAAAAAAAGGTTAAGATTTTGAAAAATAGAAAAGTTTTAAACAGCAATAGTCAGAGTCAGAATGTCCTGAATGATTTGAACATTTTTGCAGCTGAATTGTTAAAACACCATAATGTATGAGGACCGTAGTCAAAAAGGTATGAAGAACAACATAAGATCACTATACGTAGTGTGAATACTCAGGCAGCATTTACACAATAAAATGTTTCCTCATTGTATATAAAGCATCCCAGTAAATATTCTAAAATAATAATAATAAAAGCAGATTTCATCAACTGACAAACTAGTGTCTTCACCTTCTGTTTCTTGTTGCCTTCCTTCTCAGACCCAGACTTGTCCTTCTCTGTAAAGTTGTCCTCCTCGTCCTCTACAAAGGCGTAAGGATCCGATTCCTCACTGTGTTCTCTGTCCCCAGTGGAGGAGACGAGATGGCTGTTTCTCCGCTGGGTGTATGTCTTCACCAGGTCCTGGGACACCTTCAGAGGCTGCGAGGAGTTGCACATCAACCTGAGGAGAGGTAAACAGTTTCAATAGTCGTTCAATCTTTATTTATACAGGTTAATCTGTGGTGGAAGTGGTCTCCAGCTACAAGTACTTGGGTGTGCACCTGAATGATAACCTCAGCTGGAGCAACAACACCACCAGCCTGATCAAGAAAGCTCATCAGAGACTTTACTTCCTCAGACGGCTGGTCTGGGAAGCTCAGTCCTCACCTCCTTCTACAGGTGTGCAGTGGAGAGCATCCTGTGCTCCAGCATCAACGTGCGGCATGGAGGCTGCACAGAAGTCTGTTGGGAGTCAGTCTCTCCACCATCACAAACATCTACACCTCTAGATGCAGGAACAGGGCCACCTGCATCATGAAGGACCCCACTCACCCAGCACACACTTTTTGCCCGTTCCCCTCAGGAAGGAGGTTGAGGAACATTAAGTGTAGAACCACTAGACTGAGGAAGAGCTTCTACCCTGAGGCTGTTAGACTCATGAATCTCTAACCAGAATAATCACTGTGAAGAATCACATCATGTTGCTGCTGATCTGTTTCATGTTGATTTGTTCATTCATGCTCATCTGTTCACACAGACTCATGTTCGTGCTGCTGTTTGGCATATTATTTTTATACTATTAGTGCTTAGCGTATTTTTAGTTAACGTTTTTCTTAGTTTGTATCTTAGATCATATTACTGTTTTTCTTTTACATTTTATACTTTTGTTGGATGTAACTGGGACCCTGTGTACATAATTTCGTTCCACCACATGTACCACATGTGGTGTGTATGACAAATAAAGAACCTTGAATCCTTAATCTCATTGACGTGGACGGCTGTTCTCCTTAAATGAATTGAAATGTTTGTTTTATTTAGTGCGGGTCATGTTAACACATTACTATTGTGTTAATGCAGCCAATGATTAACGGTGACAATTTTTATTTTTTTTTACTTTAGCTGTTAAGTTTTTTCCTTAACTGAAGGAAGGCCGAGTGTTTGTTACGCAGCTCGTTTATGGGCTGAAACTTTTGCCATCAGAAACTGAATTTGAATTGCTTCGGTTTCTGATGATACAACTTTCAGCCCATACTCGTTATTCAAAAAGGTTCAAGACAAAAACAACTGGACTTTATTTTGTAACCGAAGACGTTTCGCTTCTCATCCGAGGAGCTTTCTCAATTCAAAGACCAAGGAACGTGGGGTTCGAGTTATAAAGTTGAGGTGTTCTGTAAACTAGATTCATATGCAGATTGCACTCTCACTCTAATCTAGCAGAATCTAGTTTACACAACACCTCAGCTTTATAACTCGAACCCTGAAAGCTCCTCGGATGAGAAGTGAAACGTCTTCAGTTACAAAATAAAGTCCAGTTGTTTTTGTCTTGAACTTTTTTGAATTGACCAAGTCCTGGATGACTGAAAATCTTCACCAGGTCATTACTGTTCTTATCAGAGCCGTATGTGTTACAGTGAACCCAGATAATCCTTAATTTGCTCCATTTCTACTAATGCGTACAGAGGACAACAGATGAAGGACGAAGCTGGGACAGCCAGCACATGAAATGTTAGGAGCTTTGTTAAAAATCCTATACATCTTTATCCGTCACGTATAATTGAAAAAAGGAAAAATGTTAATCATGCTTATGTTACTAGAAATACTTCATTTGCTAGGGGAACACTGCTGTTAAAAAGTGCCTTTTTTGAAAATGTATTAAATCTTTTATTATATAAAACCGTACCTTAAATATGCTTTAAACATCTTAAGAGTCATAATTTTGTGCATAATAATGCGATTAATCACACACACAAAAAATGTTGCTATTAATCGCGATTAAATTATTATTTTTTTTATCTATGCCCAGCACCAGTTTTATTGCATCTTCAGATGTGTGCAAACACTTACTCAGTGACAGAAACCACACTGTCAGTTCCTCCACCACAATCATCACGTGCTTTATCTACAGGCAGCTGAGGTGGCGAGAAACTGGAATTCTTCTTCCTGGGTAAGTTGAAATACTTCCAGGGGTTGTAAGTGGAGTCTTCACTTGGGTTTACAGCTGAGCCTACAAACACGGTAGGTTCCAGACTTTCATTAAAGGCTGAGGGGAAGGACAACGACATGGGAACGTTGTCTATCTGTGGTTCTTCAGAGGAGCTTTTCTGAGGCATCAGACAGGGCTCCACTGATGGCGGGTAGAATGGTTGGTGAATAGGCGTGGAAGAGTTCTTAATGGACCCAGGGATTAGGTCACCTTCTACGTGATCGCACGGATGCGGGCTGAGAGGAGGGGGAGGAGGGGACCCGACTAGGTCTGCAGGTGGGCCGTGTGAGTGCAGCGTGGGGGCTTTAGGAGGCACCGTGTCCAGATGGTGCAGGCTGGGATACGAGCCCTCCTCCAGCGGTCTTGAGCAGAGCCTCGGGTTCTGCGGTTCCAGGGACTGCTCCTCGCTCACAGAGTTGCGGTGGTGAAAAGGCGTCTGCGGCCTCCTCTGCTGCTTCTCTGCCTTGTCCAGCTTCTCACCCAGCTTGTGCTTGGGGGCCAGCTGGGCAGGCTGGCCTGAGGAAGGTGGGTGTCCTGAGGTACTGCTAGACCGCTGCTTCTGATTCTTATGCCTGAACAGACACAAACGTACTATTACCACACAATAACTACACATATCGAGCTACCATTTGGTATGGTAGTGGCTGAGATTTATCCCCAACACATGCTTTCAGAACTACATAAAGCAAAATACTTGAGGAAAATTTTGGTATTAATCATTGGCATGAAGTATTTTAGCAAAATATTTCATGAACAACTGGACGCATTTTACTGAATGTTTAAGATTGCTGCCACAGCTGATGAACATTGGCCCACACAAAACGGCTATAACTCAGTCAATGTTACAGATAGTGAAGTATAATTACATGTGGTAGTAGCCGAGTCATCTTTGACACACACACTGAGCGCTAACGTGCATTGCAAGACCTTACAATGTCCTGTGAGACGGCGCATAACTTCATTTATGAGGTTTGGCCAGAACAGCTACAACTCATTTCTCAGCATATCATGATTTTAGTTAGAAATTCTGGTGTAAAAGTCAGCAGGCATATCCTTCAAGGACTCCTAGGCTTTTAATTCAAAAGCAGGAATCCCTTGTGAAGAGGAATGCGCGATATATACAGTACAAGGTACAAACGATGGACATTTAGTCTATGATAGATTAAGGATGCACCGATCAACAGTTTTTTACTTCCGATCCGATCCCGATACCTAAATCTGTATATTGGCCGACACCAATACCGTTCCGATATCATTATCATTATTGATTTTATATGAGGCTGTAATAAAGGCTGGGGGGAGTGGTGGCGCAGAGGTTAGAGAGGTGGGCTTGTGATCCGAAGATCGCCGGTTCACGCCCCGGCCCCGACAACATCAAAAATTGTGGGTGGGGTAGGTGAAACACTCACACTTGCCCCCACCCTCATTCGCCCCACTCTGGGCCCATGAGCAAGGCCCTTAACCCCCACCATGTGCTCCCTAAACAGGTCTCTCTTGAAAATGAGTTCTCGTGGCTCAATGAGACTAACCTGGATAAATAAAGGCTAAATGAAAAAAAAAAAAAATCTCTTCTCTATGGGCACCTACAATTTGTACAAATATATGCATGCATGTCCAAAAAGGCAACTTGAAGTAAGTTTTATTACTGTTGGATAAGTTTCAAAGTTAGAATTAAATCCTGCTAACACAAAACACGTTTTTTATTCCTAGCTTTAAAATGGATATTAAAGTGATTAAATGGCTTTAAATATCTGCTAAGTTCATGACAAAAACCAACACAGACATGTTCCTGTTTTTAGTATTTTACATCGCTTTATAATGTAGCAGTTTTTGTTTCGGGTTTTTTTATGTATAATTTTCTTGTATTTTTCAAGCAATATGCTTTTTTATGATTGTCTGCTGTTGTACTGATACATATCTCCTGGAGGGCAAACTATATCTTGGAAGCAAGTATCAAGCTGAGAAATCCTTTGTTTTCTACAACTGATAGCGGTTGGTCATTAATTATGATGAAGTTTAGCAACTTCTAGCTTACACGTTGTCCAGCAGAAGTTTACCTTGCCGTTGGAATGACTCCAAAAAATGATTTCGGCCGACTCCTTTTGTCTTTCTCCCACCTGGTTAAACAATCCTCGTGCCCTTTAATGTGGTGCTTTTTCAAATGTTTGATTAAGTTTCTTGTATTATCTTCTTGTAACATTGCACGTTGCTGTCTTGCTTCGCAGTGTTTCTAGTGTAAAATACTTCCACACAGCAGACATGTTGCGATGAAAAGTTGGTTAGCTGTTAGCCACAGTGCTGCTCAGTCCTCACATATTTACACATGTTAAAGTTGGCTGCAAAGTGTGAACTGGATTTCCTGAATGTGAGGCGGGTCTTATTACGCTGGGCTCATGAGACGCGCCTCCGTTCAGGAAATCCATTCCATAGTTTGAAGCTAACTTGCAGAGCAGCTGGCAGGGAATCACACGTGGAGACGTTTCAACAGACGCATACATGCATCATGAATCAGAAATCTCTGCAGGTTGGATCGGAAAAATCCGCTACGTAAATTATGCTGGTATCGGAATCCGATACCCACACCGGATCGGCCCCATCCCTAATAGAGATCTGCATTCTTCTGCCTAACCGCAGTAATGCTTGTTGATAACGTAATCAGCCGGCGTCAAAGCATAGAGCAAGCTGGTAGCAGCATGGCTGAGAGCACAGGGGAGGAGCTCGTTAACAAGGCAGGAGCAAAAACATTTATTATCTTTACATTTCAGCCACGAGTGCTCCTTCAGAAAGGGCATTTAGCAGCATTGTTTCATACCACCGGTCTCTGTTAAAGCCAGAGACTGTGGACAAGCTAGTGTTTTTAGCCAACAATCTTTAGACTAACAAATGACAGCGAGATTTTGAATTTGAGTTTTGTTAAGCGTTTCAGTGTGCACTTTTTTATATGTAAAATGCTGCTCTGTTGCCGTTCATTTCTTACGAGGACTGGAAACCGTTAAGCGTTAACAACATATTATTTTGTTTAAAACACATGTCTACAACTACATTTGATATATTTTGCACTGTTTTGCACTACAAGAAAGAATTCTAATACTTGATTTGTTTTTTATTTAAAAACTCTCTGGACCTAGTAGTGGAATTTTCTTGATTGAGATTATTTTGTGGTATAGCAGTTTTCAAAATAAATGATGGCAAAATGGCACCCTATGCTTTTTAAAAATTCCTATTCCAAGTTTTATATCAAAAACATATTTATATATCGCTACCACCACCCATCACAATAGATATTGGGATATGAATTTTATGCCATATCGCACATCCCTAGTTGTGAAAATGTTCCTTTCAGGATACCTTGAACAATTGCAAGTTGGTCTGCAAGTTGATTCCACAAAATCCCAGAGTCCAGTGTTGTCAGGCTCCTCCTCACACGCTCCGTTCGTCAAGTTTGTTAACTTCCTTCTAAACATCAATGGAAAGTCACATTTTCTGTCAGCACAAGGATTCAGTTTTGCCAAAAAGAGCTCATTAATAATAAAACAAGTGTGAATAAACATACTTGTTCCCTGTACGGTTTATGTTATATTCCTGCCATACGGACTCCACCATCTGGCCAGCCAGCCTCCGGGGGATTTTCCCCCCATGAAGAGTGTTATTTGAGTTGTAGCAATCGGACGCAGAGGACAGCTTTAGCCACCTGTGAGCAGGCTGATAGTCTGAAGAGGAAAAACGACAAATGAAGCACCGGTATCACAGAAGCATCAGCTGATATGTTCAGATCCAAGTTTTACCAGTGTGAGCCTCTTCTGGTGACGTTGGAGGAGTCAGGGTAACAGAGGATATGGCAGAGTCTCTGTGAGTCGTCTGGCCCTGCTGAGCACCACACTGGCTCCCCGGGGTGTTGGCTGAGCCCTGAGGGACCATGGCAGGGAGGTCTGACAGGGGGAGAAGCACCAGACAGGACGGGTAGACCATCCTGACTCCCGCTGGAACCAAGCACATTTACATATTTTAAAGTAATGTAGATGCCTGAAAACATCAAGTTAGTTTTTCATCATTGCACTGTAGCCAAGTTGTCTTTAGGGCTTTAGGGCCCTATTTACATGGACACAGTGGTGGGAAACGTAGGTTCATTCTTATGTTAATTTGAGGAAAAGATCCACGTCGACATAGATGGATTTTGTGTTTAAATGCATCTGAAGGAATCCCCCCCACCCCCCAAATCCACTGTAGTTGCCAAGCTGGGTCATTAGTTGGCGCTGTGAATTTTGTACATTCATCTAATGTGCATGCGTGCTGCCTCGGACTGCTTCCTGCAACGACTTTTTTATTTTTCCTGCGAGGAGAAGCTGTCCTCCCACCAGAGGTGGACCGGTTTCGAACGAGCCTGAGCCCAGGTGCGGTGCAGGAGGACGTCGAAGAGAGAAATGTTGGATGAACTATTTATTTAAAATTCCATCAATTCTTTTATTTAATCCCTTCAATGTTTTAAGCTACATTAAGCAAAATAGTGACAGCCTGTACAAGCCAGATAAACAACATGGTGTCAGTATCCAGGATGACAACAGAGAGCAGAGTCCAGTTCATTAATGTAGTTTACAGTTCAGTTAACGTGTTTTTAATAGTGTGTTCAGTTTAATTATCAGTGTTTGTGTGACATACAGTTAGTGGTGTTGAATAAATAAATAAAAATTAAACCTGACGTTTTCATTTTCAACTTTAACAACATGTGATGTGTCTTCATTATATATCTCACACACTAACATAAATACTGTTTATTATTGTTAAACTGTTATTATTTAGCACATATAGTATGTTATAGTCCAGCGCGATGCGTGAAATATCCACCTGCCTCGACAGGCTCGTTCAGTAAATAGCGATATTAGAACTGGATCCGACTCTCTCTCTCTTCCCAACACAGATGTCAGTCACAGCAGCTAAATTCCTGCGTAAATCAACTACGAGACCCAAAATATATTCCATCAGTCGTAGCTCAGAAAGCAGTGCGTTATACTCCGCCGCCATTGTTGATAGAAATATGCCGTCGGTCCGCGTGTGTGTGTGCGCATGTGATTTAACACAACACCTCTGCGGGAGATCCCCCGAAAACCTCCACTCTGAGAGGTGGGTTGCAAAACCTCCGGATTCAAAGAGCAGGGGCTACTAGTGTTGTGTAAATGAACAGCAGAAGCGCAGAGAGTAAGGTGCGGTTTCACTCAAAATAGGTCAAATGACGACAGATCGTCGGTGCGGTAAATGACTTTATTTAAACATAAAAAGTTCTGTGTAAGTAAAGTCATCTTATAAAGATTTTTTTATACATACCAAGTTCAGGGACAACTGCTTACATTCCCGTCACCCATCGCTGCCTTCGTAAATAGTTATAAAGCCTTACCGACAAGGACTTCCACAGCTGCCAGGGAGTCATCCTCCCAGTCTGAATCATCCATCTTGTCTTCTTGGGCCTCCTTGGAATTGGGGCAAATGGGATAAAACTGCCTCCACTCCTCTATGAGCTTCTGAGTAGGGTGATCTGACATCTTGAAAGCCTGGCCGGTGAGAGTCCCGTTCAAACCATATGGGCTGAGGATAACTGCAGGGCAGAGGAGTTGCATCGCACATAAAATACATGCACTAACCGAAACAAAGAAAAACGTTTTAAATCCTCACTAATATCCCAAACTCCTGTGATCCTACCTTGCAGCGGGCTGGAACTCTGCTGCGCGAGGCTAAGGTGCTCGTCGCTGAGTCTCTGGAGAGGTTGATGCTGGGCGATCTCCACACTCGTGCAAACGTTGCTGTCACCGTGAACGAAGAAGGTGAACGCGCAAGACAGGTGCTCGCTGCAAAGGAGGCATTGAGAAGTTTTTTGGAAAATTAGACACAAAATTAAATGTTTTAAATCTCAACAACAAAATCTTCTTTTGACTTATAAATTAAAAAAAATAAAAGATGAAAACCCGACAGTGAACACAATACATTATTCCTTACATACCGTTTATTTTACAAAACAAAAACAGATTTAATGGTCTGGTTTCACTAACTGTGCAAAATTTTCAAGATGTTTTTTTTTACTTGAAGTTTTAAGGATTTAGCAAAATTCTTAATAAAAAAAGTAAAAAACAAAGTAAATTTGGGGGAATTTAGAGTAAAAAGTGTGAGTTTCTCCTTTATTTGTTCTGTTTGTTTCTTATTTTAGTCTTGATTTTTAGAGCTTTAAATGGACAGGCCCCCCAAAACATCACTGAAATGTTGATTCCTTGTTCTCCAGCCCACACCCTTCGTTCTTCAGCGCTGAACCTCCTAAAGGTCCATAAGACCCGGTTTAAAACTCAGGGTGACCCATCCTTTCAGGCTGTAGCCCCCAGACTGTGGAACGCCCTGTCTCCGTCTCTTCGTGTGACCATCTCTGTTGATTTCTTTAAAAAGCAGCGCAAGACATTTTTATTTAAACAAGCTTTTAGTTAAATGTTTAATTTACTCTTTTTATCAACTGTTCTTATTGTTTTTGTTTTATTTTAACCCTGTATTTTGTATTTTTTTGGAAGCACTTTGCGATTGTATATATGAAAAGTGCAATATAAATAAAGTTTACTTACTTCTGATTGTTTTAAAGCTGATTTGCCCCACTGTGGTCACTGTGTTAAAATGTGATGTGTTACTCCCAGGACAAGTCTGAGCAGCAGTTTGTTACTTTGTATTCACCCAAATTAACATTGTTGACATGCATGTTAGGCTGATTGGTAACTCTAAATTGTTCCCAAGTGTGAGTGAATGGTTGGCTCATTTGTCTCCATGTGTCCCTGTGATGGACTGAGATCTGTCCAGGGTGTCCCCCGCCTCTCGCACAGTGACTGCTAGATATGGGCACCAGTGACCCCCGTGACTCGAAAAGGAAGAAGCGGGTAAAGATAATGGATGGATTATATTCAAGGAAGCTGTGTAAAACAGGATGTCAACAGTTTTACTGCAGTGGACTTTTACAAATACAAAAAACTCAGTTTATCCTGAGATACAAAGCTCTGTGAAGTCACTAATCACTGTATGCTCCATTATTACTTTTATATTGTGTCTGTTAAGTAATTTAGTTTATCAAGCAATACCTGAACAAAAATGTGATTAATGGCTCTGAAGTAAAATGTCAAAATTATTTAGTCTAGATGTGTGAATGTAATTTTTCTGTTGTTTGGTGCTCACCCACAGTGCACTGCGTGTATCTTCATACTGCGCAGGTAATTGACAACAAATCACAAGAATGTTTGTGGGGTCCACATTTAGACCCAGGTAAACGCTCTCAGTCAGGGCTGACTGCTTGCAGTCCAGTCACCAAAAAGAGACAAAGAGCAAGGTGCGAACAGGGTCTGGGACACAGTGATGAGTTTAAACTCAAGTATTCAATTCTACATCAAGTCACTTTGAGTCACGGCTCAGTTCTACTTGTGTAAAGAAAAAAAATCAGTCAAAAATATGAATGGGAATTTATCCCTAAAACGTTCAAACAACGTTCATCTTCGAGCCATGTGCGGCGATCCAGGCAGCTAAAAGCACTAAAATAGTATTTGTTGACATGGCTGCTGTAAAACCACAGTGCTCACTCAGCATTTTCCAAAGACTGCTGTGTTTACCAGCGAGAGACGGCAGACAGGCGACAGCAAGCCTGCCACACACACTTCTGCTAAAGGTGCCGCTGCGCGTGTGTGTGTGTGTGTGTGTGGAGGTGTCAGCGCTCGTTTTGTGTTTATGTTCAGATCTCTTAATATAAAAGAGAGAAAATGAACACAAGTGAGCAATAAATCACATCCCCTTATACAACAGCTGCTAAAGCTCCATGAAATTTAACGAGAAGGTAGCCAGATGGAGCTGGACGTCAAATGCGCGTGAACACGGCCAAAAAGCTGAGGCTTAAATTAGCTCGTTGGGAAACTAGGGTTCCCCTGGTCCTTCTTTCAAGAGCAAACATTAAATCTATGTAAGCAGCCTCAAAATCAAACAATAAGAGAAAACGGCACCAGATTTAGATCCAACTAGAAAACTGCTGGTCCGCAAATCATTTTCATTCTATAACAACAAAAACAAATCAGCCTGGATACATTTATATGTGAACATAAAACAAACGGCTTTTCTAAACTGAGAGTAAATGTGCGACAAAATAATTTTTTATGATTTTGCAAACATTTAATACCACCTGGTGCCGACATCACTAACAAGTGATGTAACTGGATTACTAATATTTATTTGACTAAATCACAGGAACAATTTAAAGAATCACTTATTTGACAAGGAACATTAAATATGTTCACTTATTTTAACCTTTTTATATCTCGATTAAAGAAATGCTGAATTCATTAGGTCACTTTGTTCTGTGATTCTCAGTTTAAAACAAACGTTTAGTTGCAGATCGCAATTTTCTGATTTGCAGAAACCACTCATTGTTAAAACTCAATAAAACCTCCACAAATTATATTCAAAAGTCACATACTTCATGTAATTTAGGAGATGATGCTTCATTAATTCTAATATATATAATATATTCTAATAATGTCATTATTTTATTATATTATTAGTTTTTTCCCCCAACTTTTGTTATTAAATGCTTCATTAAAGGAAGCTGACTTCATGATATTAGGCATTAATTGCTTGAAATTAGCTCAATTAAGCAAGTGCTTCTAAAATTAGCGCATAAACTGTTGCCTTCAAGATGAGTCTGTGACGAAGTTAAATTCAAAGCAGTCTGCTCCTCAGAAAAATAATTTTTATATAAGAATGTTTCTGTTGAGCATGAACTTTGTTTCTGTTCAGTGCCCTGAGATGACTTCTGTTGCATCTTGGCTCTATATAAATAAAATGAATTGAATTTAATTGTAAATTGTTACAAAGGAATGGACCCACAGTGAAGTGACTGGTGTTACCTTTATAACCAGATGTAAATCAACCAATACCAAATAATCATGCCTAAATTATAGATGAGGAAACCAGGGTGTTCAACATGTGTTGTTTAGTTTTACTGAGTGCTAGCCAGAGCTTGTCTTGTTGAAAACTAAAGCTAAAGGCTCCTGTCAAAGTTTATGTTCATTTATCTGAATATAACCATCTCAAAACACACAATACCAACCACAGAGGGAGGAAGAGTGAAAAACAAAACAGGCATTGCATTATAAAAGAGCAACGGTACTGTAAATCTTGTGCAAAGAAAATCAGAGACTTCAGGGAATAGTGTCAAATTGTGAAAATGGAAAGAGAAATCCATCTTTGTTCAATAACGCTTGCAAACAACTCAAATGTGTTTGTCCAAAACAAAATGATAACGACTGAAAACAGATCGTCTACTAAATTAAAAGAAACATTTATTAAAGTTTAACTTCAGACAGCAGATGCTCTGCAGTTAATGTTTTAGTTATAACAAAATGTTAATAAATAAATGAAACGGTTTGCAGTTGATTTCTGTTCAACATTTGTCACTTTTAATGTAACTGTGCAAGCACATGTTAAATGTTAAAAAACAAACACCAGACACTGACTAATATTAGGCTTGTCAGCACAAACTATTACACTTTTCTGATGCCACATTTAACACCACTAAATGTGCTTTATTGTGTCATTTTTTAAAATCCAGAGCACTTACGCAGATGAGAGGGCTTTTTGCTGATACTCATTTTAATTGTGATCTAAAATTTTAGCTGAATTCTGACTTGGCAACCTTTTGAACTCTTCCCTCAATTGCAGATGATTTCTTCTAAACATTTGCAGAACGACTGAGAATCATTAACAGCAGCTCGACACTGAAATGTGCAACTAGTCAGAAAAAAATAAAACGCAGCTTGAGATATGTTTCCTTCAAATACGTCATATCATGAGACGTAGAAATCTACTTACCAACACTTACCCGTAATAAACAGGATGTGTATGATTTATGTAATATTTTAGCTTCCTGCCGTTGGGATAAAGAACACACCTTTTGTTGATGATCTTCTCCTCCTTCTGGTATGGCTTAACGAACCACTTGCCGATGCGAACGAAGCCGCGGTTCATGAGACAGCGCTCCAACAGGTTGTGAATGGCTTTGAAGAGGAGTGTCCGACACTCGTAGGACAGGCCGCTGTCCCACTCGCCATCCTCCTCACCTTAAAACAAACAAATGTATTAAATTATACAACTACAATGTAACTTACACAACTAAACTATACAACTATAAACAAACTTCCATGTAAAGACGACTGCCTCACATTAAATACCTAAAGTGGCGTGCTAAATCGACAGTTCTCTCTTAAAATGAGTCTTCGAGGCTCAATGGGAACTAACCTGTATAAATAAAGGTTTAATAATAAAAAGCTTTTCTTTACAAATTTCAAGACTTAGCATGGTTTGCAAACTGGCCATACCAACGCATGAAGAGTCCAATTTGAATATATGCGAACATCTGATTTTAGCAGTCACATAACTGATAAAATCTGGCATGGACTAAAAATCACAAGAAAGACTGCATCCTCTTCCAAATGCGTACATGAAAATCAGTGTTTCAAATCAGGAGTAATGTATTAAATATAACACGTGTTGACAGCCTGTAATAGTTACGATCCTCTAAAGTAAACAGAAAGCCTAGTAAGTGTGAGAGCCCCATAAAAATATTTTCAATTCAAATAAATTACATAAAAAATAGGGTTAAACATAACTCTAACTATGAAGACCGTGTCAGATAGCTCAGATGAACAACAGCATGGACTAATAAAGTCATGTGAGCTTGAGCCTCAGTGAATTCCACAAGGCTTTAAAGACCATAAACCAGCTGTACTTTAATAACTTTGCATTATTAAAAATGCATTCAATTCCCTTCCACAGTTCAGAATGATAAATCTGACTGTGAAACACCAAACATGTTTTAACACGAACAAAGAACCCACAAATTGGGCTCCATTTCCTGCAGTTTTCCATCAGAGCAGCAGCAGCTCCGCTCTTATCAGCATCAACAATTATTCCTAAACTGCGTTGGGTGCCTCTGATTTAAGTTTGCAAACAAATACATACGTTCTTTAACAGATGTGGAAGTGGGAAAGAAGTAAAGTCACTTTAAAAACTTACATTTTTAACAGTGTGTAAAACACCTTTACAAAATGAATAAATCAGTGCTACCTCTGCCGTCCCTCAAACCCAAGCTGTTCTCTGTAGTTGTGGCCGTAATGCATATGGTTCGTTTCCTTGGCGATGCCTGCAAGTATGAGCTTTACTAGTCGACAATAAGTTTGATTAATGGCATGGCCTCGAGGGCCCTGAAACAATGCCAAGGAGAAATGATCTTGTCACCTCAGAGATATGAAAATGGTGTGGCTATGTGGTGTCAAACAGGAACTAACCACTGTGCTGTTACGTTTAAAGAGACGTTTATTGGAACTAATTGTAAAAGTGCAAACCTGTTGCAGCAATGCAGGGGAATGACTTTCTTTGCCACGACACGAGGCAATTTGTGTCAGAAAATGAAAGGAAGATGTAAATTAAAATATTAAATTCTAACTATAAACCACCAAACAGCGAGTGGTTCACTAAGAATATATTTTTCTTTCAGTTTATTTAAAGCAATGGTTCTCAAATGGAGGTCAGCGAGCTGGTGCTTGGAGGGCCGCAAAAAAATATATATATTTTTTTATTTTACAAGCACGTAGATGTTTAGCAACCCCTTAAAATACACTAAAATGTAGGAAATCACTTCTGCTTTATTCAAAATTTTCTGGGGGAGGACCCCCACTCCAGCCCTTTTCTTTCTGGCATAGATCAGTTGACGAAGCCCTGTTACTACTAGGGGTGCACCGATTGCAGTTTCCTGGCCGATCACTGATTTCTCAAAAGTCTGACCTGTCGATTCCGATTTTGTTTTCTATGCAACACGGTCAGGTGTTATAAGATCACAATGTACCTTCAATTTTCAATCTTATTGTATTGAAAAACATACCCTTGAACAATATCCTAGAAACAATACAAACTTGTTTTAACTGGTCATGAGGTAGTGCTCTGAAATAAAAATGAAGTTCAGACAAATGTTGTTAAAACTAAAAAAAAAATGTGTTTATTTTTTTAAATCGGTAAAATCGGTTTCTCATGCAAGTATCGGCCGATTACCGATTTCCCAAAGTTAAAAAGATCGGGGCCGATTTATCGTACACCCCTAATGACTACTGCTGTTACGATCCTGTTCAGTTTTATGTGAAGAGTTTCTGTAATAATTTGACGTGGTGATACATTTATGTTAATTGTGTGAATAGGTAAAAGTTTTAAAGTGTTTTTGATGCCATTAATTTTCTCAAAAGTGTAATTTTTGGAAATTAAAATTAAAGATTTTGTTAACTGTGTCTTGAACCAAAAAAAACACCCATGTTTAAAAGTATAAAAATTGTACCGACGCATAAAGAACAGGTTTTAAGTTCTGATATTTATGCTACAGAAATATTTCTATTACATTAGAGAGACAAATTGAAGAAAATTATTTAATAAACATGAGGGTTACGATGGGGTCCCTGAACCCAAAATGTCTGAGAACCCCTCATTTAAACAAACGCAGGAGAATTCTCAAGAACAGCAAAAAAAAGAGTGTCATTATTTATGTTACACTCTAAAGTTTCATGGATAATGTTTTCCCACTAGCTAAAATAATGTACTGTACAACCTGGCAACCACCTGCTTTTGCTTCATTTATGTCGATGTTGCACTTTCTGCATCTTTTTCCATTTACACTTTATTTATACAGGTAGTCTCATTGAGTCAAGAGAACTTGTTTTCAAGAGAGACCTGTTTTTGAGAACAGATGGTGGAGGTTAGGGGCCTTCTCAGGGGCCCAGAGTGGGGCAAATGAGGGTGGATGCAGGTGTGGGTGTTTCACCTTTTCCACCCACACTTTGATGTTGACGGTACCGGGAGTTGAACCTGCGACTTTCCGATCACAGGCCCATCTTCTCTAACCTCTGCGCCACCACTCCTCCAATATAGTCTGAACAAAACCATGTTTAACTTAAGCTTTGCCTGGATTTTATGTAGCTAAAAAATGCCATCACTATTTGTCTATTTAAAAATAAGATACTGTGAAGATCACAAATCCTGCACAAAACATGCAAATGATGCATTCACTCACTCGAGAGCTCATTGTGGATAAGCTCCGCGAAACTGGGGTCATCCCCCCACCAGAAAAGCCAAAGCTCCCTGCGACCCCGGGTCTGGTGCCTTCTCCACACACTCAGCACATCTGCGGCCAGGCATCGGCTGAAACTACACAGGATGGGGTCCTCCTCAGTCGGGAAGAGGATGGGCGAAGAGGTGGGTCCTTGCCACACAAAACACCGCCATTTTATTCCAGTCAGATCAGCCTAAAAGAAGACGGAGAAGAAGTAAGGAAATTGAACACAAAAGGCAATGAACAGATGCCAACTTCAGAACCATGTATGTATTTATCAGCAATTCCCTTCCTGCCCTGACAAAAATAAATAAATCACTCAATTTATAAAAATAAAGAGGGTTGTTCCAACGGTTGTAGGGTTCCATGCATCTTATTAAAAATACCTTTCAAGATTCAAAGTTTCTCGATTCCCCAACCAGTTTTATTCTAGATTTTCTCCAAACACAATGAAAAAGTCACAAGCTACACACAGACAACACTTCAAACTACACTTGTTTTCCAAATGAACTCAGGTTCAAGCTTTGTGAGTAGAAAACAAGTCCAATTTGTTAAACTATGTTCCCATTCAGGATACTGAAAAAAAGCTGTGTGCTTCAGGGCTATGCCAGCTCCTCCACATGCAAGATGTTATAGAAATGCCCACAGATTTATTTATTTAATTTAACACATCTTTTAAACTTAAAGCTTGCAAGGCGATGTACACCGTGCAAGGTGTCAGCACTGGAAGTAACTTGAGGTTCAGAGTCTTGTTCAAAAACACACCATGTAAAGACAGAGGCTGCAGTCTTAACTTAATGGACAACGTGTTCCATCACCTGAGACACTGTGACCCATGGCGCACGTGAGGCTGGATCTGTATGTTCTCAATTAAAAAACCTCCAAAACAAAGATCCTCATGGATAAAACGCTAAACTCAAGGCTTGATGTAACAAAAGACACCTGAGAGATTATGTTCATTTAAAATATATAAATCAATAAGATGAATTGTTCATTTTGAGAATTTTTTATTTTTTCCCCCCCAAACTCTTAAAGACTAATAAGTAAGGCCCTCTGTCATAAATCTGTCACCACAAACACACCTTAAAACAGAACTTTGTAGTATCTAAGCATAGAATTAACAACTAATTAAGACATATGAGTTTAAAAAGATGTTTAGTTTAAATAATTTAAGACAGTCCCTGATTTAACTTCTTATATTTGTAAGTTTTAGAAGCCAAAGTAGCCTTAATTTAGTAAAAAAAAAAAAGGTGTGCCTGTTATAAACATGTAGCTAGATGTTCCTCCAACAACATCAGTGTAAACACTGGATTATGCTGCACTCGTGAACATTTTAAACATTTTTTCAAGTTGTTGTGCAGCGTGTGTTTTCTGTGTTATGAAAGTTACGTGGATGGAAATTTAGGACAAAGTTCCAACACAGTTTTCATTCAACTTTACAAACTTTACTTGATTCAACTTCTTCTTGTTTTTTTTTTTGCAGCCGTTATGCTACACATCTTTTTATTTACTTCATTTATTACAGGTTTTTGCAACCCAGTGATTAATATAGATTATATATTCTGACTATTTATGTCATTATGTTGTCAAATATTTCCAAGAAAACTAGTTCAAAGTAATGCAGTTTCTACATATAAACCACACTTTTGCTTTAAGAAATTTGCTTTAAAAATATTAATTTTGATTCACCATTTTTTTTTTTTTTTCGCTTTAATAATAATAATTAAAAAAAAGGCTAGAAAGTTAAACTTGAGGCCTAACATTGCAGATGAACTACAAATATGATTATATCCACAGCTCAGGTCAACTCAATGTAAAAAAAAAAAAAAAGTTCTGCTTGTTTGAGCAATTTACTTTTAGAAAGCTAATTATTATCTAATAATCGGAACAAGTCTGGCAACACAAATGCTTTGACATGCTAGAATATACTCCAAAAAAAATCTTATACATTTCAAGTTTACATAAAACCCTGAACTTCACATTGTCCAGATTCCATGTGAGAGCAGAGCTGCATTAATTTAGAAAAGAACAGGGTGTGTTTTAAACAATTAGCCTCTTATAAACACGTAGCTAACACTGTGTGAACCCTAACAATTGCGGTGAGCAAAATAACACGCCATCCTAGTAAAAACGTACTGTGTTAAAAGTTGCCGTGCCGCATCAATGTTTTCTGTTAAGAAAGTTGGCTAAATGACAATTTAAAGAGTTGCAGGCCCGATGCCTTCACGCCAGTCTGCAACTGACGTTACAAAGCTTGTTGAGCCAAAATGGCTTTCTGGCCTCTCAGTATCACGGCTAACGCTAGCTAGTCTTACCAGGCAGAAGATGTTGGAGTGGCAGTCCTCCAAACTGGCCCCGTTTGGTACAAAGCACGAACTCATCCTTTCACAGCGCGGTGGTAACGTTAAAGTCCATCGTCTCAATCACCTTCGGGGCAATAAGTGATAGGTGTAGCTCGCCAGCGAAGCGTTCACTTGTAATTTAGTCAGCCAACTTCTAACCGGCGCTAGCCACCGATAGCCTGGTGGCTAAGCTAACGTTAGACAGGCAGGCAGAAAGCGTCAACTGTAGGCTCCCAGCTATTCGATTCATCAATCCTATTTGAAATGTATTGTCTGATCTGGTTAGCCGCAAGGCTGCGGCCACAGCACCTAAAGATCAAACAGTCAAAAATATCACAACCCGAAAGGAGTGTGGACTTGAATCCAACGCCGGAGATGAGAAAAATGAGCTCGGAAACTAAAAAAACTTCATCACAAAAGCTTAGTCCCTGGTGTGCTAATGCTAATGTCAGCTAGCCTGATCTGAAACAATTTCAAAGCAGAGGAACTCTCCCCTCCCCCTGAGCTCAGCTAGCCTGCCAGCTAAATAAAACAATCAGCTACACCGCCCTCCTTTCCTCGAACCACCCCCCCGCAGAGCTCCGTCATAACACAACTGTTCTCAAAACGGAATAAACGTCAAATCTCCGAGGCTACTCATCGGCTACTCTTCTCTGTCTGATCCATGGCTTCTGCAGATTTCCATTATTTCACTACATGGATTGAATTCTTTAATGGCGGCCAGGAGGACAACTCTGCCTCTCAGCTCTCATTGGCCAATTTGTGTTGATGGAGGCGTTATCCGGCTTCAAGAAGCTCCATGACTTCACAGTTTACAAGATGAGAGCTTTAGTGCATCTGTCACACGGTGGTCCCTCCTTACTTAACATGTCTCACCGTGCGACCTCTGCCGCTGTCATTATGCACAAAGTAATCTGAGCAGGAGGAACGCGGTTGTTGGCACGAAGTTTTAATAGACGTAAATGTTACTATTCGGTTGCGTAATTGATGATAATTATGCAGAAGTGGAGTGATCGTGGTCAAACTGTGCAGAAAATCCGAACGGAATGCTCGGTTGCAGTGCGCATGTGCATCCTCAACTTTTGGCTTTCTCCAATTCTCCAATTTAAATGGAGCAAAGTCGATTGCACATAATGTTCTGTAGCTCTTTATGTGAACTTGACGCTTTCGCTTCAGCGCCGAGGGGGTGGAGCTTCTGCTTACAAGCCTTTTCCACCCCCGAAGCTCCACCCACACGTGGGCGGAGCTTTGGACGCCTCCAGAAAATGTCAACAACATGCCGGAGTCTTCCAGAAAAACAGAAACTGAGGAGGCGCTGAGGGACAGACAACAAAGACGGGAAGAAAACAAGGCGTCTCGTAACATCGTGACTGTTATATCTAAGTTCGCTGACGATAATTTGTTCCTCGTGCGGGTAGGAGTCTTTGTTTGAAAGCAACGACACATGTAGCTGGATGAACAGTAGCACTTCCTTCCACATGGTGGAAGTACTGGAGGAAGTGCGATGTGCAGTGTTCATCTGCATCACATAGTGTCTAATGATTAGAAATAGTGCCCAGATATCCCATCACCTGTTAGCAGTCTGAAGTGCTCTTATGTTACTGTCATAATCAGTGGGCAGCACAGCTGGGTGTAAAATTTCACTCATCCTGTCATCTACTTTCTCCTCTTTCATGCAGAACGTCAGTACAGGACTGGTTGTTGCTGGTGTGATTGTGATTGCAAGGAGCATCAGAGTGGTAAGCATGAAAGCCACAATCGAAATAACCCTCATAAGGAATCTGTGATAGACAAGTGACTCATGACCATTAACTTAAAAAGGGAAGGAATACATACAAGTCATTTTGGTCAAATCTTGGAAATAACTGCAAATTTTTATGTTTATATATGTTCATTTTTATCTCGTGATCTGTAAAGACTTGGGAGTACGTATTGGGAATGACCGTCAGCTACTACCACACAAAATTTGTGACCCATGCTGGCAAAATGAGTCCCATTGAGGAATTTTTTTTAAATATTGAGTTGTTATTATTTTCAAATTCTCCATTTCAAAATCTTCAAAATGGTTTGTGGGTTGTTGCAATTTGGGATTCATCATTTGGCCTGTTAAACTACTTTAAAAACTCCAAAGATGTCATCAGGAATTACAGCCCTATATTTAAAAAGGGGAATCCCCAAGCTTCACCATGAATCCAAACATTTTATGAAGGGATTTCCCAGCTTCGTGGCAGCCCGCAGAGAAAAGGGGTTAATTTAAAAGAAAATTAAATGTTAGAAGATAAAATATTATTTCCGAAGACATACCTGTTAGAAAACTTTGACTTAAAAGTATATTAGGAGGATTATTTGTTTTTCTTAAAGTTACTGGGATTACTAAACCTCAGTTACAACAACAAAATCAATATTTTCATGCTTTTTTCTTATTCAGCTCATCTCATTTTGTCAGCAGGGGTCACATTTTTTGCCTCAGTGTCTTAAAAAATCATTGAAGTATAGGGCCACATGTGGCTCTTTGGTCCCTCTGCTGCGGCTCTTTCAGGCTTTGACCTAAACTAATAAAACTGAATTTTATTTAAATATTACCAACAGTGAAAATGGCTAGTTTAAGCAGATTTCCTGTCATTTTCAAATATGTGAAGGATATTACAAATACAAGGTGTAAAACATGTGGACTACATCATGCTAGTAGTTTGTTAGCCACTTTAAATCGACTTCCAGTCTCTCAGCGTGATCTTTCTCTCAAAACCACCAGAATGTTCTGGAATATCTTGAAGACAAGTTGCCAAGAAGGAATATTTGATAACACTAAGAATAACACACACAAAAAATAAAGTCAAAATAAACAAAAGTATTCATTTTTCTTTAAAAATGTAATTGGATATCCAACAAACTGGCCTAATTTTAAACTGATTTTAACTTTATGCTTTAAGTAGGAAACGTAATTCTTCAACAATTAAGAGAACTCGCATCGGCCTGCAGAGTTCACTGTTTAAATTTTTATAAAGTTGTTAAAAAAAAAATTCTTTCTTTACATGAATCTGGTATTTTCTTCTGTAATAAAATGTAAAAATATCAATAAATGTTAATAATTGTTAGACATTTTTCTTTTATAATATCACCCCCACTGGCTGGAAAAGCCATCTTCAAGTGGTCCATGAGCCACCAGTTGATAGTACGGAGTTGTAGCAGGTTTTATGGCTCCAGACACATCGTAATTAGTAAGCAAAGTGGCAGAAATTGCTCTTTTTATTGCAAAGGTAGCAGGCCCCTGGTCTAGGCCAAAGTTGATTAGCTGTGGTGGCCATGTTAAAACGGGTTGACTCCAAAAGGTGATCAGTTTTAGACATTCAGCCAACATTTACTTTACTTTCAGTGGTTCATGAGGTCTTTTTCGAACAAACAAAGTGAGTTGACTCCCAACAGTTAATGCCAATGTCTTAAACTAAGATGTTGTGCATTGTGTTACACTTAATTTATACCATACCATTTTATTTATAGAGCACTTAAAACAGTGACAAGGCCAACCAAAGTGCTTGGGATGTTTGGGATGACATTCAGCTACTACCACACCACATTTTACCTCAATGATTACAAAATTGAATGAGTTATTGTCATTTATGTATTTTTAAGGTCTGTTGGCTGTGGTGGCCATTAATGTACACCCAACAGGGGTGATTCTACAATCTGCCCTTTAGGGGTGCTTAGCCCCCAGTGCTGATGGCTCTTGGCTTGAGTGGTGGCCATTGGTGTCAGAAACATTTATAATGCGGAGGGACACACTGGGGGGGGGGGGGGGTTAGGGGTCCTCCCCCAGAAAATTTTGAATAAAGTAGATGCCATTTCCTGCATTCTGGTGTATTTTAATGGGTTGTTAAACATCTACGGTTACCCTGATGCATGCTCAATAATCCAGGTAGAAAAATCTAAAAAAGTTAAATCTGGTCCTCTGGACATTCAAAAAAACAAAACAAAGCAAAACAACAAAAAAATATAGAAATGTTTCGTCTCTCATCCGAGAGACTTCCTCAGTCTGAGGTGCTGTATTCAGCTCAGTCTCTTAAATAGCACCTTCTCAGAGTGGATCAACCAGTTTTGCTGCTGACAACCAAAACCAGCTGATCACATGCTCAAGAAGGACCATCAGCCTAACAATGGATCATTAGCACACTGATGGCTGTTTACTATTCACAAAGGGCTGAGTGATACTAGCAATCACAGCATTGTAAGAGGGGGACAATTGAACACGTAGGCCTCCACCCCTGTTTAACGATGGACGGTTTCTTTTCACAAAGATGGCCTCCTTTACTCCTCTCTCAGACACCACTCTGAGCAGCAGGACCACACTTTCCACAGAACAACTGTGTCAACTCTTGAAACTGTGCCTGCAGTCAACCTACTTCACATATGGGGAGCAATATTATAGGCAGAAACATGGGTGTGCTATGGGGTCTCCAGTTTCTCCTATTGTTGCCAACCTGTACATGGAGGAGGTAGAAAAGAGAGCCTTGACGTCCTTTTCAGGGACACCACCAAGTCATTGGTTCAGGTATGTTGACGACACCTGGGTTAAAAT